TGGTGAGGACCACATCCTGCTCCCCATCCCTTCCACCAGCTCAGGGTTTTGGGTATCCAGAGGACAACCGGTATTGCCGCTAAAGACTGAGGCGAAGAAGGCATTAAGCACCTCAGCCTTTTCCTCATCTCTTGTAACTAAGTTTCCCACTGCATCCAGTAAAGGATGGAGATTCTCCTTAGTCCTCCGTTTTGCATTGATGTATTTGTAAAAACATTTTTTTGTTGTCTTTAAAGGCAGTAGCCAGATTGAGCTCCAGATGAGCTTTGGCCTTTCTAATTTTGTCCCTGCACTGCCTCGCAACATCCTTATAGTCCTCCCAAGTGGCCCGCCCTTTTTTCCAAAGATTATAAACCCTCATTTTTCTCCTTATCTGAAGCCACAATTCTCTGTTGAGCCAGGCCAGTCTTCTTCCTCACCAGCTCATCTTTGGACACGTGGGGACAGACCGCTTCTGCACCATTAAGATTTCCTTCCTGAAGAGTACCCAGCCTTCCTGGACTCCTCTGCCTTTCAGAAACACCTCCCAAGGGACTCTGCCAATCAGTGTCCTGAACAGTTCAAAGTCAGCCCTCCAGAAGTCCAACACAGCAGTCTTACTGGTCCCCTTCCTGGCTTCTCCAAGAATGGAGAACTCTACCATTTCAGTCAGTCTGCCCAAGACAGTTTCCAACCACCACATCTCCCACCAGTCTGTCTCTGTGAAGAGAAGGTCTAGCAGTGCATTACCCCTGGTAGGCTCACTAACTAGTTGTGTTAGGAAGCTATCTTCCACGCTCTCCAGAAACTTCCTAGACTGCTTTCTCTGGGCTGTGTTGTGTTTCCAGGATATATCTGGGAAATTGAAGTCCCTCACAAGAGCAAGCACTGACAATTTTGCAACTTTTTTTGCAACTCCAAGTCCAGAGAAGGGTGATGAAGCTGGTGAGGGGCCTGGAGAACAAGTCCTGTGAGGAGCGGCTGAGGGAGCTGGGCTTGTTCAAACTGGAGAAAAGGAGGCTCAGGGGCGACCTTATTGCTCTCTTTAAAGGAGGCTGTAGTGAGATGGGGGTTGGTCTGTTCTCCCACCTGCCTGGTGACAGGACGAGGGGGAATGGGCTAAAGTTGCACCAGGGGAGTTTTAGGTTGGATCTTAGGAAGAACTTCTTTACTGAAAGGGTTGTTAGGCATTGGAACAGGCTGCCCAGGGAAGTGGTGGAGTCACCATTCCGGAGGTCTTTAAAAGATGTTTAGATGTAGAGCTTAGTGATATGGTTTAGTGGAGGACTGGTTAGTGTTAGGTCAGAGGTTGGACTAGATGATCTTGAGGTCTCTTCCAATCTAGAAATTCTGTGATTCTGTAATTTTGTCAGCTGCCTGTAGAACTCCTCATCAATCTCCTCATCTTGGTATGTCGTATTCATATGTTGGTGAGTTGTTTATATAAACTGTTAGAGCTAAAACCACTTACTGCTTACAAGATACTACCTAAATTGAAATTTCATGGCCATCTACTGTTTATACACAGGGTAGACTCAGTAAATAAGGCCATGTGGCATTATTACTGCGTATGAGAGTGTACATATGTAATGCACTTCTATGTATACTGAATGTGTGATTTCTAGGCTTACATTTTATGGCTTACACAATTATCTACAAACATTTGGTAGTCATTCCCTGTGATAGTGAGTAAAGATCCAGCAAGCACTTGTAAATGTATACTACAAATATGCTTGTAGTCACCAAATCACTCTCTTGAAGTGGTGGTCTGTTTACAAATGCAAAGGAATAACATTGCATTGTGTATATCAAAACAACAAAGTTAGAAATGAAACACTCGAATTTAAACTTTTATCAAGAATGTAATTGGCTCATCTGCATGGTTCTGTCACTTGCAGTAAGTGTTCTCATTGCAGTCTTGTAAAAATATGTCTTAAATTATTACTTGGGCAAATGTGGCAGTAATTAATATGACAATAATGTGTGTGTTTCTTTCAATGTTCTCATTCAGTGCGAAGATAAAAGCATATAACAAATTTCATAGAAGGCTTTGTTCTTTCATTTTGTTTTGTCTAAACAAAGGAATTCCTATTCTAAGGAATAATGTTGCATGGGTGAATAAAAGAGCAAGTTTTGATCATAATGTTCACGACCATAAGTTTAGTTTATGGTAATTTCTATTGAGACAGTAATATTGTTGACTAATAACATATTGCTCAAGTAGTACAAACTATCAATGTCAATATACCATACTATCACAATTAGTAGTCAAGAAATAGCAGAATTCAACAAAGATGGTCCAATGGAGAGAGAGGTTAAAAAAATGTGGGAACGATGTATAGTACAAATTAGTGAATATACATAATACAGATAATGCCTAAATGTGTAGGTGCTGTAATCCTTTTGTTAAAGTGTTTCTGATTACTGCAGTTCTCTAGCATAGACTGATGTTTGTTCTTTGGATGTGTATATTGCAAAATAGTTAGGTTGAACTGGAATAGGATAATACTGAAATGGTAACTGTATGGTTGTATGGTGTAGTAACTACTGTAATGCAGTAACTCTGAAGAAAGTGAACAGGAAGGGACTAAACTTTCTTACTAACAATATTTTTGGATTGTGGGCTTACACAGGTTTTTCTTTACTTAACAAGAATTCTGTGCTTAATAATTACCAAATAATACAGGTACAGTTAGCAAAACACAACTGCAGTCACTTTTAGAGTACAAACTGTCCTAAATCTAGGTTCTGCAGCAATGCACAAAGAAACATGCAATGACTGCAATGCCAAAATTTTCAAACTAAAATTACTGTTCTTTCAAGCTTTTCAGCTTGCTAACTTCAGATTCCCAGAAGATAGGTAACATCTGCATTAAAATACCTAGTATAATCTTGAAATTCTAGGGTAAGTTTAAAGACAATAGGTCGTTTTACATCGTTTCATAAGAGAATGAAAAGTACAAAATTATGTCACTGAGTACATTTAGTATGTTTATATAATTGTAGTGGGTTTGCGTGGCAAGGTTTTGGTAGCAGGGGGCCATGGGGGTGGTTTCTGTGAGAAGGATCTAGAAGCTGCCCCATGTTTGGTAAGGGCCCCATTGTTTTCCAGAGCTGAGCCAATAAGCGATGTTGTTTTGCGCCTCTGTGAGAGCATATTTAAGACAGGGAAAAAAACACTGCGACACACAGCAGCTGGGAGAGTGAGAGGAGTGAGAAAACAGCCTTGCAGGAGGCGACAAGGTCAGTGAAGAAGGAGGGGGAGAGGTGCTCCAGGTGCCGGAGCAGAAGTCCCCTGCGGCCTGTGGTGAGGACCATGGTGAAGCAGGATGTCCCCCTGCAGCCCATGGAGTACCACGGTGGAGCAGGGTTCCATGCTGCAGCCCATGGAGGAGACCACGGTGGAGCAGATGGCCCTGCACCGATGGAGGCTGCCGCCTGTGGAAGACCCCTGCTGGAGCAGATTCTGGGCCGGACCTGTAGCCCGTGGAGAGGAGACCACGCAGGAGCAGGTGACCTGGCAGGAGCTGCTGCCCATAGGGGAGCCAGGTTGGAGCAGTTTTCTCCTGAGGGATGGACCCTGTGGTACGGACCCATATCTGGAGCAGTTCTTGAAGAGCTGCTGCCTGTGGGAATCCCACGCTGGATCAGTTCATCAAGGACTACATCCCGTGGGTGGGTCCTGTCGTGGTTCCGCTCGAGTGGGCAGCCGAGCTCCACCACAGCCGCTCTCTCACTCCCCCTCCTCAAAGAGGAATGGGGAGAAAATATGTGAAAGGGGCTCAAGGATTGAGATAAGGACAAGAAAATCACGCAATAATTAGTGTAACGGGCAAACCAGACTCAGCATAAGAAGACAGATAGTAAGATTTATTGCTCATTACTAACAAGCTAGAGAAGTGAGAAACAAAGGAAAGAAACCAAAAGCACCTCCCCCCCATCCACCCTCTTCCACCTCCTCCCCCCGAGCGGCGCAGGGGAACGGGGGAATGGGGGTTATGGTCAGTCTACAGCACTTCTTCTCTGCCGCTCCTTCTCGGTCACTCTCGTCCCCTGTGCTGTGGGGTCCCACCCACGGGATGCAGTCCTTGACGAACTGATCCGGCGTGGGCTTCCCACAGGCAGCAGCTCTTCCAGAACTGCTCCAGATATGGGTCCGTACCACGGGGTCCATCCCTCAGGAGAAAACTGCTCCAACCTGGCTCCCCTACGGGCAGCAGCTCCTGCCAGATCACCTGCTCCTGCGTGGTCTCCTCTCCACGGGCTACAGGTCCGGCCTGGAATCTGCTCCGGCAGGGGTCTTCCACAGGCGGCAGCCTCCGTCGGTGCAGGGCCACCTGCTCCACCGTGGTCTCCTCCACGGGCTGCAGCGTGGAACCCTGCTCCACCGTGGTACTCCATGGGCTGCAGGGGGACATCCTGCTTCACCATGGTCCTCACCACAGGCCGCAGGGGACTTCTGCTCCGGCGCCTGGAGCACCTCTCCCCCTCCTTCTACACTGACCTTGGCACCTGCAAGGCTGTTTCTCACTCCCTTGACTCTCCCGGCTGCTGTGTGGCGCAGCGTTTTTTCCCTGTCTTAAATATGCTCTCACAGAGGCGCAAAACAACATCGCTTATTGGCTCAGATTTGGAAAACAATGGGGCCCTTCCCAAACATGGGGCAGCTTCTAGATCTTTCTCACAGAAACCACCCCTATGGCCCCCTGCTACCAAAGCCTTGCCACGTAAACCCACTACAGGTCCCCACAGCACAGGGTACGAGAGTGACCGAGAAGGAGCGGCAGAGAAGAAGTGCTGTAGGCTGACCATAACCCCCATTCCCCTGCGCCGCTCGGGGGGAGAAGGTGGAAGAGGGTGGATGGGGGGGGAAGGTGCTTTTGGTTTCTTTCCTTTGTTTCTCACTTCTCTAGCTTGTTAGTAATGAGCAATAAATCGTACTATCTTCTTATGCTGAGTCTGTTTTGCCCGTTACAATAATTATTGCATGATTTTCTCATCCTTATCTCAACCCTTGAGCCCTTTTCACATATTTTCTCCCCATTCCTCTTTGAGGAGGGGGAGTGAGAGAGCGGCTGTGGTGGAGCTCGGCTACCCACTCGAGCAGAACCACGACAATAATACTGTTACTATGCATCCACATGCAATATTTAGACCAAAAAAAGGTTGAAACAAAATTAGTATCTGCGAATTGGAACTCCTCATGAAATTCCTTTATATACTACAAGTATCCCCTCTGCTTTATTCTACAAAGCAATTTAGGAGGAAATAAGAAAGCCATTAGAGTATGAATCAGATAGGTTATGCTGTGCTTCTGAGTAAGCAGCAGAAAGGATAGATAAGATGGAAAAGGAGCAAGGAGAATTAATTCTGGAATAGGACTGTTTTTACTCACACCATAGTCAGATTCATTAGTTTCATTTTCTTGTGTGATCTTGAATATCAGATATGAAAGTATTGGAACAATGCAGTCAGAATATTCAGAATGAAGACACTTACCACTGAGGAGGAATTTCCACAGGAACAAAATTTCAGTTGCACAAATGAACAAAAGCTGCTGCTAAACTGCATGCAGCCTTCATCTTCTTTGAGGCACACGTCATATGTACACATGATGTAGAATGGTTTGGGGTCCACCTTTAACAGAAAGGGAGTTTGTTTACTTGTTTGGTGTAAGGGGTGCAAGCATACATATTTTCTAGAGAGAGCAATCTAGCAATACACCTGGAAGAGAATTGAAAAGGAGATTTGGAATTTTGTCCCCTCCCCCCAGCTCTACCTTGTAAATACTGTTCACAAATCTTTATTCTCATCCTGAATTTAAGGCTTTGAGGCTTAAGTTATCTGCAATTAAACTTTTATATCCTTGCAATAATTCTGTGCACTGTTCTGAAGTATGACATTTGAGTACTTGGGTAGTCCTTGGTTGACACAGTTATACTTACAACTTTGAAGCAGTTCCTGAGACAAGAATGTGCTTCTTCAAAAAACTCCTTACAGACTTTTTCCTTATCTGTAATTGGACATGGCTTCACATTCTTCTGTGTGAGACTGCACTTGCTCACCTAGGAAATATATATATATACACACATCAGTATAGTAGTGTGAATTCTTCAGATTTACAGTGTGAAGTGGTTTGAAGGAAGATTTTGGCAGCTCAGTACACTGCCCTGAATAACATCCATTTTTCATTAATATTGTGAAGCACCTTGTACTCTTCATAAATTAAAGTATTTGTCTCATAAATATTACAGATTATAGACATTGTTTCCTTTTTCTGTTGATTTTGTTATTCACTAAAGGATTCTAGTGGGTGGCTGCTGACACAGAAAATAGTTGGCTTGTCTTAGCTTTATTATATATGACAGATTTGAGTTGTGCTTTTACTAGATTGGGGGGGTGGAGAGGGGAGAATCTTAATCTCCTCACTGGATTACTCATACATAATAAACAGCAAAAGGCTTAAAACAAAAGTAGCGAGGTGGGGGTTGGTGTGTTCTCCCCCGTGCCTGGTGACAGGACCAGGGGGAATGGGCTTAAGTTGCACCAGGGGAGTTTTAGGTTAGATGTTAGGAAGAACTTCTTTACCGAAAGGGTTGTTAGGCATTGGAACGGGCTGCCCAGGGAAGTGGTGGAGTCACCATCCCTGGAAGTCTTTAAAAGACGTTTAGATGTAGAGTTTAGGGATATGGTTTAGTGGGGTCTGTTAGTGTTAGGTTAGAGGTTGGACTCGATGATCTTGAGGTCTCTTCCAACCTAGAAATTCTGTGATTCTGTAAAAGAAAAAAGAGAGAGAAAAAAACAACACACCTGAAGTTCCTTACAAGAATGAGCATTTTTGGACAACAAAATGCGAATGCATTTTTGTTATACATGGTTTAAATATGGTCCCAGTCAAAAGCTGATGACACTAAATATTAACAGAACTGCTAATGAACAGCATTTACTAACATTTCTTATGATTTGTTTTGACCAAACACTTTTTAGGACTTGTAATCAAATCAGCAACTTACACATTTTTTTAATCAGTAATTTCCATAGATGGCACATCTCTGAGTTTAGTAGTTCTTTAAGCAACAAACTCAGTTGAAAAAAAAATTAAACTGCAAGTTTAATCTTTCTTCCTGCAGGAGTCACACATTTGTAAAGTTAATTTACTAATCCCCTCATTTTGGACAGCCGCTGGTCTTGTAACACAAGAGCTTCATTGACTATCTGCAAGGTGGTGTTTTGAGGTAGCTGTAGCAAAGCTCCTGGTAGTAAGTTTCCAGACTGAGTTTGTAATGCAATGTGAGGTGACTCCAGGAATTCAGGGTGACTGACTGCTTTTGCTTGAGGCTTAGCTACCTGGTCAGATTTAACCTGATTCTTTTGCTTGCTTTCTGTGTCATGTACAGCTGTGCCAGAACATCTGGTCAGGAAGGATTTTCTGCAAGCTCCATATTGTCAGCACATCTGCAAAAGCTGGCTATTTGAACTGGTTATTTCCACCATATCATCTCTTTTTACCTCCTTATAAAAGTTTTTAAGACTTTATATGAATTCCTGACTTGGCACATTTGTTTTTCCAGCCATTCCTTTAATGATGTATGATGCTAGTACACTATCGGCAAGTCAGTCCTTTTATTACATTTTTACTGAACGGGATATGACTGCAAACAGCACAGAGTTCAGCTGTAGTCATCTATAAATTTTTCTTGGCAGTATACAGCACTTCAAATATGCCATGGCCTACAAATAAAATGTACTAATCAATAGCATAAGCACAGCCATTATGCCATCAGCCACTTAAAGAAGGTCATCCATGACTCCCCAGCTTGTTTATGACAGTAAGTTTCATTAGGTATTGTTTTTAATTGGTTATTATTTCTAGTTCAACTTCTCCAGGTACTTTTGCATTAGATAGTTGCATTTTTATGAATATGTTAGAAGTTAATCTTTGTAGCAGTTAAGAAAATTACATCAACAGTTAGTCATGTCATGGTCCCACAAGTACAGGCTGCAAACTTATTAGATATAACTAGCCAGTAGCAGGGAAAAGTACAAGAGACTTGAAGCAATCCTTGTTTTTAACATAAAGTACTGAAATAAAGATGAGAATAGTAGTATTTCTGTGTCCAGAACTGGGACACTTTCTGGTGTTCTTTCTCATGAAAGTAAACAGAATCAGAAAATCTTAATAGCAATATGATGTTTTCTTTGTTTCTAGTAGATTCTCAAATTATGCAAGAAGGGATTTAGAAGAACTATCAACACAGCTTGAGAGCGTGTTAAGGCTAAGATTTTATTTTGGTCATTTGCATTCACATGTATACATGTGTTTTTTCATATTTAGATTATTTTTATCTGATGATACATTACATGAATTAAGGTTAAGTCTCCTTTACACAAAGAGGTATAAAACTACTGGTAAAAGAATAAAACTTATTTACTTAATGTTATAATTTCTTAAATAGAAAAAGTTCCTTCATGTAAGTTAATAACTGAATCAGTAGCTGCTAAGCCTCTGGAAAAAAACTTAGCACTTAATGGCACATGGGCAGAGAACAACTTTACCAGTTACTGTTTTCTAAAGTTTTGTTTCTTGATAAATGAGAATCAGGAACACCAAAAAATTATTAAGAGTCTCAGCATTGCCAGCGACAACATCCAGCTCTGGAGAAAACTTCAGACCCATAATATAAGAGGGCGCCTGGTACAAACCACGGCCTTGTGGTACTTACAGCAAACTTAGTACCACCTGGCTGTGTACTCTACAAAGGTGTTGTAAACAGGAAAACATCAAATATACTTGGTTGCAACATCAGTTTCTTCTAACAGCAGAAGCAACCTCCATATTTTACCTTACCATTTAGGCCAGAAATGCTCAATACCTATGCATAGGTTATTCTTGGATGGCTTTTAGCAAATATGTGCAACTTCTGCCTTAGTTCAACATAGAAAAACAAAGTATCCAGGATATGCTGCCGTTTTCTCTGTCTAGCTTTCATTCAAGAAAGAAAGATTAGGAAGTATCCATTCATTTCCAGCTTCATTATCATTGGTACCAAAAAGTCCAGCTGAAATACCTGGAATTAAATTGAAATGGTGTAAAATGTAGTTGTCATGTGTAGACACAGGAAATTTTCAGAAGCTCTCTCTGGGCTCTGCTTATTCCACACAGCACAGCTCAGCTGCAATACTGAAGAGGATAACTATGCCTAAGTATCCATTATAGATTTTTCCTCAAACTGCAATGGCATTTAATTTGTTAGCTGTTCATTTGCTTCTCCTGACCAGATAAATACATCATGTTAATTCTCTGCTAATCTCAGTGGAGTGAGTTTTAGAATAGAGTGAGGCATGTGGATAGGAATGTATTCCAACTCAACCCTGAGAATGTTAGGCCTCCCTCTTTTGTGCTCTTACAGGTATGACAAGACAAGCCTGCTATAGAACAGCGATTCTCAGGAAAGTTTGAGGTTGAGCTGACTGCATTACATCTAACCCCCATTGCTTGCTGCTCTGTTGAGCTGAAAAAGTGTAACCTGGGTAAATACTTGCTGTCATTACTGGAAGGACATATCACAGTATCACAGAATTGAAGGGGTTGGAAGGGACCTCGAAAGATCAACAGGTCCAACCCCCCTGCCAAAGCAGGTTCCTTAGAGCAGGCTGCCCAGGTAGGCGTCCAGACAGGCTTTAAATATCTCCAGAGAAGGAGACTCCACAACCTCCCTAGGCAGCCTGCCCCAGTGCTCCGTCACCCTCACCGTGAAGAAATTCTTCTGCATATTGGTGCAGAACTTCCTGTGCTCCATCTTGTGGCCATTACTCCTTGTCCTGTCCCCGCAAACCACTGGAAAGAGGTTGGCCAAATCCCTCTGTCTCCCACACCTCAGGTATTTATACACACTGAGGAGATCCCCTCTCAGTCTTTTGTCCAGGCTGAACAGACCCATGTCTCTCAGCCTTTCCTCATAAGGAAGATGCTCCAGGCCCTGTATCATCTTTGTGGCCTTGTGGCCCTCCACTGGACTCTCCAGGAGATTTTTTTTTTTTTTTTTTTGTACCGAGGAGCCCAGAACTGGACACAGTACTCCAGGTGAGGCCTGACCACGGCAGAGTAGGGGAGCATCACCTCCCTTGACCTGCTGGCAACGCTCCTTTTAATGCACGCCAGGATCCTATTGGCCCTCTTGGCCACGAGGGCACACTGCTGGCTCATGGTCAACCTGTCATCCACCGGGACCCCCCCAGGTCCTTCTCCTCAGAGCTCCTCTCCAGCAGGTCATCCCCCAGCCTGTACTGATACATGTGGTTGTTCCTTCCCAGGCCCTCTTCCTTTTGATCTTATCAATGATCTCCTTGCTCATCCGTGCAGGTTTCCTGCCCCTCTTCCTCAATTTCCTACTCTTAGGGATGCACTGATCCTGAGCTTGGAAGAAGTGCTGTTTAAATGTAGCCCAGCTTTCACATGCACCCTTGCCCTCTAACAGCCTAGCCCGTGAGATACTCCCAAGCAGGTCCCAGAAGTGGTCGAAGTTGGGTCTCCGAAAGTCCAGGGTTGCAATCCTGCTTTTAGCCTTACTTCTTCCACCAAGTTCCATCTTGAACTCTAAAAGTATAGCATAGCAGAACTCCAAAAAGTAGATATATATATAATAATACATTATTAATCATTAATATAATTATATGTATATATATAATATGTATATATTATATTATAAAATATATAGTATTTTATTTGATAATAACTGGGAATGCTGAATGCCATTTCCTGGGCTTATATAAATGAATGGGGAGAAGGAAAGGAAAGACAACCCCCATACAGGTGAGGACACTCCAGAGGTACAGAAAAATACAGCTGGCAAGCTGACTATACTCACCATGGTGCCATCCAGCCAGAGTGACAGTACAGAGATCATACTGAAAGTCACAAGAGACAGAAACTCCTTTGTGATCAGATATTTCTATTTTGTTGGTTTCTTTCCTTGAATCACTGGTACTCTTTTCAAGGGATTGATCCAGTCCTTGGCAGTTCTCTACCACAGATACTTTAGACATCTGTTTTAAAGTGAAAATGCAATTTCAAATATGCCACAATGGAAGTCCAAGGAAAGGCATGCTCAGACTGTGTTTGCAGGTTAGGTGGTGTCAATTTTGCTTAGCTCAGAGTGAGGAAATAAGAATTTGGTTGTGTTAATCTTCTGAGAGAGCAGGAAAGCATACAGCCTCCCATGTATACTGAGGCTGTGGGCCCCGTTTGTCCATCAGACCCTTTAACTGCTATTCTCTTAGACCAGGTAAGAGAAAAGCTGAAAAGTTCACCAAGCCTCTCTCCTAAGTACCAAGAGAGAAAAGAGGCAGCCCCTGATTTAAAAGTGATTTTGGTTTGGGGAGTTATTTCCTGATTAATGATCAGTGCACTTCCTGGTACTTATGTCCAAGAAATGTTTTATCTATGTTTGGAGCTTTAATACTCTGAAGACTTTCTGAGGGCAGGGGTGGAAGATAATATCTGGTCTAGAAAGGAACAATGTTTGACTGTGCCATCATACCTTCAGTCTTGGATAGATATTGATCACGCTCTGGTTCATCACCACATACAGCGATCGTGGATCACTGATTTCCTCATTTAGTATAATAGTGAAAGTATTGTGAAGAAAATCCTTGGCAAGAAGGACGCTGCATTTTGTTGCCAAATCATAAATTTTTCCATCAAAAGTCATAACATGCCTGTTACCCATTAACATAGCATCTAGATAAAGATATTTCAGAAGAAATGTCAGTGCTGCTGCTTGCATATTGCAACATGACCAACTTCTCACAAGTTTACTCATAAAAGAATTTTCCAAGCTATTATTACATTTTAATTAGTCAAAAGTTGCTCTGCAACAAAAATTTCTCCAGGAAAGAAAATGATCTAATGATTTATTTTTCATTATAAAGCCAAGTGAGTGCCCTAAAGTTTAGACAAATATGAGTTAGGATTCAAAGCTCACCTTGATTTACAGTCATGCTACTTGATAATCATAGCACCCCATTCCCCTCCCCCACATACACATACCTATACAGGAAAGAACAAGAATATTCTGTATCAAAAAATACCCTGACAAAGCAGAGTATCAAACACTGTTGCAGTCCAGAAACACTCCTGATATATTACTTAGACTCTTTGGTCACTAAGACCCACTCTCAGTCCCCGCCATTGTGTCTGCTTACTGGAAGGGAGACATTGAAAATGTCTTTCTGGAAGATCCAGTATCTACAAGGGACGGTTGGGACTGTTAATGCAGTCTTTTAGTATTTAGCAGTGCTTTTCAGGCAATACTGCTGCTCAAGATTTGGTAGAGCTGTTTTTTCATCCTAGATTCAGCAGAAGTGATGTTGCCCAATTCAGAGTACAAAGCCTCCACGAGAAGGCCCAGGGTCAAAAGGTATGACTGCATTCAGCTCTGGGGCCCCTGGCACAAGAAGGATATGGTGATACCTGTATACAAGCCCAGAAGAAGGCCATGAAGAATACTGAGGGGCTGGAGTACCTCTCCTGTGCAGACAGCTGAGAGAGCTGGGGTTGTTCAGCCTGGAGAAGGCTCTGGGGAGACCTTATAGTAGCCTTCCAGTACTTAACGGAGGCTACAGGAAATCTGGGGAGGGACTCTTTGTCAGGGGGTGCAGTGAGGGGACAAAGGGTAATGGTTTTAAACTAAAAAAGGGTAGATATAGATTGAATTGATACTGATTTCTTCCTAGATATAAGGAAGAAATTCTTTACTGTGAGGGTGGTGAGGCACAGGTTGCCCAGAGAAGCTGTAGATGTCCCATCCCTGGAATTGTTCAAGACCAGGCAGGATGGGGCTTTCGGCAACCTCATCTAGTGGGAAGTGTCCCTGCCCATGGCAGGGGAGTTGGAATTAGATGATCTTCCAACCCAAATCGTTCTATGACTAGCATTGAACTGGAGAATCAAATCACAAGAGCATATAGATAAGACTGTATCAGGGAGTGTAGTGAAAGGGATAATGGCTTTAAACTAAAAGAAGGTACATTTAAATTAGGTATCAAGGAGAACTTTACTATTAGGGTGGTGAGGCACTGGAACAGGTTACCCAGAGAAGTTGTGGTGTCCCATCCCTGGAGGTGTTCAATGCCAGGCTGGATAGGACTTTGGGCAACCTGGTCTGGTGGGAGGGGTCCCTGCAGACATATTGGAATTAAATGATCTTTAAGGTCTCTTCCAACCCAAACCAGTCTATGATTCTAAATGCCACGTGTTGATTTATAGTCTCAACAGTAGGAAATGTGAAGAGTTGCAAAATTTGCATGACTGTTAAGTAGAGGAGCATTTCTTGCATGACAGTTTTAGCCATGATGTGAGTATCATACATACAATCACTGTTTTAGAAGAAATAGTGTATATAAAGAAGTTTAAAGGAAAATTATAAATTAGTGACCATCTCTATGTAAACCACTATTCCAGATAGGATTTGCAGACTAGAATGAATTGGAAATTGACCCAGCTAAAAAACAAAAGCATCACTTTGAAAGGGCTTACGTTCAAAGGGACTCTCCATCATCCTTTGTTTGAATCTATAATACTCTGCAACCATGTTGATGTTGTAGAGATCTTTGAGAGGCCTCATTAGCTTTTCTTCAATGAGATAATTAGTAATATTTGCCAGATCCAGAGAACAGTATGCTTTAGGAAGTACTGGCAGTTTCACTGCCACTGAACAGTTCCTGCAGAATACAAGCAAAACAACATGTGCTCCTTAACTGCTAAACCGATGAAATGCAGTTGCTATATTAGAAATGTGGAAGTGAAATATTCATAAGAACTGTAGTCTGGTTAGAATAGCAAAACAAAGATGTACAATTGCTAAGACTGACAAAAAAAAAAACATGCCATATAAGGCCAAGTTATCATAGCTATTGCTATTTTGTTTGCTGCTGGGTAGTTTCTTTTGAAATGCAGGCTATCCTAGTAGACAACAAACATAAACATCATGATATGATGTGCCCACAGAAGAGAATGGGCAGGTTGCTATCTTCAGCCTGAAGCATATAAGCTAATATGAAGATTAACATATAAGATTAACACATATATCCATTTAGAATGGTACCCAGCAGCAGAAGTCCTCCAAAGAAAAACAATTACCTGGCTGAAAAACTGTAAAGGTTGTGTAAGGGCTTCCAGATCTTGCTCACAGCTCTAGAAACCATGGCCTCTGCCCACCTGAGCATCTGCTGTGTGGTCTACTGGAGAGCCAGAAAAGGAGATTACAAAACTCTTCTGTACAGCTTTGGTGTGGGGTCAATACTTGATAATGAGTTTTAAAGCAACAATCAGAGAAATTGCACTTTAACCTCTCTTGCATTTATCACTCGCCTGACAGCACCTTGTCATTTAGTGGTTAGTATCCAGAAGACAGACTTTAGTTGTTCCAGAAAAAAAAAAGTGGATAGAAATATATATCTTTCCTAAAAGAACATTACTTATTGTACACCAATACTTCTCTGAGTTAATGTTCTACAGGGGCTTATAAAGGGATTGATATCTTTCTTAATATAAATTTGTGTCATGATATGTCCTTTATCATTTCAACTACAGGAGTCCAAAACTGTTTGTACACTGTTCATTGGAATCGCAGTCCCTCCTCTCTGTACAGAAAATGCAAAATCTACATGGATGGCAGCAGTTCACTGCTGTTGATTTGAACCAAACCAGTAAAGCAAATCCTTCTCCTGTTGTCCTACTGAAGCACTACTGTCAAAGCAAGTTAGATATTTCAGGAACAGTACGCTAGCTGTGCATAAGCTTCTTATGTAGAAAGATAACCACAGAATTTCCATAAATAAAAATATTAAGTATTTTTGTGTATCCACAGTTCAAAGCTAAGACTTAAATTTGTAAGCCTTTTCCTTCAAAATATTAAAAATTAATAAATTATTTATACCAACCATATCCAAGCCTATTTTAACAGTCCTTAATGTCATCTGGATTGGCTCCATTAGCCAAACATCTTTTATAATCCTGGGCAAAAATGCCTGGACTTTTTTCATGTACTCTTCTGTCTTCTCCTGCCAAACTTCATCCAGTGGCTTTAAGGTTACATCATAGTAGGCATCTTTCAAAGTTGCTAATGGGTCTGAAACAAACATTACATGAAACAATCCTTAAATAATGTGTTACAAAGTGATAACCAAGAGTGATTTGGTTTTTAATTTTAAATCCTTGCAGCTTCCAACATAAGTGAAGGAGGGACACAGAAAACAGGAAAAGGCAGCTTTATCTTCAAGGCAGTTAGGCATATTTCACATCTGTGTGTGTGTGTGGACACTGTGTCATGAAAAACCGAAGCAGGCATTTAGCTGTAACCCTGTTCCACTTATATTAGGTGTATCAACTAAATCCGATTTTTGAGTGGAAAGAGTCTAGTGTCAGATGTTTCAAAATGAGATGTTACTCTTATTTTGAAAACTGAAGGATCTCACAGATAATTATGGCTGACCATGTTTCTCAATGGTTTCAATATGGGCCATAACCCAGAAATATTGGCTACTAGATAGATTTGAAAACAACAGGTCAAGTGAAATCTGATTAGTACAAGCATTCAAAACTCAAGGATGGATATGAACAGCCCTTTGGGAGGGAATTCTTGCCAGGGAACCATAACTGCTTCAGCTTAAGGAATTAGGTCTCGTTCTCATCTGACTGAATCCAGACTCTTGTGACCACGAGAATGCTTCGTCAGTGATTTCATTAGAAGGATGGCCACACTGGGGTTACTTAGAGCTGACTGCATCAAGGCTCCTTCTCCGTAATATGTAAGAGCAAAGGTCACTACTTTTGCTAGATCAAAATAGAAATATCTGCAGTTCAACAACTTTTATACTCCTTCCCTCCCACTCCCCTGCACTGTCATTGACCTGTGCAGTTTTTCTCCTTGCTTTGCATGGTTTTACTTACTTTGCAATTCATTCTGCATTTGCTGGACAGCGTCTTGAATTTTTTTCAGGTAAAGTGGGAGCTTGCTTCTTAGTATCTGCTTGATTCCACTTTGCTACCACACTTGGGTAAAAGCTCTACCCACACTGTGGAGGAATCCTGCTATCTTTTGTGAGGCTATTGAAGGCCAGCCAACTGCTTCAGACAGAAAATAGATTCGCTGCACCTGGAGTGGTTCCCAAAAAAGAAGAACTATCAAAATACACAGTGATCACAAGCAAAACTTTAACTCCATTCCAAGGCAATTCTGAACTTCTCAGTGTTAGGTGCAGAGATATAAGGTCTTGACCAAGAAATGTTCTTTTTGCCAATGTATGAATTCCAGTTTAGCACCAGATTAGGCATTTAAATGTTTGAGCAAACCAAAACAGCTGTATACAACCTAATGATTCTTTATTAACACTGAATGAACATTTCATGATACTATCACAAATGCTGTGCAGGTGCTTACTGATCTCCTGAGTCTCCAGATATATCCATCAAGCTTCGTTATCTTCTCAATCAGTCTGGCTTTGAGAATGTTCCCAATTTCATTAATTTTGTCCTATGAGAAGATGAACAAATACTTTGAATTTATGATATAGAATTGCTTGTACTGGGTCTAAATCACTTAAGTTTTGTGATAGTTTCAACAACAGCAAAAATCCACAGTGACCTCCCATTTCTTAGGGGAAATTACTTTTGCATTATTCAATGGTTAGAAATGAAATCAGAAGAGTCTAAGGATGAAAAATTGTAAAGCCTCCTCCAAGCAGTAGGTATGCGAAACCCTATTAGAATTCTAATTCCAGTTTTGTAACCAATGTGCTGAGCACTCCTGGCAAATTAGTGTTGTTCTCACATTACTTACCCTCTTCACAGAATAGACCTTTTAAGAGAGGGTACTATATTTTCTATGCTTTCTAGGTGCAGCTGAACTATTTAATTCTCAACATGGTATCTTTTCACACCAAATTGTAAAATAATATTATTATGAATTAAAAATTTAAACCAACATTCCCCTGGTTACTCACCAAAACTCACAACAGAAGCCTGCCTAGAAGATGGTACAACTGAAATATTAAACACTATTCTGGAAAAGCCACACCACAGTTAACTACCACTGAAGGTTCTTACCTCAGCCTTAAGAACTGGATCCCCACATCCATGAACCAGAAAATTTAAGCTTTCATTAACAGCTGTCAGAGTAATTTGTCCCACGTTTTCTTGCCTTTCACCATTAATGTTGAGATAGCTATTAATGGCAGCCATCTGTTGCCCATCAGTACAAGCACTGACTTCCATTCCTTCTTCCAGATCCCCTTGGAGAATTAAAAGAGAGCACTTCATTTACAGGAACAACACAGACAGACATTGTTTCAAAGACAGCTTTTTAATTACTTAGCTGATAAATCAGTATCTGAGTGTTAGATATTCATGGGAGAAAAAAAAAAAAAAAAAGATATAAACATGAAAAAATTAGATCAACATCAATGTTTGATTTTCTCCTCTTTGTGGCTTGGGAATGCTTTAGAAGTACAGAGTTGCTACTGAAAGGAAAGCAATTAATTACTATAAAGCAAAATAATCCTCTCAGACAGTAATTCACAGGCTTTTTCTTTTTTTTTTAATCTTTAGTCTTCCACTATGCTTTGTTGCTGAAGTTTAAAAGTGATAAATTAAAGATTATCAGTCAACTACCCGTCACACATGTAAGTTGTTTCTGCCCAAGTACTAATAAGCAGAAACAGATGGAGAGGTGTGCACAGAATCTGGGTATAGAGACTTGAGCTGAATTACTTCTACAAACTTGTGACCTCAACAATCCATAAACTAATGGTCTTCATCGCAAATGGATCACAGCACTTACAAGTGAGGACATGACCATGAGAGAAATTTACATTGCAGAAACATGTGAACAGAAGTGTGTGCAGGCAAATCTGTAACAGAAACTAGGACTGGGATAGTCACCAAAATGGGTTTGAGGCAACTATCACACCACCAAATCTGCCTGGTTTGCACATAAATAAATCTAATACAGTCCAAAAGGTGGATAAGTCACAACAGGAAGCACTTGCAGCAGGTCTCGTTTCAACTAACTTCAGTCATCCAAAAGCCAAGCACAGTCTGAGATAACAGCCCTGTTTCTTCTCTCTGGTCAGTCAGAACTAATGATGTCTGATTGGAAGACCTGCAGAGGGTGATTTCATACATCTGTTTCAGCATGGGGGTTGAGCCAACCGCTTAAAAGTGCCTCTCTCTTTCCATTCACTGAAATTGGAATATAATGACTATCTTAAATGAGGCACACAATTTTAAGATGGCTAAATCAAAGTGAAACGAATCCTACCTTCAGTCACTGTTATAATCCTTCCCTGGGCAGTACTCATACAAAAGTCTCCACCAAAGTGACCTCTGTGTAACAAGTACTAAACTTCAGCTTTTCATCATGTGAAAGACCATAGCTTTGGATTGCCATGAAACTGAAGCTAGCTTGGCCCTAGAAACTAAGACACAACCTTTCCTCCTGCCTCTTCATACCATTGGTAGCTCTGAAGGTACATACCTTTCAAATACCCCACGTAGTACTGCAAACACTCCTTTCCTTTAGAAGCAGCTACTTTTACTTTCTCTTTTTGATCAATAATCCCCTCCACCAGGATTTGGCTCTGAACAGCTGAGGAAGTAGCAGTTCCTGTCAGGCCTAGCCAAGTGTCTTCAGAGCCTTTTAATAAAATGCAGCCATAAAGGAAAAACACATTTGTTCAAAGCCACCACACAGAATTAATGAAGCCATGTTCAGAGATGATGCCCAACTATCAGTGCTTTCCACAGAAGGGGAAGTAAGTTGTAAGGAAAGTGTTTCCCAACGCTTATCCACTTACATAGGAGTTACTGAGAGAGGCACAAGCATGAGGATGATTGGCTCAAGAGCTGAATGACCAGGCTTGTGGACAATCCTTTAATGGTAGCAATGAAAGAAACATACTCTGACAGTCAATTCCCTGTAAGGCTGCTAATTTGTTCCATTTATTCCAAAACAAGGAATAGAGAAAGGCTAAGCAGAGCAAGTTTAGAGAGAGTGAAAAATTATGTAGCATTTGTCTTAGCCTGTTACTTATTAAATCATGATAATTTTTTAAAGGATGGCCTATTCTCTCAGTTAATTATGACTAACTACCCACATTCTTCCTAATGAAGAGTTTGGACATCACTCCTCCGTCCCACTCTTTTGCTACCATCAGCTTGTTTATGTTATTCATATCACAGAAAATTAAGAGTAGAGAAAGAGCAGAACAGAGAAAGAGGAAGAGATTTGTCTCAAGATGAGCATTGTATTAGTTGTTCTGTGCTTTTTTTTTTTTAAGAAGGCCAATTCTTTTTTTTTTTTTTTTTTTTTTTTTTTTTCTTCCTGGCAAATGATGCTTTGAATCTTAGTTCTTTTTTGTTTGGTTGGTTGGTTGGTTTGGTTTTTTGTTTTTGCTATGGTGATTTTACATGCCTTACCAAACAGCCCAATCATGCTGAAGAAAGTGAGCTACAACAACACACAGCTTCTGAAAAAATTACGTACTCCAGTTGATATACACTTATTACATTTGTCACTGAGCTCTGCAGGTAACTAATGTTGTTTCCTTCCTTTCTATCTTGATAATACTGCTTGTACATTGCATAACTGCTCCTTTAAAAATAGAACTGAAGAAATCAGGAATGCTGTATATTGTCTGTACTTTCCTGCTGTTTTACAAGCCACTGGCTGCACCTGAGCACTTTGGAAGATAGATGGCAGTAGGTCTTTAGGAAACAAAACCCCCGCAAATCCACTACCAATAAAATAAGATAAAAACTCACTTCAGTTTCCAGAGAATACCTTTTCACATCAGCTGTGGTCCAGTTTTTTAAGGATAATCCAATCAATCCCTCATCTGTCCCATGATCAGAAAAGTGGAATCTGCTCTCTGATTGCAAAATGATGTCTCCTTTGTTGAGCTGGTGTTTTCCAGAGAAAACAATTAGCGAAGTATAACCAAAGAAGGTGTTAAAACTTAATTCCGTCAAAGAAATGGGCTGTTCATATAGTCATAAGAGGCTGTACATGGGTGTTGGCATTCTCATGAAATTACACAATGTAGTTATTAACAAAACTTGCAGTTTCAGAAATCAACACAGCCTCCTCCTCACAGTGCTTACTTCATTACATCTTCAGTTTTTGTGGTACAATAATGCATATTCACTTATTACAATCTCAGACGATGAACAGCTGTACTGTAACTGAATTCTGTTAAAACCGTATTAAAAACAAATTTATGTTTGCCTTTTTGCTTCTCAGCTACCCTATGTAGATATTTTGAAGAAAAGGATCCAAAAAATAAATATACACCTGATTTTAAAGTGATGCATATATACATTTTCCCCATAATAAACAAGCAGTAACACATCTTCATCTTGGAAAAAGTTTTTCACTGGCATCAGAATTTGGCAGCTGTTTCTCATTCCTGAATGAGTGTGACATGCTCGGACAGTAAATGAGGAAACTGAGATGTGTTTTAGCCACTAGCAACTGGAAAGAAGGACCACATGTCTTGCAAGTTCAAATATTTTTATTGTTGTGACTACCTATGGGCAATTTGGGGTCAGAACTTGCACCTAAGCAAGGTCATGGAAGCGTTTTCTATCTGTCTGAGTAATATAAAAATAAATGACAACTATAAGGTTCAAAAGTCCGTCACTACCAGCAAAGCAGACATTAAAAAAAAAAAAAAAAAAAAAAAAAAAAGTAAACTTAACTACAGGGTAAGGCCTAGTTTCATTTTTGATCACGCATGAGCCTTTTTTAGTATTCTGCAGAAACATGAAATTTTTTAAAAGACCTTTGAGAGAGGAATAGAAAAGAAAGAACATAGAGGACGGGAATGTTTACAACCATAATAGGGCCTACAGAAAAAGAATTATAGAATCACAGAATTGTAGGGGTTGGAAGGGACCTCAAAATGTCATTGGGTCCAACCACCCAAGAAGTAACACTAAGAAGAAGTAACACTACAGTGGCAAACATAACCTTTCTCTGCGGTCCATCAAAATGCGTTGTTTATTTATGTTTTTTTAAATTACATAAGTAAGGAAATACTTGTGAAAAACTGCAGCTGAGGAAAATCCAGTCTCCAAACCAGAAATTAAGTTTAAAGTGAAGTAGGTTCATTATGATTATGTGAGACTTATATTTGGAATGTTGCAGAAATCAAAGCTCATGTAATAATCCAGGTAAGATGAATAGTTTGTTTCTATTTTACCCAGAATATTCTGTTTGGTGCATGAAGTCAGGAAAATGTTTTCCATAACAGCTTCTAACTGAAATTTATCAGGATATAAGAATTGATTTTTCTGCAATTAAACAAGAAAACAGAGTAAAAATATGAAAACAGAACTTCAGACACTCCTCAGTGACCCTTTTGCCTGAGCTCTCAACTTCAGATTCAGTGTTTTTACATAACATTTCCACCTGGCAATGTTTTGGTGTATCAGCACAGTTGTTAGGCCCCATCCTACTGAATTAACTCAACAGGTTTATGTTGAGGTGTATGGCTTATAAGAACTCAATTTTTCTTACTTATGCTACATTCATTTTTCTTCCTATGGAGAGAAAAATATAAAAGGTAAAATGAAATAGTGGTATTTCATAGAACATGGTGCTTTACATAAGCTTTATTAAAAGCCATTCAAAATTTCCATCCTTCAAGAACAACTTCCATGAAAAAATGTGGTGAGTTAGCAGATACACCAGCCTTCTTTTACCTCATAAGTTAAATTGTGTTTGAACTTTTTGTCATCCCAGTTCAGATCTAGATATTCCTTAAATGATGCTGATGTTTCTTCTAGAGACCCACATGCATGAAGGTGTTCTATACTTAATATTCCTTGAAGCTGGAAGAGGGAAAAAAAAAAAAAAGACATTAGTAATTAAAAAAAAAAAAAGTGTTCAGTATTATTGGCCTTTCTAGAGGACTATACTTTCTGGGCAAAATACATCCTTGTGAGAAGCCTTGAACAGTTTATATCTATAAACTATCTTTATATCTATTATTAGTCTCTAAGAGGTTGATGATTCTGTACTGGGGAAAAACTGCATCCCAAGTACAAAAATACCTGGCAACATGAAACAGAATTCTTCAGAGCTTTTATTTTTCTTCCTCTGAGGCAGCGGCAGGGAAAAAAAAAAAAAAAAAAAAAAAAAAAAAGTTAAAAGGTTTTCGTATAATAACAGGTGGAGAAAAAAAATCATTCTGAAACAGACAAATAGTATCAGTTACATCCTATCCTTCTTTGACTCAAAGATTCATACCTGTCTTGAAGAGCCTGACACACACCCATTCCAGCCAGTGATGTTTGTCCTTGATTTATCCTCCAGGGTCAGTTGGATGTCAGTAGGCTGCCCACCATTGCACGTTAGCTGCAGCTGAAACCAGAAGACAAGGATTTGTCTAGTGAAGCAGGACTAGAACTAGCAGAAGAGCCTTCATGGCAATGTACCAGAATGATCTCCATCCAGTGGAGAAAAAAAGCAACACAATTAAAACTGCTAGTGTTAGGTCTCCATTGAACTGTATGTGGTCTGGAAGCTGAAGGCCTTAGCAAAATACACAGAGAAACTGCTCTTTTACAACTGAAGCAACAGAAGCTTTTCTGTTATTTTCTCAGAAAGCTGCATTTGGTCCATCATGCATAGCAATTGATGGTAACAGTGGGGTAATGACATTACAAAAGAATTTATTACACTGAAAATGACATTTGAGACATACTGACTTACTGAGAGCTCTCAGTGGCATGACTATGACAACCAAAATATTTCACATGAACAAACAGAACATTGCACAGTGTGCAGCTTGTTACTGAGCAGAAAGTCTTCAGCCTCAGCAACTGAAGTGTCCAGGCCCATGCCATACAGGTGCTGCATTATGCATACAATGTTCAGATAAAAAAGCATTCTGTCATCTTTGAACTTGAAGGATGATTTGAGGAGTTCTTCATCTTTTTGCCCCCTTCATGCTTTGCAAGCATAAATAACAATCTTAGTTTAAAGCCTTTCTGGTCTCACACATTTTCACACTTGTGTTGCAATTTCCTAATGGTACTGAAATTTAGGTTATCAGAAAAAAAGAAAAAAAAAAAAAAACACCAACCAAAACAAAAAACCTTATCAAATGGTTTCTGCCTTATTTTCTGGCTTATTTATTTGTTTGTAAGAATGGGAGTTTGTTCATCAAAATTTGCCTTACTTCGTAGCTAGGTTGGCTCTTGTGTGTTTCTGGCTTCTTACCATCCAAAGTGGGTCAATGCTAAGGCAAGACAGATACTGTCAGCTAGCAACAGTTATGCTTACAAATGAAAATAACACTCATGTTTTGAACACAAGTAGATGATACCACTTTGTGCTTTTTCAGTTTTTTGAGATGATATCTGGTTCTGCAATTCTTTGAGATGAAAAGAACACTAACAGTCAATATAGTATTTCAGCTTTGTATTTTGTAGCCCTTACACATTATCTCACCTGGTGGTTGTACTTTCTGGCTCTTCTTTCAGACAGGAAATGAATCTCCAGTAGTCTCAAAGTGTAATTAAATGGGTGGGCAACAGTGGCTTTGTAATTCACACAATCACAGAATCACAGAATTTCTAGGTTGGAAGAGACCTCAAGATCATCAAGTCCAACCTCTAACCTAACACAAACAGTCCCCACTAAACCATATCCCTAAGCTCTACATCTAAACGTCTTTTAAAGACTTCCAGGGATGGTGACTCCACCACTTCCCTGGGCAGCCCATTCCAATGCATAACAACCCTTTCAGTAAAGAAGTTCTTCCTAACATCTAACCTAAAACTTCCCTGGTGCAACTTAAGCCCATTCCCCCTGGTCCTGTCACCAGGCACGTGGGAGAACAGGCCAACCCCCACCTCGCTACAGCCTCCTTTAAGGTATCTGTAAAGAGCAATAAGGTCACCCCTGAGCTTCCTTTTCTCCAGTCTGAACAAGCCCAGCTCCCTCAGCTGCTCCTCGTAGGACTTGTTCTCCAGGCCCCTCACCAGCTTCGTCGCCCTTCTCTGGACCCACTCAAGCACCTCCATGTCCTTCTTGTAGCGAGGGGCCCAAAACTGAACACAGTACTCGAGGTGCGGCCTCACCAGAGCCGAGTACAGGGGGACGATCACCTCCCTACCCCTACTGGTCACACTGGTTCTGATACAAGCCAGGATGGTGTTGGCCTTCTTGGCCACCTGAGCACACTGCTGGCTCATACTCAGCCGACTGTCCACCATTACTCCCAGGTCCTTCTCTGCCTGGCAGCTTTCCAACCACTCATCTCCCAGCCTGTAGCTCTGCTTGGGGTTATTGCGCCCCAGGTGCAGGACCAGGCACTTGGCCTTGTTGAACTTCATGCAGGTGACCTCAGCCCATCGGTGCAGCCTATCCAGATCCTCCTGCAGAGCCTTCCTACCCTCGAGCAGATCGACACACGCACCTAGCTTGGTGTCATCTGCAAACCTACTGAGGGTGCACTCGATCCCCTCATCCAGATCATCGATGAAGATATTAAAGAGGACCGGCCCCAGCACCGAGCCCTGGGGAACGCCACTAATGACTGGCCTCCAACTGGACTTGACTCCATTCACCACGACTCTTTGGGCCCGGCCATCCAGCCAGTTTCCAACCCAACGAAGCGTGCACCAGTCCAAGCCACAAGCAGCCAGTTTCTTGAGGAGAATGCTGTGGGAGACGGTGTCAAAAGCCTTACTTAAGTCAAGGTAGACCACATCCACAGCCTTTCCCTCATCCACCCAGCGCGTCATTTTGTCATAGAAGGAGATCAGGTTCGTGAAGCAGGACCTGCCTTTCATAAACCCATGCTGACTGGGCCTGATCGCCTGCTTGCCCTGCAAGTGCTGCGTGATGACTCTCAAGAGAATCTGCTCCGTGAGCTTCCCTGGCACTGAGGTCAAACTGACAGGCCTGTAGTTCCCCGGGTCTGCCCTCCAGCCCTTCTTGTAGATGGGTGTCACGTTGGCTAGCTGCCAGTCAACTGGGACCTCCCCCGATAGCCAGGACTGCAGATAAATGATGGAAAGTGGCTTGGCCAGCTCCTCTGCCAGTTCTCTCAGTACCCTTGGGTGGATCCCATCCGGCCCCATGGACTTGTGCACACCCAAGTGCTGTAGCAGGTCGCCAACCAGTTCTTCGCGGATGGTGAGGACCACATCCTGCTCCCCATCCCTTCCACCAGCTCAGGGTTTTGGGTATCCAGAGGACAACCGGTATTGCCGCTAAAGACTGAGGCGAAGAAGGCATTAAGCACCTCAGCCTTTTCCTCATCTCTTGTAACTAAGTTTCCCACTGCATCCAGTAAAGGATGGAGATTCTCCTTAGTCCTCCGTTTTGCATTGATGTATTTGTAAAAACATTTTTTTGTTGTCTTTAAAGGCAGTAGCCAGATTGAGCTCCAGATGAGCTTTGGCCTTTCTAATTTTGTCCCTGCACTGCCTCGCAACATCCTTATAGTCCTCCCGAGTGGCCTGCCCACTTTTCCAAAGATTATAAACCCTCATTTTTCTCCTTATCTGAAGCCACAATTCTCTGTTGAGCCAGGCCAGTCTTCTTCCCCGCCAGCTCGTCTTTGAGCACGTGGGGACAGACCGTTCCTGCGCCATGAAGATTTCCCTCTTGTAGAGCGCCCAGCCTTCCTGGACTCCTCTGCCCTTCAGAACCGCCTCCCAAGGGACTCTACCAACCAGTGTCCTGAGCAGCACAAAGTCAGCCCTCCGGAAGTCCAATACAGCAGTTTTACTGGTCCCCTTCCTGGCCTCGCCAAGAATAGTGAACTCCACCATTTCATGGTCACTCTGCCCAAGACAGTTTCTGACCACCACATCCTCCACCAGTCCTTCTCTGTTTGTGAAGAGAAGGTCTAGTGGGGCGCTACCCCTGGTAGGCTCACTAACCAGCTGCGTTAGGAAGCTATCTTCCACGCTCTCCAGAAACCTCCTAGACTGCTTTCTCTGGGCTGTGTTATGCTTCCAGGATACGTCAGGAAAGTTGAAGTCCCCCATGAGAACAAGCGCTGAAGATTTCGCAACTTCTGTCAGCTGCCTGTAGAACTCCTCATCCATCTCCTCATCCTGGTTCGGCGGTCTATAACAGACCCCAACCAGGACGCTAGCCTTGTTGTCCCTGCCGATCCTAACCCAAAGGGACTCGACCTTGTCATTCCCAGCCTCGAGTTCTACAACATCGAAAGACTCTCTAATATAGAGATCCACGCCACCACCCCTTCTGTGCTGCCTGTCCCTTCTGAAGAGCTTATAGCCAGTCATTGCAGCACTCCAGTCATGAGACTGGTCCCACCACGTCTCTGTGATGGCAACCAAGTCGTAGCCTGCCTGCCGCACGATGGCTTCCAGCTCCTCCTGTTTGTTACCCATGCTGCATGCATTGGTGTAGATGCACTTCAGCTGGGTCATTGCCCTATCCCCCAGCCTTGCTATCGTTCCCCCTGGCACAACTCCAACAATCCTTGCTTCAGCCCCATCCCCCCTCTTACCTAGTTTAAAGCCCTCTCAATGAGCCCTGCCAGCTCCTGGCCCAGGATCCTTTTTCTCCTAAAAGACAGGGACACATCTGCGGCCATCAGGCCGGGTGCTGAGTAAAGTGCCCCATGGTCGAAAAACCCAAGATTTCTGCGTTGGCGCCAGCCCCTGAGCCACGTGTTTAACAGGTGGGCTTTCTGTGTCCTCTCTGTACCCCTCCCTGCCACTGTAGGGATGGACGAAAACACTACCTGCACCCCGCTCCATCCACTAACCGTCCCAGCTCCCTAAACTCTCTTTTGATAGCCTTCAGGCTTCTCTCTTCAATATCATCACTACCTGCCTGGACTATCAAGAGAGGATAATAGTCGGAGGCGTGAACCAGGTTGGGAAGCTTCCTGGCAACATCCCTGACCCTGGCCCCAAGGAGGCAGCAGACTTCCCTACGGGTAGGGTCAGGCCGACAAATAGGGCCCTCTATTCCCCTAAGAAGAGAGTCTCCCACAACAATAACCCTCCTGTCTCTCTTGGTGGAGACAGTCCTGAGGTGTGGAGTCGACCTCCTCGCCCTAGGCATCCTCCTGGGAACACTTGCTACCTCTTCCTCACCCACCAGTCTCTCGAGCTCCAGGGCCTCAAACCTGTTGCATAAGGGCACGTGGGAAGGTGGGGCCGGAAGGGGAGGGCATCGCCTGCGATGTCAAGCAGGGACCTGTTTCCATTCCTCCTCAACTCCCAGATCCCCTCCCTCTGCCCAACGGCGACAGGGCAGGGGGTCCACCCCCATTTGGGGCGTCTCACCTCAGTACCTCTCCTTGAGGCCCTGCAGGGAGTTACTCCACAAGTCTATCTCCCGCTCACACTCCCTGATATCCCTCAACCTCTCCACCTCCTCCTTGAGCTCTGCCACCATGCGGACCAGGTCTTTTCCAAACTTCAGAGAAGATAACACTGATACCTTATCAATATAAACAGATGTAAAAGAAGCTTGTGAAATAAAATACCTCTCATATATTGACCTCAAACATACATCCAGCAAGATATTTCTGTACCTTTTCCTGAGATGTCTGCTTAAGAAAATCATTTTTAAAGTAGCTAGCCAAAATGATGTTTAAATAAGGACATTCTTGCTACTTGAATTTCTTACATGACACATCTGAAAGTAATACTGTTCTTTGCCTGTTATGAAGATGGTGAACCATTCTTAAGTTTGTTGAGGCCTAAGTTTGATCTCATCTTTAGATGATTTTTTTAATCACTGGGTTCCACTGCCTCAGAATGATTAGTCAGATCTTGCAAATTCAAGCACAAACAAAAATATTTGCAGAGTCAGGAACTAAATTCTGTAATATTGCTGGAAGGTATCATATTTTGGTAATTTGAATAGTAGCACAAAAATACATTCTATACAAATTCTAAAGTAAAATTTGGGATTTTAGCACTTTGTAAATGGATACTGTTAAAGGAATTCTGATTCTTTTTGCAGGCACATTTATGTTAACACATTGATGATAACACATTTTACACATTGTTGTCGTGGTTCCGCTCAAGTGGGCAGCCGAGCTCCACCACAGCCGCTCTCTCACTCCCCCTCCTCAAAGAGGAATGGGGAGAAAATATGTGAAAAGGGCTCAAGGGTTGAGATAAGGATGAGAAAATCATGCAATAATTATTGTAACGGGCAAAAGAAACTCAGCATAAGAAGATAGTACGATTTATTGCTCATTACTAACAAGCTAGAGAAGTGAGAAACAAAGGAAAGAAACCAAAAGCACCTTCCCCCCCCATCCACCCTCTTCCACCTCCTCCCCCCGAGCGGCGCAGGGGAATGGGGGAATGGGGGTTATGGTCAGCCTACAGCACTTCTTCTCTGCCGCTCCTTCTCGGTCACTCTCGTCCCCTGTGCTGTGGGGTCCCAGGAGAAAACCGCTCCAACCTGGCTCTCCTACGGGCAGCAGCTCCTGCCAGGTCACCTGCTCCTGAGTGGGCTCCTCTCCACGGGCTACAGGTCCGGCCCAGAATCTGCTCCAGCAGGGGTCTTCCACAGGTGGCAGCCTCCATCGGTGCAGGGCCACCTGCTCCATCGTGGTCTCCTCCATGGGCTGCAGCATGGAACCCTGCTCCACCGTGGTACTCCATGGGCTGCAGGGGGACATCCTGCTTCACCATGGTCCTCACCACAGGCCGCAGGGGACTTCTGCTCCGGCGCCTGGAGCACCTCTCCCCCTCCTTCTACACTAACCTTGGTGCCTGCAAGGGCATTTCTCACTCCCTTCACTCTCCCAGCTGCTGTGTGTCGCAGTGTTTTTTTTCCTGTCTTAAATATGCTCTCACAGAGGCGCAAAACAACATCGCTTATTGGCTCAGCTCTGGAAAACAATGGGGCCCTTACCAAACATGGGGCAGCTTCTAGATCCTTCTCACAGAAACCACCCCTATGGCCCCCTGCTACCAAAACCTTGCCACGTAAACCCACTACAATTGTCTTTTCTCTTTCCATTATTCAGAAAAAAAAAAAAAAAAAAAAAAAAAAGTAATAGCCAAGATGATGTATTTCAGACATACATGTAAGTTGGCATAGTTAGTTAAAATATATATTTTATTACCTTTGGTTATGCAGCAACCTATGGGGTTAATGCAAACAAAATACTATGGCCTGAAAATACTCCCAACAAGTATATGGCTTGCTCACGTTCCATAGTCACAACATTTTATGCATCTGAGAAGTATAGTTTAACTCCTACTTGAGTTCTTTGACTTGTTTAATACTGCCTTAAAAATAAAAAAAATCACAAACTTAATAGTTCCTGTAAATCCCCCCACACATATCTTCTGTGGGCTCCTGTACCTGGTCCTTTTCCTTCCAAATGACGGTCAGGTCATCCCAAAGACTGCATGTTGAATGCTTCATATACAACTTCACCTTCACATGCCATGGGAAGGTCATGGAAAAAGGACAGAAAAGCTCCACTGCAAGGGAAAAACAAAAACAAAACAAAACAAAAAAAAAAACAACAACAATAAAAACACAAGTAAGTTCTCCTCACCATGAATCATTACTGTTTACTTTCTGATAATGAAGAAGGTACAGGATATGCTCTCCCACAGGGAATGGGGCAACAATTGGTTCAGAGAAAAAACATGGTCTTGGTTCACACACATGTATGCACCCCTACCCAACAGCCATAGTGACTTCAGTGTGCTGATTTCTACAGAATATGAAAAATTTAAGGGAAATGAAGAGTCTTCTAGTTGCTAGCAAATCAGTAATTATCCCTAATAATCAGAAGATTGATATTTACACCCAAAGCAACTTCCCACAATAACAGCCAGGAAAGTCATCTTTATGGAGCTGAGATGACTTTACCATTATGTAACAGTTTACAATTCTCAAACAAGTAAGTGCAGTTATTTTCTCTATTTTCAGTTAACACAGCCTCAGCATACAGATTTAGCACCTCAGGGTAGTGGCCTGTATCACCAGTGCTTCCTGCAGCAATCCAGTGCACTAGGGTAACAGAATTCACTACAGTTTCTGACAAAAGCCCCAGAAGCATGTGACAATAAAACAACAAAAATTAGAATTGAAAAATTAGAAGAGAGCAAGAGCCCCACACCTAAACAGGGATTTCTAGTTCAAATCTACTACTCTGAATGAGACAGAATGCAGATACAAACCTCAGTCGGCCATCTCCGAGCTATGTATCCTAGTGCCCTGGCTAGAAAGAAAGTAGCTGCAATATTTTAATGCTCTTCTCTGTTTACAAATGGTATCTAAGTCTGTTTATGTCTCCAATACTAGTTCCTATGTTTTTGTTCTTCATTAAATATTTAAAATATTCAAAAGCAAACATAAAAATAAGATTAAATGTTTCATTTAATTCAGAGAACTTCTGAAATTTATTGTAAAATAGTAATAGATGTTTGTATTTGTTGATGACTTTTCAGTCTGGCTAAGCTTTTTCCTGGCACTACTAAAGGTTATTGAAGTTTCACATGCTTCACAAAGCAGAAATATGTCTCCAAAGTGGACGTTTCTAACAGCCAAACTTCTCAAGAATTTGAAGCAAATAAGATCTTGTAAGGCCTGGACTGAGACAATTTGAATATGGATTTTAGAATCAGGTTTATATGACTTAGTTTATTGTATAGTATGCTATCAACAAAAGAATTTAGAAACTTACCCTGAATGTCATGACCTCCATGCAACTTTGGAAAGAGTCCTGTGTAAGTGCCTGTTATCTTTGCCTCTTTGCCATCCCACAGAGCAATTTGCCTCAGCATACATGTTCTGTTGCCTTTTTGGTAAACTGTCATGAACACAAGCTGCACTGGAAGATTTTTTAACTAAAAATAAAAGAGGACAAACATTAAATCCCAAGTTCTCTGAAAAGTTAAAAACCTATTGGAGTTTATAGTTTATACCCAAAATTACCTGTTTAGAATCTAGCTTTAGAAATGTGTTTGTAAAAAGTCTAGCACAATGATACCCTAATGCCTGATCACTCCTTTTATTACCTGTATAATAATAAAAAAAAATAGCAATAGTTCAGTTTTTAATATATGATTTTTCTTATTTCCTAGGTATCTGTGTATTAACATACCCTGTCTATAGGAGCACACAAATATCAAACCAAATGACAATTTATATCATTTGTCATTCAGGCAAGCTAATCCAGCCATTCAAATTTTTGTTTGCTCATGCTACTGAAGAAATCAAGGGCAAAGCACCTCATAGCAACTGGAGCTGTACTTGCTCTTCATGGTTTGGCAGCCAGCATCCTGGCTGCCATGCTCTAGAAATAAGATAGTCACAGCTTGCCTTTTGCCATTTGAGTTGATGGTACCAACCTGGGACATTGTCTGTATTATTTCAATGACATTGGTGTAGCTGGTTCCAGTGAAAGTTAGCTTAGCTGTAGCATTAAAATCCTTTTTTTCTATGCTGAGGTAGAGTTTGCCTTTTACTTCACTCTTGTCAGAGTTTACCTTTTAAAGTTCCCAAAGAGAGAGAGAGAGAGAGAGAGATGAATATTGTGCTCATATTCTTGTCACAGTATATTATGTTATGGTCCTCAAGACCTTAGACAGATCTAACTTGTCAATTTCACTTATGTTCACATTGTAGAAGACAGGTACAAAATAGTATATACTGAGTAACATGCATAAGAAATTTGTTTGTTTGTGTGTGACCAGTTATTTCAGGAGTAACAGTATTCTGCATTTGACTTCACTGCCACAGGTTGACCGGAGAGTTGTGAAGCCTCCCTCCTTGGAGATCTTCAAAAGCTGCCTCGGCAACTTGTTCTACTTGGCCTTGTAGAGCAGGGAGGTTGGACCAGCTGACCTCCAGTGGTGCCTTCCAACCTCTGTGATTCTCTGACTAACAAATAACCCCATTCATCTGCCTTGACTCTTGTGTACTTTTGCTCTGCAAACAGCCAATATCCAAAATTGTTTTCTGCCCAGTCTCCCTTTTCTTAGTAGCCAGAATAATTAAAAAAATATTCCGGGGAGATTCTGTCAGAAGTCGTCATTTATGCAGATGCGCAGAAGTGAGTCAAATGGAACAAAGCTTTTCTATTAGGACTGCTGGCATCTTTGAAAACATCAATGTCCTCAACAACAAGAAGGCCAGGGATAGTAGCACTAGAAATAACACAGTTTGACTCCAAAAATACTGGTTAAGTCTAGTTTGTGGTGATGTGTGATAGATAACTTGCACATAGTTACCTTAGTAGATAGTTCTGTTGCACTGGGGATGTACTGTAGAAAGAAGGGGAGATTCTGGAGTGCTTTTATATTCAACTCTTCACTGAAGGGAAGAAACAGACTTTTGTTCAACAATATATAAGAAAGTCCACTCTCACTGACAACACAAGTTCAGCTGCGTAGTCTCTGAGTCTACCACAGCTATTAGAGATAAAAATTGCAGTACCTTCCACTGAAAGTTTACCCAACTCACATTTTTTGATGTATTCATACAAAGGGAAAGGAAACTAAAGAACAGTGCCATCTCTGACCTCAGTGAAAAACCCATGTATGTATCTGAGGGACAGAGTGTGGCCTGCTGGATCAAAAATTACTTTGGCTGTCATAGTAAATGCATCAGCTCTTTTAAATTATTTATATATATATATATATATATGAATCTCACTTTGCAAGCATTGCCATGGTTTCCAGCTTTAGAATTTACCATTATTAGACATTTTAACAGAATTTACAAGACTTTTCAGCACAAAGGTCTTTTACTACAAACTTAATCTAGAAATACTGGAAATACTGTAAAGCTCAAAATATTACACCTCTTAAACATTCTCAAAAGTTGTGTTTATATATATACATGTGTATATATATATATATACCCCATACCAAATTTTTCTGTTTAGGCATCGATTGTCAGACACTTTGCAGCATATTCTATTCATTCTTCATTTCTTAAAATAACTTTTATTTTTAAAAGAAAAAAATAGGGAAATAAAGCACCGCAGATAAACCCTACGGATAACAATTTACAAAACTGAGAGTCTCCATTATTTTATATGGTTCAATTATGCTAGAATGACTTAAGATTTGAAGAGCAACATCAAGTTAAGGTATACTTCTAAGTTCTTATCTTGCTCAACTTGAGTTTCCTGCATTATTTCACTGTCTGCCGCACTTTGATGCTGTGGGGGCAGGCAAAAAGACAAGCATGCTCCAAACTGCAGGGCTAGGCATCTCCAACTCTTTGTAAGCTTACAGAGTGCTTTGGTAAAGAAAGCAGTAATTTTTTCCATGGAATTAGAGTGGTCTAATGACATTTTTACAGTGCTCAGAATGACCCTTTTACCTTTGCTGGTCATTTTTGCTACTAATGGTAAAGGAGAAGTTTCTGTTTTGTTCATAGGCCAGCTTCAGAGCTCCTTCAAATTCATTTTCAGTCACCTTACACATGAATAAGGCACTTAACAAATTAACTTCTCTGTTATTCTTTTTTTCACTCAAACATCTAGAAGATAAAAGATATTTCACTAATGATCAAGGTGGGAGAAGCAAGGGATGCATCTAACACCTTTTAATAAAAATGTTGGCATTAAATATACATTTCAAACACTGACACTTAATACGCAGGTTTAATATTGATATAGCATTTATTTTTAGAAGAGTCTACCTTTAATCTTGTATCCTAGCTACATATCCTCTTATTAGAAGAGAAGGTGACAGGTGGATGACTTGGACGTGCTGTTCTGTACGCTACCCACCAAAAGGCAAGGCGACATTTCAACTAGCAACTCTCCCAAAGGACGAACAGGAACAGCCTTTGTTGATCCTGTCAGGTAGTTTGGAATACAAATCTATTTCTGTTCATTAAACTTTGTGCTTTGAGCAACAATGAAATATTTAAGGTATTTGTGTACAGATGGTTTAACAGAGCTCAGGTCTTCTCTATGTATAGTGAGTGTATGAAGGACAGCTGCTACTACTGCTAAAGCAACACAAACTTTAAGAAGTTTTAAAGCAACCCAAAAGTTTTAAAGCAACCCAACTTTAGCAACCCAAATCAGCTAGGAAGTGACAGTAAACAAGTGCCTTCCTGAAATGATTAGATCCTGAAATCAGTGATTTCAGGTACCTTCTGAGTTTCTATAGAAAGAGACCATTAGATTTGTACTTAAGATAATGAAGTATTCTGATACATTGGACCAAGTTCTCTCTTCTGCAGCTTGTATAAACCTGGAGTAATTTCACTGAATCTGTTGGAGGTGCTCTGGATTCATGCTAGTGCAACTTAGTTGACAGGTCTAATCAAAGTACAGCAAAAGATCTATGGTTTATTACCTGAAGGAAGAAGGGGAGTCCCAGTTGATGGAGAAGTGATATTGAATGCTTCACCTCTGCCATGAATTCAAATAAACCATAGAGCTCAAAGCTGGTATCAACATCCATATCCATGGTTATATCTTTGTCATCATATTGTACTTCACATGTAGTCTTGGTTTTGTTTTCTAAATAGCAATAACAAAATAGTGTCATTTTGAAGGGCTCATTTTCAAGGAATTTCAGTAGTCTGTATAAAATTAATCCATCCTGCTTTTGGATTGAGACACTCAACATGAAGAAGTCATCCATTTGTGACAACATAAGCTGCAGCCTGTGGGTTCGAGGAGCGAAGCAAAATTCAGAGGTTTTTGGATGTCCTTGAACTTATCCAGTCTTAAGAGAACATGTACCCGTGAACCTGTATTAAATGACAAGTCAGTTCCCAACAGTAATGTGTTTTTGTGACTAGAGTCAACTAGCTTATATAGCCAACTGGCACATAGCCACTCCATCTAGTGAAGAGCTCTGAGCTGTTTTTATCTCCAGTGACTGAGTTCCAGCTACACAAGGAACAACACTACTCAAACAGCACAACTTAAGACCTTTCTTCCATTTTGCTACCAGCTTTTAGTATTTGAAAAAGGAGAAAATACAGACTGCTAAGAAATAAAAATAAGATGAGAGATATGAAATCTCAAAAATCTTTAGGAGAAAATGAATCATAGACATGAACGTAAACATACAGTCACCACTGGTGGCTGTCCCAAAAGCCTTTTGCTGTTGCTTCTTTTTTTCAGAATGGCTAACAACAGTATTGATCCAGTGCCTGCTGGCCTCAATAATTCCTGCTTCTTGGCGCTCTATGGTTTTATTTACACAGTTGCCACCACCACAAATATTCTCCTGTGTGGGCAGTGGAGTTACTTGATCAGAAAGAAAATCACCAGCTGAGGAAAACACAGTTAGGATTTACATCAAGGCATGTTTTAAGGACAGACTGGTTTATTCAGGATGGTTCTGTCAACAAATAGAAGCCATTTGTAATTATTTTCAAAAACTGCCTAAAATTACACTGGAATTCACATTTTTGTGCTCTGTAGAAGTTTCTTTGTGTGATCTGGAAAATGAAGTTTCTTATTTTATGCAGCTAAGTATCCTGGGGATCACGAGTTTTACCAGGTGTTGTACCCTGTGAGATATTTCCCGTAATTAAAAAAAGCAAATGCAATATAACTAAAAACAGATGTAGTTTAAGAATGACAATTTTATTCACTTACTAAAAAAAAAAAAAAAAAAAAAAAAAAAAGAACACATTAACACCCACAAAATAATAGGCCCTTTTTTTTGAAGAAATAGTTGAAACATCCTCAAAGAGCTATTATTGAACAAGAATGCCACAAGGAACAGCAGGAACCTACCTGATATCTGTAAACTGAGAATCAAGCTGATTGCCCTAGGGTAGCCAGATGCCTGTAGCACCTCGTTATTATGTACACTCTGGCAAAAGATATCCATTTGGTGACCAACATAGTAAGAGTTTGTTATGTATGTGATTGATGTTTCTCCAGCTGCAATATGCATATATCTTTCCTGAGTAGCATTTATTCCTTGAAAAAACACATCTACCTAAAAAATAACATGTAGATATATTTTTGAATTACCATTTAAATGTCATTTAATTTTAAAACAGAACAAATGGAAGTGAAAAGTCTCTTTAGTCTATACTTATTTTAAAAATCTATCCGTTAGCAGAAAAAAATCTTATCCTTTCGTTAATCATCTATGACTTTCCCATAGCAAATCTGTTCAACTGAATGAGTTTCGAATCACTTAAGTCTCATTTATTCATCTCAAATTCTCATTAGTTCTCTTTTATCCCACAAAAACATGAAAAACATGACTCCTGTTATATAAAGGATCTTTGATCCATGCATACTGCCAATGTTTACCACAGAGTAGGTGCTCCAGTACTTCCCTGAAAGAGTACTTAAATAATTATTTCTTTAAGTATTACATTCCTATTAACAAAATCAGGAGCAATATTCCAATTCACAATGCAATGTGCTGATGCCATACTGCCGTTGATGTGCAATGTTCATAAAACACATTGTACTAACACTGGTCAGAATGGAATAACTTGGTCCAGAAATTAGTTAATAAATTTTCTATTTCAGTAGCCCAGATTTTAGCCATCCATATTATTAAATATCAGAAAGTCTCATCTTACAAAATTGTAATTCTCATTTTAGCCATAATCTATACATTACAATAAAGGACAATAATTTTATTTATTTATATATTTATTTGAAACTACCTGTATAGATTTTGGGATTATGGCTTGTATCAGCCATGGCCAAGTATGCTTGAAATTTCCTGTTACATTGGTAATTGTTTCAGACTCCTGGATATGCCCTTCAAGAACTGTCAAGTGAGCACCATAACGCACTTTAATACTCAATCTCTTGATCACTTTCAGGTTCAAAATAGCCTGCAAGCAACAATGGTAATTTGTGAAAACACAGCTTTGTAAAATGCAAAGTTCATGTTAGTCAGGTTTCCATTTTTGGTTTAGGTAACATCATCTCAAAGACGTGTAAATAAAAATTCATATCATTTTGCAACACAGACTAGTTAGAAATATTGAAGAAAGCTACCTGTTATTTTTAAATTTAAGATTTTAACAAGTATTCTCCAGCATGGCCATGCCTTAACCCTATTCAAGCACTTATGTGATTAATAAAGCTTTAGTGTTGTGCTGTAGGCTCGTGTATCTCAAATATAAAAATATGTCAGATAATCAGTGACTGGAAGGAAAATACCATTTGGAATGTAAACCTTGAAGTTGCTATTAGTTACTCAACTCCGTCTAGTCTATACATGGCACACTGCAGCTCTATCAGACAGACAAGGCATATGCTAAAATTCACTGCCCTCCTCAGGTAGGGAGTGCTGCAAGCTCACCTGTGGCTTGGGTTGTTCATAGATTGGGAACAAGCCTCCAAGCTCTTATTCCTATTAAAAGTTCGGGTCCAACAAGCTGTTCTTCCAGCCCCTCAAGAACAAAGTGAGCTTTTGGACTCCCCTGCTATTTGACTTCCACAGCTACTGCTTCTATGTTTTGACCTGATTCCAGGCTAGGTGCGTGTCTCCTCTGTCAGTGTCTGATAACTCACCTGCAACTCAATCCTCTCTTCTACCTGCAAAGCCTTCAGTGCCTCTATGTTATGAGTAAGTTTGTAGTTCAGAGACACTACACCCAACTTCTGGACAAGGCTCAGTTCTTCTCTAATCTGTTATGCACAAAAAACATATAACAAAAGTTAACCGTGGTACACCTTTGACATTGACACTGCCCTGATTATTTCTAATTATTCTACTAATTACACATTAGAGTAAAATTACAAAAATGTAAGGTGATGAATTGTCTAATTTTTTTATGTCACTTCATTGTACTGCAATAGGGAGTATGAGGCATCTAGTGCTGATGCATGAAAATAAAGGTTTGCTGTGGTTTAAGTTGGCAGGCAGCTAAGCACCACGCAGCTGTTTGGTCACTTCCCCTCAGTGGGACGGGGGTAGAAATGAACAAGGTGAAAGCACAAGAACTTGTGGATTGACATAAGAACAGTTTAATAAGACTGAATATATATATATATATATATATATATATATATATATATATTAAAAATTAAGTGGTGCACAATGCAACTGCTCACCACTAGCCAAACAATGCCCAGCCTGTCTGCGAGCAGTGGCAATCCCCTGGCCAAGTCCCCCTGTGTTACTGCTGAGCATGAGGCCACATGGTGTGAGACATCCCTTGGCCAGTTTGGGTCACCTGTCCTGGCTGGGTCCCCTCCCAGCTCGTTGTGGACCCCCAGCCTCCTTGCTGGTAGGGCAGTACAAGAAACAGAGAAGGCCTTGGCTCTGTGTTAGCACCGCTCAGCAACAGCTAAACCAGCCACATGTTATCAACATTACTTCCATCCAAAATCCAAAACACAGCACCATACCAGCTACTATGAAGAAAATTAACTCTAGCCAAACTGAAAGCAGGACATACAGTTTACAAATGGGAATCATGGATCACTGCTGAAGTCAAATTTATTGCTAAAACAGATGGCACAGGAGTGGTTGAAAGACAGTGGCTTCATTTAAGACCTTTAAAACTGAACCAGCCCCTGGAGAGTATTCCTAGGAGAGCCTCAAGCACAGCTATTTCAAGTGGAAAAGTGATTTCTACCATACCAATCAGCTCATGCTAACCTCTATTTCACAGCTTCCTAACACAGAGAAGATACTCGCTTGTTGTTCACACAGAAGTAAGTCAGTCCTCTATAGAAGTAACAATTTTTTTCTGATATTACATCAACTAACGTCCTCATAGGAATTCCAATGTCAGCAGCTTTTTGAATGTTATGGGTTAGCACGACATCCTGCTCTTGTCTTTCCAGTTAAAATTTCACAACATATATAGAAAAATACGTGTAGATTCCAAAGCTTGCTGCCATATGTAGTTCAAAACAGGAATTTAGTATATTTGTCTGTCCTACACTCAGCACTAATTAAAGCTAATTGCACTGAAATTAAGGAATTTACACTGGTTGGGGATGGGGGGGGAGGGAGGAGAGAGGGAATAGAAAAAAAGCCTGACAGACAGTATAAAAAACAGTTTTCAATTACAAGACAAAAAGTGCAAATGTCATTTCATGTCAAAAACTTCCACTCTCATGTCAAAAACTTCCACTAGCAATCTGTTTCTCTACAGCACAAAATACCCCGGAATTACCAGTTATGGCAAGCAAGAGAATGATCAAAAGGAATTTCATGTATTTCTCTCTGCATGTACTCCTCTCTCCTGCACTGGTGACAAGAGAAGCCAAACAATTGTCAACAAGAAAGCAAGAGATTCACAGCCTTTCTTGTGTTGTCTTACTGAAGAAACAAACAGCAGTGCGTCATTTAATCATTGCCTTTTATTTTGCACTGTGAATCACAGTGATCGCTCTATAAATCACAACCTTTTTGTTTTTGTTTGTTTGTTTGTTTGTTTTTTCTTGTGCATTGCTGTGTATTTCCATTATGAATGAGGAGTGTTAATACTGGGAGGACCTGTTGTATATCTGGAGTGTGATCAGCACCTGTGTTTTTGCATGTTGTATCATATTTGATGCACAATACAATGAATACCAAATAGTATAATATAAAGAAATATATGCAGACAAAGAACATAATAAGGAAATGTTTCAGAAAGTATCACAGCCTGTATCATATTATCCTATATATTTTACTGTATATTACAGGTGTCAAATTTCTGAAGATTTAATTTTTATTCTGGCATTTGTTACTAAAGCTTGTCTATTTGTTCCCAATAAAATAGTTTAGAGTATGTCATCCAGTACTTTGCACATACAATCTAATAGTCTTCAGGACACTTACATCAGTGATGTTTAGTATAAGGAGTACTTGTAATTTACTTTCATCAACAATGATGAAGGTCTGTGAATCTAGGTTCATTTTATCCATTAAAATATAGCCCGAACCATCAATTTTTACTGGTGCTCCAAGATCCTGTAGAAGTAAAATGAACAAAGAAATAATAATTAAAAAAAAAAATACACACTAAACAAAACACCAGAATTCACCCCTTTTATGCTTACCCACAGGTGTTATGCACCTGAGAGTTTTTATTCCTTTTAAGTAATCATAATAGCACCTAGCTCTAAATCTAGCACATCAGGTAGTATACCCATCCACTTTTTTCTTTTTTCTTCTGAAGACGTTCGACATATTTTCGATAAGAGTTACCATAAATAGGATACAGGACAACCTGACAGATCTTCCTACTTGAGTGAAGTGTCAATTGATTTCCTATGCATTGCTCAAAGGACAAAAAGCATCCATAAATCCAGTGAAACCATACAGTTTACATAGGTTGATTACAACAGCTTTGTTTTCAGGAGAGGGCAGGTAAATCTCATCTTTATATGTTCCATTTTTCCCTGATGTGCATATTCAATCCACGGCTCATTCTGTGTTAACATCTCACTAAAACTTTCCCCACACACAATTCTGTCCCTTCCATTTCCTGGCTGTGCAGCACTAACTGGTGGGGTCTGTGAGAGGCCTAGTACAACAATGCAATTATTTCAAACAGCAATATGAATATTCAGTCTGAAGATTCAGTGCTCTATCTAGCTACACTTAAAACTGCTACTTCAGGAAATCCTGCTGCAGAATTTCTCCCCCTCCACCTTCCTACAACAGTCTAGTCTGAGAAAACAAACTAATAAGTAAGAACTGAGGGAAGAAGTGCCACTTTTTCACACCTCCATCAAAAGGCAGAATGGGCTCAGCATGCCACACTAACTTGCTGAGAAAGGTCACAGCACTCTGCCTTTCTTCACCTAGGGAGCTTTGAAACTTGCCTCACTGCCCAGCTCTCTTAGCACCTTCCAGGCACCAGCACTTTAACTCCTTCTGAGATGAGGACTCCCAGTATGTCTGATGCCTGCCAGGTGGATTATCCCCAGGATGGGGCTTACCTTCCTTTGTTTCGTACAGCAATGAGACTGTATTGCAAAGGATGGACAACATTTCAAATGTGTGATATGAAGTCATTCCACAGATCTCCAGTTTTCATTACATATGTCTACCAGCTAAATATTTTCAACAAAGAAACTACTACTTTCTTATACTACTGTTGCTGTTTAGAGCCTATAGTGAGATTCTCACCACATTCAGAAGTTTAATCTCATTAACGAAGCAGAAGGTGTGATGTGGCGGTGCTAGTCAGGCACTCTAAATGGTAAGATTCAGCTCAGGGGTAACTGTATGGTCAGCTTTTCAAGAATTACCACAGAAAATGCCTCACCAGGGAAGTCCAAAACAGATTGTTCAAAATGTCATTGTTGGTTTTCAACCAAAATTCCCCTCAAATATTCCTCAATCAAGGTCTCCCAGGAAATTGCAACTGCTGTTTAATGCTGTGGTTTTTTTTTCCACTCTTTGTGTCCTACACAATGTTTTTCATACATTACACATCAGTTTGCTAAAAAATTCAATTTCCTGTAAAGCTGAATGAAAATTTTATGACGTTAAGATTATTTATTTAAATCATATTTTCATTTTGTTTCCCAGTTTACTTGATATATTTTTAAACTACTATAGAGATTTGTTGTCAAACTGCTGTGAAATTACAATCACAGATGAAACCAAGGACAACTTTGAATACTCATTCTCTCAAGATTAAAATCTAGCAGATTTCTCAGCCATCCTTTTAGAAAAATACACCAGAGCTAGTACAAGCAAGTTCATTGACCATAGGCACTGTTTCCAGTAAAATTTGGCTTAAACCTTTTAAAGGCATTCTACTGTGAATGATTGGTTCCAAAAGTAAAATGTTACATTAAGAGAATGTTTTTTGTTTTGGTTTGTTTTTGGTTTGGTTTGGTTTGGTTTTTGCTACCACTGAAATCATTAGACTGTTTTCTTTTTAGTAGGTGCAAAGATTCTGGTTTAGCAGCATAAAATAAAGAGTAATACAAAAAATTCCTTCCTATACCTGAATTGTTTGGCATTTATTTTCTATAGACATTTTCCACTGAAGCTTCTTTTCAGTGAGGAAGTCCCTATTCATTTGAATCTTACAAGAACCTGATTTCACTCCCAAGCTGATCTGATAGTTTAACTGTTTTCGTGAGGTTATGGACAGCTTATTTTCCCTTGGGACATCTTTCAGTTGAGGGAGATCATGCCTGAACTGAATTTCCAGTGTGATCTTTGGTCTGCACTCTGCTCTTACTTCAAGATGGGCAGTCTTGCTTTCTGTCTCAAGGACACAGAGAAGTTCTGCTTGGCACTTGTCTTTCTGAACAGATGCTGTAAGCCATGACTGAGTTGGAATACTAAGATCCTACCAAGATTAAAAAAAAAAATAAAAATAAAAAAATAAAAAAAAATCCCCTTGATTATACATACACATTGAGATGAGTAAATTTTGATTAATTTTTCTTTTCCCTACAGCACAAAAGGAAGGAGATCTTATGCTACAAAATCAGAGACAAAGCCTGCAATCCCTGCACTCCTGCTTTTCTCACTCCCAATGATAAGGTGACTATTTGGCCTGAATAAAGTCTGAGGGAAGATTTTTGGACTGCCCTGCAAAATTTACAAATTCTTTCTTTATACAAAATTTTACACATTTACAAAAATGCAAAATGCCACTTTCTTCAGAGTAGCAAGGTTTATTGACCATCCTCTGCTTCATTCAGACCAGACCAATCTCAATTTTCAGAACACATTAACACCCACAAAATAATAGGCCTAAAATATATTCTTGCATCTGGCATTCCAAGATTTTGTTTTATTTTTTGATACTAAAGCTTCAGGTTTGTCCTATGTAACATCCCAAATGAAACATTTCATCTCATTTTTCTGAAATATTTGCAAAGATACTGAAAACTCTACTGTTTTTAATATTTTAAGTGGTTTATATTCCCTCTTCATGACTATGAAAATACTATGATAAACACATTCCCATCATTTTTATTTTAATCTTGCTACTTTGCAGCTGAGAAAGTTAAAACTGGGGAGCTAAAAGCAAAACATAAATGCCTATGAACATCTGGAAATAACCCCCAATCTCACAATAGTCTTTCTTCCTAATTCAGTCAGTGATGCTGGATATGAAAACCAAGGAAATTTCACAACTTCTACTATGATAAAAAAAGAGAGAATAGAGAAAGCATTTCTCTGACAAATGGTTCAAACTAAAATTGCTGTTCAGCCTGCCAGGACAACAAGCAATAAAGACACTGAAATAATCTTAGCTTACAGAGAACAGCTACAAACAACAGGATCCCTTAGATACCTTTTTGCCTAATGCAGTAAGACAGATATGTCTTTAAAGTAGTTTTCCAACATTCACTGTTGTTTTAGCTAAATCTCTATGTGGCCCTCATTTGATCCCAAGTCTCTTGTTAAAAGCCTCCAAGAGCTACCTGCAGAAGCTGACATTCTGTTTCCAGTGTCCATTCAGCTTTATTCTGTATACAGAGATCTCCTCTAGCCTTAAGTTTGCATTTGCCAGCCTGCAGCAACAAAATGCCCCCAGTGGTGGACTCTGTGGAAGCAGAGAACAGGACAGAGTTTTCAAAAGGCAGCCCAAGTTGACTCGTCCAGGGAACTGAAAGCCTGAGCATCCCTTGGAAGGCATATTTGTTTTTGCAGGAAGTATCCATCTGCACATCAACTGTTTTGCCATCATACTGGAGGTTCATCAACAAGTCAATATTGCAGGTGTTCTTTTGAAATGAGCCCCCAAAGGCTACAGCATGTGGCAGTCCCATTCTCTGCAACAGAAAAGATGACATTATTTAAAGCAAATAAATTAAAAAAACTGTCCTACTAATTAATCAGAAAGCATTTCTTCTTTCTGAACCGATATGCTTTTGGAAAGGACCATACAAGACAGCTGTTTTCACAGAGAAATCAGAAATTACCCCCAAAATAAACAGAATGGAAAAAAAAAAAAATAAAGCTAAAACATCCTTTTAAGAAATACTGTAGAAGGAAAAGTTCATAACCCCAAAGAAATCCTCCAGAATTTTAAGTACACGATTTTCATTAGATTTCAAAACAAGAGTTTATTCTAATTAAAAAGCTACAATTAAGCAACTATTTTATTGCAACAGCAATAACATCTGCCATTGTACTACCCTAAATTCTCAACTTTAAATACACTCCCTCTGCAAGCACTCACACTCGGTGCTGTACCAGAACTACTTTAATGACCAAAACTGTCATTAAAGATACTCCTGTATCAGGAGAGAGTTCTCTGTAATTCCTGATAGTTTGAAATAGAACGGTTATAACACCATACAGAAAACAATTGATGCTTACCTCTAGGCTGACACACTTGTTTGTAAAAGTAAGTAATTCTATTTCTGTTTCATTGCATTCAGGCTCACTTCTCCATCAGCTTTGAAACTGCAAGGCCCGAAGATGACATCAAGCATCCCCTTATATTTGTCACTTCTGATAGCTGACACTTTCATTTGATTCTCTTTGGAAATACCCAGAGATTGAAGCTGAGGCAAGGAATGCTGGAAGTCAATTTCCAAATGAGGCTGGATGTTAGTGCTGGCATGAAGTTGCAGGCAGGCAAACATGTCATTAAAGGAAATGTGTCCAAAGATGATGACACTAAAGTCGCTGGTAATCATCGACCCATTCAGTGAAACCCTTGTTGGATTCTGAAAAATTACAGAAAAAAATGTTGTCAAATTTGTTTTCCTGTCAGGTCATATATTTTTTTAAAAGGTACATGTTACTAAAAGAGAACTATTTCCCTACTACCCTGCCAACATATTGGTACTCACCCTACATATTCATAAGTACCTAAACAAATGGAGAAAAGGCCAAAAACCTTTAGTTAGAGTTCCACAATAACAATAACAGAAAGAAAAGAAAAAAAGAGAAGAGAAGAGAAGAGAAGAGAAGAGAAGAGAAGAGAAGAGAAGAGAAGAGAAGAGAAGAGAAGAGAAGAGAAGAGAAGAGAAGAGAAGAGAAGAGAAGAGAAGAGAAGAGAAGAGAAGAGAAGAGAAGAGAAGAGAAGAGAAGAGAAGAGAAGAGAAGAGAAGAGAAGAGAAGAGAAGAGAAGAGAAGAGAAGAGAAGAGAAGCCTGTTCAAACATTTATTAGTATGAGAAAAACCATCTACTATTGTTTTTGTTATAATTACTTCTGTTTTTACTATAAACAAATACAGCTCTAGCAATGTGAGAATGTGTTCTATTCCCCCAGACCTCAGCAGGAATGAGTAGTGCTATGTAGATGGGACCCATGTTACATGAGGGCAGAATTGAAATGCATTTGTCTTTTTTTGCCATTAGAAGAAACATGGCAATCTCCATCACTATGATTACTATCTTTATAGAGACAAACAATCTTATATAACATCAGTCACAGGAGACATTTTTAACACATTCTTAAGAAAATGTCAGATTATAAAGTGTATCTTTTTGTAACAGTTCAAGTATCATGGGGACTTTCACAAATAAATTATTAGTAAGAAAGAGCAGAAAGAGTAAGAAGTAAACTATGAAATCCTCAGCTTGTGTCTCCTATGCTCCCTTGTTCCTTTCATTTCAGCTTGGCTGCTCAACAACAGAGTAAAACCAAATATGCTGCATTCCGCAAGAGTGCATGAAACTGAGTGCAACCCTCCCCATGGACTTACTCGGTTTTTGATGGACAAGTAATCTGATATGTATGAACCTGTCAATATTAAGGAACTAAGAATATCTTAATGCGTGTGCCAAACTTCCAGCTACAGTTCTACAACTCTGACACCTTCCAGCATTTAGATTCCCTTACTGGTAGTTACAAGAAGATGTAGTTGACAGCAGAGTTTATGAATGAATCCAGTACCTCAAAATGGTGAAATGCAATCTCTCCATTGCAAAGGCCAGAAACCTGTTTGTTAGATTCTCCGCTGCAAGTAACCTGTTGGCATATCAACAAAGCACATTCAGAGCATGGAGAAAAGCAGAGAGAACTAAAATACAAAGGAGTGAGGAAAAAGACAGCTTTCAGAATAAAAAGCATGAATATGTTAAAGCATAGCTTTAAGATTAAAGTTTTTAAATCTCCAAAAAGAAACAGTTTAGTGGATCTAAGGAAAAACACACCTTTAGTTTTACATTATCATACCAAAATATTATCAGTATAGATAAAGACAGAAATATATCTTCAAGCAATAGGAAACCACTGCTGGCTAGACTGAACTATTTTTTAGTACTCTGACTTTCAATTTTAGCAGGAGATTGTGGTATTTCTTATCTGCAGCATGGGAAGTAGCACCATCACAAATAGAAGTTCAGTGTTCCAAATGCAGAAAGTGAGTTCCTTGGGAAGCGCTATTGGCTGTGTGAAAACTACTGCTATTATTATTCATTCTGCCATCACCACCTGACAGCACCTGACATTCTGACAGAACCACCACACCCACAAACAGTCAAGTGATCCACCTGAAAACTCTGCTTTATCAAGATGGGGCTGCATATAACTGGCCTTGGGCAAGCACTCTTTTAGATATATGCCCATTCTGATTTCATTACATTAATACTTTTGTCATCCACCACATTTTACTTAGCAGCAAAAGGCATGTTTTCAAACAACTCTTAAGCTTTCTGTGGTGGCTTTGTTTGACAAAATTCACCCTCTCTTCTGACCTGCTAGCTTGTTCTCACGACACAAATTCAAATAGTTGACACACAACAGAAAGCTAGATCAAATACACCACATAGCAGGATGTCTGCTTACCTGTAGTATACACGGAACGATGTTAATCAGTCCTCCCACATCGTGATGAAGTGAAAGAGAAATTTCCATGGCACTGCCAGTGGTTTTCATCTCTATTTCAGTTTTGAGCTGTTCTGTCTCTATGGTGGTCGTTATCAATGCAGCAATCTTTGTGGTGAAATTCTAAGCACAAAAGAAACCAAATCATGGGAAGAAACAAATTACATCCCAGCAACAATTGGCAAAGGCTGAGTCTGTTTCATGATGCTTAAACATGATAGCCTGTGTCAGGGCAGCAGCACCAGCAAAATACTAGTACAAATTCTTGAACACGGTTTCATTTCAAAGAGAGATTTTCCTGTCATACTACACCTTCTGAATGCTGTGTGCCAATGATACCTTCAGGCTTTAAAACATACTGAGAGCATTGAGTACAGAGGAAGATTTGAGTCCTAAGGCATACCTGATGAAACCAGTGAAATTACTGGTTAGCAGGGCCAGGGGGATTGGTATAGAATTCTTCCTCTGCGCAACTCTGTGGCTCACTGTACCACAGTGGCTGAACTCTCCACAGACTTTAGTAGTGACTTGAGCCTTTCAGCATACATAAGAACAAGAAAAATATTTGAACTTTTTTATTTTTTTTATTTTATGGAAGGATAATCTGAGATACAAGAGAGCTATAATTTCACAGATAGTTCACAGATCTATAGCAGAAATGCAGATAGACAAAAGAGTAGACAAGCAACACTGTACCATGAAATATGATCTGTGATGCTCCTGTGGATAGAAATTTCCAAATGGAAAGAAATGCTAAGCACTCTTCCTCTCTTCAGCAACATCCAAAGGATGACATCAGTATTAGATAAATCCCAGTACAAGACACAATGCACTGCTAGGTTTGTTGACAATTACTTGACGGCTACATACATTAATGCCTCCCTGTTTGCTTCCCAGTTTTAGGGGAAAAATCAAATTGGACAATACTCCTGTTGTACAATACTTCTTGTAGTAGCAAGGCACTACACTGAAATCAGAAGTGAATGTAAAATCTTGTTTAGTCTATATTCAGATCCAAAACGTCAGGCAACAGGTACGCTGTATGACAAGAAACCATACAGGCACCTTTGTTTCGCATATTAACTTAGTACATCTCAAAAATGCAGACGTGTTTGGAATAATGTGCACAGGAATAAACTCCAGTTATTAGAAATGGTTCTGCCAGAAATTAAATAATAATAGGCTGAACTTTTCTTACCTCATAATAGCCAGCAGCTTCCACAATAAAAGGGATCACATATTTCTTTATCTTTGTGACGTTGTGCTCACAGACAGATGGGATTTAGGAGGTTCTGTGGACAGCCTGTGACCTCCAAATACAGTGGAAATTCTTTCACTGCCGCTCTGCAGGACTACAGTAATGGTGTGATTTCCTGTTCCGTGTTCATATATCATGGTGAGAACGCCATCTGAGGGCAATCCTATTGACAGGAAAGGAAACAAAATCAACAATGCTGGGTTGTCATTGTACTGAAAAACTGTATTAAGAAAGTTAGCATTTTTCATAAAAAGAAACAGATTTGTCAAGTGCTATCCTCCAGTTAGCTGCACTTTCTGATATTTACAGTAAGAAAGGACATTACCTACCATATAAAAATCATATTTTAAAAAAGGATTATTAAATTAAAATGTGGCATGCACTATAGAAGTAAACATTTTTTTTTTTTTTAATAAATGATTTATTAAACAACACTTGAAACAGTTTACTGGGTGATTTATTCAATGGCATTCAGTGTTTCAACTATGGCCCGAGCCAAAGCAGGCATAAAAATATGCTTAGAGGAATGGATCAGCATGCAGGTATACAGATGTACAAATGGGAAATAATTTACTCTGAAGCAGTTCAAATAGTTTTTAAATATTCTTTTAAACATATTATTGTATATTCTTAATATGAAAAAGAATGTTGCTAAATCAAGAGTGAATCAAACTTTATTCTGGTGTGAACAAATGAATCTCATCTACTTCTACAGATCTGCATACATTTAGACAAGCCCACCTTCACATCTTGTTACATCACACCATCAAGTCAGAGATTTCTTCATACCTGCATTGTTTAAAGAGCTGATATTATGTGTGAAAGTCCCAGAGACTCTATTGTGTCCATGACTCATGACTTTGGAAAAATCTACAAAAAGGGCCTTCTCATCCATGTGGAAGCTAACTAGACCTCTTTTCATCTCTTTACTCAGCTCCAGGTGTCCTGTCAGTTTTGCTTCCACTGGGATTGCCTGACTGCCATTCTGAAACATAGTGAAAGTGATATTGCGTATGGTGATGTTCCCAAACACATTTCTGCTCCTGAGATGGAATCCATACAGTGCATTGTTGATCATCAAATTGATGTTACCTGTAATGAACAGAAATGATTAATGGAGAGAGGTGCCCTTTGGGACAGAAGTAACCAGGATTTGATGAGCAACATCTTAACCATTTATTTAATATCAGGAGGAAGTATAATCAATGGAAATTCATTTAATAGATAATTTACCTGAATCCAGGTAGCAAATCAGTTTATTCTTGAGAGAGAGTTTATCTACTAATAGAAGTGTCTATGTTTAAAACAAATTACATAATGGTACTTCTGACAACCATTTCTTTTTATTCATCAGTTCCTTGACCCTTTAGGCCACAGACTACACTGCAGTGCTCTCTGAGGGAAAACTTACACAGGGACTGTGACCTATCACAAAGGCTACTCGTATGCCTCCAAGCTAGACAATCCCACTGGAACTCTGCAGTGCCCTATTGCATCCATGAACCATTCAGAAGAGTAAGGGTCCCAAGTCTGTCTCCCTCTGTGATTCAGAAGGACTGCATAGGAAGGATGCCTCCCACTTCCTTCAATTAGCAAAAACATGAAAATTATAAAACAAAAAAAAAAATGCAACTGCATCTATGTGAATTCATTCAGAAGTAGTTTCAACTCAACGATCAATAGTTCATTTTGATTGTTAAATACTCTCTGCATCAAATGCAGTTCAGTAAGAAATATTTTAAGAAGTTGTCTTGGATAGCTGCAGCAAAACACAAAGTAAGAACATACCATTGTGAATGTTGTTTTTGTGCTTTAGTAATCCATTCAGAGAAAGGAGATGAGGTATAGTCTTGAATCCAGAAAACGTGTGTTGGACTCTTCCATTTAGGGACAAGACAAAACCAACTTTCTGCTGTCTGGCTCCCATGAAATGGGCTCCCACATGAAGCCCATTCTCATTAAATTTTATCACAGAAGATATCAGAAGTCTAAAAAGACGGAGATAAAAACTGCCAGTAAGGTCCCATTATAATGCTTATTTCATGATCATCACCCCCACCCTGTTCAAAGCAGGATTGACAAGAGTGGGGTGCTCTGGTCTGTGTAAGGTCAGGTTTTAAGTATATCCAACAAAGGAGACTCTGCAGACTTTCTGGGCAATTTGCTCCAGTGTTGTGAATCAGTGAGTCAGATGCATTGGAATAGTACATGATATATGGAATAGTACATGATATTCACCACTTGTCTAATTTGGTATTAAAAAAATACTCAATAGAGTCTCAGAGATTGGCAGATTGAAGGAGTAGATAGAGTTGGACAGAATTAGATAGAATTGAAGATAAATTAATCTCTGCCACAACATGAAATCTCCCTTCAATGCCGATTTAGAAACAGAATTATAAAGCTCATCATCGAGAATTCAGCATTAACAATAATTTGAAATGCCACTGTCCTGTGTCCTGGTTTCAGCTAGGATAGAGTTAATTTTCCTCCTAGTAGCTGGTAGGGTGCTATGTTTTGGATTAGGATGAGAAAAGTGTTAAAAACGCACTGACGTTTTAATTGTTGCAGAGCAGTGCTTACACTAAGCCAAGGACTTTTCAGCTTCTTGCTCTGTCCTGCCAGCGGGCAGGCTGGGGGTGCAGTAGGAGCTGGGAGGGGACAGACCCAGGACAGCTGACCCAAAATGGCCAAAGGGGTATTCTATACCATCTGGCATCATGCTAAACAATATATAGGGCTGGCTGGCTGGGGTGGGGGGGCTGGTTGCTCGGGCATAGGCTGGACATCTGTCAGTGGGTGGTGAGCAATTGCATTGTTCATCACTTGTTTCATACACTTTATTAGTAGTACCATTATTATTACTGTTATTATTATTTTCCTGTCTTAATAAACTGTCTTCATCTCAACTCATTGGTTTCACTTTCCCATTTCTCTCCCCCAACCCGGAGAGGGAGGGGGGAGGGTGACCAACGGATGTGCGGTACTTAGCTGCCAGCTGGGTTAAACCATAACAGCCACTAACATCTGGTGTTGGTAAATGAACCAACAATCATTTCTTTGCATCTTAGCCCTGAGCTGAACAGTGTTGGAGAAACATAGCACAACTTTTTAGGGAAATCTGGAAAAACAAGAAGCTCAGTTTTCAGTGTTTCAAGTACAAAACAGACACAATTTGCAAATTTCTTTCAAGAAGTCCACTGAAATATCTGACTTTCTGGAATCAAGTATACTACACAGTATACCTTAAGGTGAGACAATCCTATTTGCAGAGTGTTAGAGAGCCTTCCCAAAAGTTTGAACCCTCTTAAAAGATTGATAACAAATAAAACCTTAACAAAAATCTACTTGTTGGATAGAATTGAATTACATGTCAACAAAGTAATATTCATTTCATTGGTCAGTGACTGAAAACTGTATAGATTGAATTTTTTCCTTTACCAATTCTTTAAAAAAGAGTGTTTCACTAACAGGACTACTGCATGAAATGGCAGTGGCTTACACTGCAGCTATATGAAGATAGTTACATTTAGATATTTATCACAGAACACAGTTCAGCTCCTCTATTAACCAAGATTCTGATTTTTCTACCTCGATGGAAACATTTTGCACATGAGCTGGAGCTGTACTGATTCAGGGCTTGTAAGGATTGCTTGGTGGAGAAAAGCCCTCAGTTCAACACCTCTAGCATTCTTCCTATTTTCTTTGTTCATATCAACTTCCAGCATCAGCACATCCCCTCCATTAAAATGAAGGTAAAGAGAGCCATTGAGCTTGTTTTCATCACAACTCTTCAGTGCTGCTTGGGCCTATGCACAGAGAAAATCGAGAACAGGTCATTAAGAATCTCATATCATAATAAAACACCAACAACATAATGAAATCATACTAAAACACCATTCTGAGAAATAAGACTGTAGGCAGAAACAAGGTTTGATAGTCTCATGAACCCATTAAAATACGTCAGTCAGAGGGATTAAAAAATTAAATTGAATAATTTGTTTGCCTGAAAGTTCATGCAAGGAGACTGTAGTAAATAGGGAACTGACCTGTGAAGACATGGTCTTGTTGATGATCGCTTTTACGTTCACCCTGTAGTCAAAATGTTCTGGATTGGTCCGCCTAGAAAATAGCTCCCCACTTAGGCCCATTGCTTGTGGATACTCAAGCTATTTGACAAAGTAAAATGCATAATTACTGCAACTGCTTCAAGAGATTTGCCATCTAAAGTTTTAGCATGAAGTGGAGGATGAGTATAAGCTAATGTGTATATAATTTTTTTTCCATCAATTTTACCCAAAGGCACAGAAAAATAAATCAAACACATTGAAAAACACATGAAAACAAATACTCATTGTGTTTCTTACAAGACATATTTGACAGGGATTATAATTTGATGATCAGCTGTTACACACCAAGGAGCATTTGTCAGAGCCTGACCTTTATTGAACTAGGATTCTTACATGCATAAAACAATTAAAATTCTAAAGACAATGCAGTAAAAGAGCCACAAGACATGAAAATTAAAGTGCCATAAATAAAACCAACATGGAGAACCAACATTGTTCTTTGGAAAGGAGGAAGGCCAGTTTCAGCATCAATACCTGGAATGAGTGCATCATATTCACATGTAAAAGATGTCTGAAGTCTATGTCACTGGATTTGTCCTGGTATCTTCCCAGAAAGCTGAGAACACCTTGCTTGTTGACTTTCAAGGTAGTCTCAACCTCATGCTTCACCTATGTGTTAAGAATGTGAATAAGTGAATTGTATCAGGTATTAACCCTACATATTATGAAAGATGAGAGAAATCATTGCAGTTTAAAGCTATTACATTGTGGCAAAGAATGAAAAATGAGCAAAAAATAGGAAAAAGGAAAAAAAAGCATTTGTTAAGAAAGATGAACAGATATACCTAGATATGGACTAAAATCCCTTCTTTCCCTGCACTTTTTAATTATAGTGATATTTATACTTAAAATTAATTCTGAAAGATTATATTAGGGATTATTATATATTACCATACAAACCATTATATATTATTATATGAAACACTGTATTAGTCAGCCACAAAGCACATCATTGTGCTATGAATTTTTTGCGTACAGCATTTACTTTGTGAGTAACTAGAGACCTATAGCAAATTTGGTCTAAACGGACAATAAACTGGTAATCTATAGAGAGAGGTGATAAATCTCTCTTTCTAAATGAAATTTAATGGTAATTTTACTCACAGGTGACTTCAAGTTAAAATGCATATTTCAACATCTCTGGGGAACAAGCTGTAGTTATAAGGATGAGGTAAGCCAGCACAAATCTAGAAAAAAAAAAAAAAGAGAGAAAATAGAAGGCACATAAGATATTAAGATATGTACATTAAATCACTTACTTGCTGGCTTTTTCCAGCGTACCAGAAGAAGAAAAAATCTTATATAACTCACATAGGGGGTTTCAGGTTGGTAGCCAAGTATAAGAGTTTGAATTGATTCCTCCAGACCATTTATCAAAACTTTTTTTTCCAAAAAGTAGTGCTTTTGCTGTTTGTCAACAGTAAATGTCTCCTGCAGAAAAAAGGTCTGCAAAATCAGCAGTTTAAAAGGATGCCTGGAGCACAGCAAGGAATGAACAAACCATATAAGACCTTAATGGACAGCCACAGTGAGAAATCATGCAAAAGTCAACTAGAATTCCCAAATCTTCAGTTGCAGATGCCATCAGTCTGTCAGATACAGAAGCAAAACACATGCAGCCAGGACCTCTGAAACATTCTTAGAGTGTAATTATAGCATCATACAAACTATACCCATTTACCAGAATTTCTGATAGAATTTCCAGCCTGGATTCAGGAAAGGCTTGGAAGACCAGGTGAGAGGATGAGCTAAAATTCTGACATGCGTACTAGTACATATGTTTTATAAATCTGCATGGTCAAGACTCATTTCAAACAGGTCCAGTGTCCAAAAGCTTAGGGCAGCTTGCAACGTATACACTATCAAACACTCTTCATGCTTTCTGTAGAAACAATAACTGAATGCCAAGAATTCTATGCAACAGATGTTCAGCCAATATATAGTTCACTTTACTACTTTAGTGCAACATTTTATGGACTTTCTTAAATATTTCTCACCATTTACTTAGTTGGAAGTCTTGGAAAAATGCATTAACTTTTATAATCAGATATTGGACTGCCTTTATACATTCTGGATGTCTGGAATACCTTCTCATTTTTCATTTCTATACTTTTTCTGTCACTGAAAAGACATTTCTCATTTTTTATTTATATACGTATATACATAAAGTTATTTCCAAGATGCACAGTGGTTCCTAAGGGAGCCTGTGCACTTCGATTGACCCTACTATGCCTTAAGAAAGCTGAGATATCTCTAGAGATGATACAGATTTCTGAGGTTTGACAACACATTTTTACCAGAGGCTTCAATCTGTGTTTTGATAATGAGTTCGAAAATAAGAGAAACTTTGGAAACAGCCAATGTCTAGATGCAGTGCAATTATTCTCACCACCAAATGGAAATACTTTCTAAAACATAAATAAGACTATTTGTTATGTGTCTTAAGAGGGAAATATTTGGTTTTAGAATGCTTCTATTACTCCTACCATATCTGAATGGCACAGGGGATCAAATCTAGATTTTGGATCTTCTCACCCCTTGGACATTTGGACACCATGAATTCTGACATTTTCATTAAAGAAGGCTCTAAGTCTAATAAATTTTCCAACAAACACACTGTCACAGCACAAACTGCCTGTTTCCCTTGATGACTTTATTCTCTACCGCTTCAAGGAAGGGTGTGAAAGCTAAGTGGATGCAAATAACTAGCCCATGCAGGCAGTGTGCTCAAGGAAGTGCAGAGACAGATGGGAAAGACTTAAGGCTTTGTGCATGTGACACATTCATCATGTAAAGCCCAGAACCTTTCCCCAAGGGCATCAAGATACACATTAAATGTAGGCCAAAATTTTCTTCAGAGATAGGAATGAAACTACTGAACCTGAAATAAACTGTTCCACGTTTTTGATAGAGCATCTTCTCCTTCTTCAGTTCTTCTATTTGACTTCAAAACTGAAGAATTTTAGGCAGACTATTGTAATCTGTCCATACAGCCTTCACAGAGAAGTTTGTCTTCATAGGCTGCAGTCAAATCATGACACCAGGAGAGAAAAGGACAATTGCATCAGATTCACTGTATTCATATTCAGGAACACCAAAACAAAAACCACACAGCTTAATAGGCTGCAGTGAGACTGTCATTTCACAGAACGTCCCCTTTCTGCACGACTTTAAATCCTGATCGCAATTTACATAAGAATAAAAGTGACATTAATAGTAAACCACTGAGTGTGTCAGACGACAAACATCCTTACTAATGTATTACTCCTCTTTGGAGACAAACTATTTGTTATGTTTCCCATGTTGTAGGCACCAAGCAAAGCAAACATGATTTTAAGCATTATCATAAATTGGAAAGGATGCAGAGGCTTGAATGACATATAACCCAAGGCTGTTACTATACACACTCATAGGCAAAATATGCTGATTCCCTATGACAGTATAATCTTCCATACCTATGACAGTATAATCTTCCATACCTGACATTTGTATCAAAATGTAAGAATGTAAGCAATCACATCTATAGCTCTATTTCTAGTCATATTATATCTTTTTGCTCTCTCCTCCCTGCCCTTCTGTCTGTGATTGGCATCCCAGATAGGTGCATAGGATTCAAAACTGTTGTGGGGGATGACATTGGAGGGTGGGGTATGGTTGGTTGGTTTTGTTTTTAAATATAGCTTTACATTGCAGGTTGTCAAAATGGATGAAAAAGAAGGAGCACTGGAACTGTTTAACCTTCAACACAAAGCAAAGACATATTTGGGGAAAGTGGCAGACCTGAAAAACACAGCACTGGGTCAGAGAAATTACCTTTGTACATTTGTACTTTTTTGTCTTACCATTGGCAGATTCTAATAGCTGGCTGTGAAGTTTTGTTTTGTGCTTTTTATCTTAAAGCAAAGAAATTTGTCTTTTTCATTATTCTCCAAATGAATCTCATTCTTCACAAGCTGATTCCACAAAGATACCATTTCAGTATAGCTGTGCAGAACATTTCTCTCAAGACGATTAAATGTGGAGGCCTAAAAATAAAGGGGAACATACTAGTCAGGTTAAGTTGAGACAGAGAAAATCCTATTGTGCCAGCATCACAGGCCAGAGCTGAAAAGAATGCATTGTCTTGGAGAAGCTCATTACAATAACTATTAGAAATAGTGCATCAGCTTTTCCATTATCCAAATAATCTGAGTTTCCATAAAGATCTCAAAAATTATTTTATCCCCACAAGCAAGGGAGAGACAGAAAGCTAAGTAGTTGGAAAGAAAATAGGTGATGAACACTTTGTTTCCTTTCTCATTGAAGAATGTTTCTCACAATCTTCTTCACTGTGCCTAAACCATCAGTGATCTAACAAGGAAAAGCTGCAGTTCAAAATAAAGGAAAACCTTAAGGATAAACCAAACTAAAGATTTAGAATCCACTGTGAATGTCTGGAAGAAAGGCAAAAAATCTAGAATCTCTTTTCACAGAGACAGAGACAGATAAGGACCACCTCAATGGAAATAATGAAGCTTCCCCAAGGCAAATCTACACCTTGCATGGTGACAAAGGTTAACCATATTTGTTAATCAGCTGGTGATGAAATTGGTTTTAAAATCTCCATTGCACGGCACAGCTGAAAATAAGTTACGAAGAAGCTTAGAATCCATAGATTCAGGGCAGACTGATTCCACCCAAGGGATATCTAATCCTTTCACAGAAAGTGGAAGAATTCCTATGAAAAAGACTGAAGATTAAACATTGAGAACTTACTAGAGAAAATTCTCACACAGAATTATGGGAGACTGAATTTACCCTGAGTCACAACAAAAGAAATAACCTTTCATTTTCTTGGAGTGAAGGAGAGGAGAGAGAACTTAAAAATAGTTACAGTTGTTTGTACACTCCTAGGTAGAATTCTGACATGAAATATTTGGGCTTTGTGCAGGAATAAATGGACTTCCATTCCAAATAGAGGCAGAGATAGCGGCCCTAACATTTTCAAAGACAGCAAAGAGACCCTGGCTGTTTTGATTTGCCTGCCCCCAGAGAAAGAATAGCACGTCATTCCAGCATAAGAAACAGATGAACATCGACTTTTCAAGATGCTCTCTTATAAATTGGCACATAGTGGATTAGTTTCTCAAACAAGCTACTTCATATAACAAGCTGAGCAAGTGTTATTCCAGTATGATGACAGTTCAGTTAGGTACCCATCACAAAGCTGCATCATCAAAGCTTTACACTATAGGAAACATCATGTTACTTACTTGCAGGTATATGGTTGCTGGTGTGTAAATGTTGGGAATTGGCATAATTGTTCGATCTAAGCTTGCTTTAAGCAACCAGGGGTAGGCCTTAGAAATCTCAGGGCCTGCTGTAGCTGAGCAAACCAAGCTGCCAGAGTAACTGTGAGAAGCTCCCACAGCAATGACTCCCACATCACCCAATTAAGGAACTCAGAAAATATTGTTATCAGCAGCTGGCCTCAAGGACTAGGTCTACGTGACCGTTAAGCACAAAGGGGATTGTTTTCCTAACTTCTAATCAAAAGGTGGTGTTATTTTCTTAACGGTTTGTCTGGGTGCTTTTGACCAATAATCTTGTGTGAAACACTGTCCACCCCTGTAAAATTCACTATAAAAGTTGGGCTATTCGGGCAATAAAATGGTGAAGCATGATCTGACTCTGCTGGTGTCTGTCGTGCTTTCGTCCGTGCTTCGCAACATGTAAATGTGAAATTTCCCCTCCTTTTCATTGCTTTGATCTTTACAGGATAGTTCCACTACAAGATTTTTAATGGAGAGAACTTTGCCAATTGTCAGTTCCATAGTCAATAAATAAACAGAATGCTGAGGCTGATGTATTTTGTGAGCTGCATGCAGATATAGCCATGGGGTGTCCATACTTAATTCTCCTGGAAGGAATATATAAATTAAAGGTGGCAGAAATGTGAGATTTCAAGCTACCTGGCTTCTAATTCTACAACAAAGCTGACAAGAAGCTGGGTTTCTGGAATGAGACTGAATGCTACTATTGGCTTCAGAGTTGTCAAAATCTCTGGATGCTTGTGTTGGGTCTGTCTGAGCTGGCGTCACCTTTTCCCTGCAGCAGCCTGCACAGTGCTGTGCTCTGCACTCGTAGCTGGAACAGCACTGATATCACTCCAGTGTTGTGTCTATTGCTGCTTGGTGCTGGCACAGCATCAGGACTCCTTCCAAGCCCCCAAGAGCCAGCAGGCTGGGGGTGGGCAAGTGATGGGGAGGGGACATTGCCGGGGCAGCTGACCTAAACCAACCAAAGGGATGGTTGGTTTATTCCATAACATCTGATTCATCAGGTGTTATGGAATAATCCAACACCTGGTTGGATTATTCCATAACACCTGATGTCACACTCAGCAATAAAAGGGGGGGCTCTCGTGGGGGAGGGGGCTGTTCCTCCTGAACAACCACTACGTGTTTGAGGCCCTGCTTCCCAGGACGTGGCCGAACACCGCTCGCTGATGGGAAGTAGAGAATAATTCTTTCTCTCTGTGCTTCCGCGCGGACTGATTGTTTCTTTTGTATCTGTTTTTCCTTCCCATTCCCTTTCCCTTTAATTAAACCTTTCTCATCTCAAACCTCGAGTTCTCTGTGTTGTATTTTCTCCCCCTTCCTTTTGAGGAGAGGGGGAGTGAGAGAGTGATTGTGGTGGAGCTCGGCTGCCCACCTGAGTAAAACCACCACAATGCTACATAGTTAAATGAATGTCCTGCACTAATGTAACATACTACATAGTTTAACACACAGCGCCATTTACAAGAATGAAAATTTATGGAACTTGGTACTTAAATTACTCCAGAAAAGTGTTCTACTGCATGACCTTCAACAATATGTAGAATCTTTACTTGAACTGTAATTCTGTAGCTATTATTCACACAATTACAATAATGGCTTTTATCAAAGTTGTTTCAACACAAGCCAACATAGTAATTAAATCCTGCAATACATACATTTTGAACAAGATTGGTAGGCTATTTTGGAAACTAGTTTCCAGACAGCTCAGAATGTTTATATCTGACAAGGTGCTGAAAACTCACTTTTGAAATTTCACTGGTTATTTATCAAATTATGCCATTTACCCACTGCAATATAGTTCAGAAATGCACAAGTTTATAACAGTCACTCACAAAGTAATCTCCACATTTAAGACTTCAGAATTAATTTGACCTTAGTTCATTTCACTTTAACAAGCAGAAAAGCACAACAGTTAATAATTAATCCACTGTATCAAGCTAGTTGTTTTGCAGTAATAAGGATCCAAGTTTTGGCACACATAGTATATACTAGCTTCGAAAAATGCATCTCAATAGCATATCTACTCACTGAGCTGATCATTGCCCTGATTTGAATAGCATGTAATCCACTGAAGCATAAAATAGTAGTGTCATTCAATCATTTTTAAGCACTAAATATCAGAAAATTTATTCTTGGCATGCTACAGGTAATTTAATCTCTATTTGAGAAAGAAGTCCAAAAATGTAAAATATAGCTTATAATAATAAAGGCCTATTCCCTGCTGTACTTTATGAATCGAAGGCCAAAAAAAAAAATACGATTTTAAAAATACATCCATACGCATACACAGGTGTTTAATTTACAGCTTAAGATATACCATTAGTATTCATCTCAGTGTCCCACTTTCTAATGTATTTACAAATCTGATCACTATTTCTAAAGAAAGTTGATAATAAAAAATAAATGAATAAAACATGTCTCACATCTTGGTCAGTTATCTCAGTCAAAAGCTAGTAGGATAATACCAGTCTACATTAGGAGCATGGCTATCAAACAGAGTTATTTCCCTCTGCAAAGCTCCAGAGAAGCCCTGCCTACAACACTGAACATAGCTTTGGACCACCCAGAGCCAGGCAGACAGTGAGAAATCAGACAGGACAGAACAGAGGGCTGTTCTGATGATAAAATGCCTAGAGACAAGACCTGTGACAAAAAGGGAGGCAACTGGGCTTATTTAGCCTGGCAAAGGGGTGGGGCAGATCTGATAGCCGCCTACGGCTAACTTGAAGTCAAATGGCAAAAATGAGAAACACAAACCCTTCAACACAGGCATACAATACAAGAACAATGGCCACAAATTGCACATTGAGAGTCTCAGGAACTGCTGGAAGAGGTTAAGTCAGCTAGGCTGGGGAAAGGTGGAGATTTTGGAAAGTGAGCTAGACAAACCCACAGCAGATGTGATATGCTGTTAGAAACAGTCCTGCTTCGAGCAGAAAGCTTGTCAAGATAACCTCCAGGGTCTGCCTTGTTCAACCAATATTTCAAAGATTCTGTTACACCCATATGTGACTACCTCATAAAATCCCAGCTGTAACATTGCATGTATGCTTTTCTAAGCACAGACTGGAAATCGTTTGTGGTACTTCACCTTCCCACTTCTTCAGGCCATTTCTGGATACATCTTTCCATTGCAGTCCAGCCAAAAATGGCATGCAGTCATCATACTGCACCTTAAAGTTGGTGTTGCTCTACAAATAATTCTGAGAGCTGCGCGAGTGCTGCAGTTGGGTTCTGTAACTCATCTGCTTTTCCACGACTTGCACACTAAACTGGAAAACAAGTGAAGCAAATTTAAATAAAAACAGGATCCTGTCTTCAGAGCTATCTAAGCTAACACACACACATAGTAACAGAAAGGTCAGTTACTGCCTCTGCTCTTGACATTTGCCATTCATTTTACAGATTTTCATGAATGCTGATGAATTACAGATTGAAATTTCTTTAACATGCATTTGTTTTATCTACTAGGGATTCAAAAATGATATTTTCCACTAAATTTTGGATCACTTACTTGGTTAAAAACAATAATGTCCATAATCCTATGTAAGCCTATGTTGTGATCACAGATAAAATCTGTGCTTACAGGTGCTCTCTATGGGAATAGTATAATGACAACCTTCCTCAGAAAACTATAATCTATTCTAATACAATAACAGAGGAGATCTGCTACTTTAAGAAACAACACAAAAATTTACTTGAATAGCTTCTGTAAGAACTTCCTACAAATAAAACATCACAGGATTTGCCAATATAAATGATTATTTTCTTTCATTTGGTAGCCCATAGAATGCGCTTTGAAAGAAGATCATCTGTTAAATATTAGAAATGAAGGTTTTACTCTTCAATAATCATGATTACCTCCATGAAATACTTGACTAGTAAAAAACTGGAACTATTCTTAAATGTTTGGCTGATCAGTAGTTTCTTCTTATAGTTTATTTTATTCCAGTGTTTCCCATAGTTCACTTCCATCTGGGAGGAAAGCCAAAATGCACTCACATCATGTTTCAGGTGAACCTGAAGAATGAAAATCTGTCTTTTTCCTGTAAACCATGCTTTCTCATTTAGTTACTGTTGTTAACTGGCTGTAGAAATATTCCCAAGTAGCAAGCAAGGCTAAAGAAGGAAAGGTTGCAAATTTTCCAAAGCAAAAATCAAGTTTCATCAAAATATGTCAATTCAGACTACAAAGCCCAAAAATTGTTGTCAATTCACTGCTTGTCAAATTGCTATTCTCAAAAGCTAGGGCAACTGCACTCCCAGTGGACTGCCCTGCATGGATTCACTGTGCAGATGCAGAGTCTGGCAAGATCCTGATACATGGGAAATCTTAACACTCCTGGGCTTTCAACTTGTATGAAAAGCAAAGCTGAAAGGATACAAAATTTCCCTTTACTTCAGAAGCTTATTTGACATTCAGCTCTCTATTCTGCAGTGAATATCTGGCATTAATTGTAATTTCCCTTTACGTTAACCTTTGTCTCTGTACAGTCTGCAAATGAAAAGAATTTAAAGAGGCACACACTGAAATTCATAAGAATAAATCCAGATCTGAACTAGAAAACTAATAAAAAATGAGGTTATTTTCAAGACATAGGACGTCTAATAAGCAAAGTTTCTGACTTTTAGTTACAAGTACTGAAAAATTAGATAAATCACAAACTTACTAATACTGTCATTTTACATAAAACAAAAACTTCCATAGCAAACATTCTGCAGAAGCTCTGTGAATTTATACATTAAAAATGACATCACTGAACAGTTCCATCACTTACAGCTGCAGTGGATTGCACAAATTAGCAACATCACTAGATGCCTGTGTCTATACAGAAAGAAAAGAGAAACAAAAGATGAGAAGAAGAAGACTGATCCAAAAATGACATCTTGGACATTGCTCTGTTTAAGCCCCTCAGTACATGAATGACACAAATTTACTCAGCACACATATAAACAAGTGCTTTGGTCAGTACCTCTACCTTGTGATTATAGGTTGGAGTCTGCATACAATGAAATTCATGGCCAACATCCAGTTTGTACAAGTCATGTGCACTTATCTTCTCTTCAACTTTTTGCCCCATCCTGCATTCATGATGAAGGCTTTTTGCCTCTCCTGTTCAAGTTAAATCACAAAGTTATCTGTTCAAATAATTCAAAAGTAAGCATATAAATTTTAATAATAGAAATCTAGAGCTGGCTTCAATATTTCTTCCCTCTCCCCCCCCCCCCCCAAAAAAAAAAAAAAATACTGAAGTGAGATTCATCTGTTTTCACACACAAATACTTGTTGATTTATCCTAGGAATCCAAAGGAAAGCACACCTTTAATGAACTTGCATTTAAGAGTAGTGAGTTTATATTTGCTAGATGACTTAATGAGTGAATTACATGATGAAAATGAAAACGCTACCACAGTAGCGAACAAAAGTCAAGTACATATCTAATTAATGTAAAAAGGTATGGCAATGTGTTCTGCAGTCTAAAGGTACTGACCAAAGTTAGTGAAGATCAGCACCAGTACTGGTATAATAGCAGAACCATGAAGTTCAGCTCAACAATCATCTCCAATGACTGCCTAAGGCCTAGACACACTTTAAAGACTACAATATTGCTGTTTCTGATACCTGAGCTTATTTTCCAGCTAGTCAGCATATATCTAACCTAACAACAATCAATAGCTTTGCACTACTGAGTGCAGATATGCTATAAAACTTCGGGGAAAAAATGTATTATGAATTACAATTTATTTTTTTCTCCCCACAAGCTATACTAGAAATGCAAATCCTAGCAACAGGCTTTACATATAAGAGTTTAGGCCTGTGTTTATTTTATACTCTAATAAAAAATTAAAATATTTCCAATTTTAGGCAATTGGAAACAGATGGTTTACATTAAGAATGGAATGAATATAATCCAATGATTTAGGTTGATTTTATTTAAGAGACGCAAAGGCTATGCTTAGATGTTTACTCTGCCACATTTGCATGTTCTTTCACTTTTTCTTTAGAAGTAAATAATTAATTAAATAAATATATTAAAAACAGAATAGATTTATTATTTAAATTGATTTTTATCTAAGTGAAACAAAAGTAGTATACACTAATCACTTTTAACTTTTGAACTTTTCTTGGTGTCTCACAATATTTGAAGATTTTTTGTTACCACTCAGTTGCTGACATCATGACATTGACATTATGTCTCAAACGAAAAACAGAAATGAACTTCTAGATTTTGTGACCCCTGAGAAGAGCTTAAAATAATTAATTTGAAGTTTCAACTACTGACTATGAGGACTAATTTATTTTTCAAAAATCTACTACTTTACAAGAAAACGCTTGCTGACTGCTTCAGGTTGAATAGTTGCCAGACTGGGTATATATCAAAATATGACTTAAGCTCTTTTATGTAGTCATAAAAGCATAATTATACAGGTATAGCTAGACATCACCTAATACTGTTATAAGTGTTCACATATGTTTCTGTTTGCATGTATAAAATATTTTAATCAGCGTGCCATTATTAGCAAAACTATGGGGTCATACCTGTGTAGGTTTAGGAAAACTTTACTACTCATACTGTTACACATCTTCTCTGAATGTGCAACATACTTTACTTATATAGTCACCCTACATTGCACATCATGACCAGCTACTACAACTGTTCAATATCTTGATATAATTGTATTAATGTTTACCTGCTTTGTCCAATAAAATTAAAACAGTTTATACCTTGTGGCCAAGAAAAAACAGTTGTTTCCTGGAAACAAACCCTCATGCTTTTAAATGAATATATGTACCCATTCACTTTGCATAAGCACCTGAGAATGTCAATTAATTAGGAACAACTCCTATTTAAAAAGTGAAATTTAAATCAATGTTGGACATACTTTTGAAAAACACATTTTACATGAATTTTGAATGCAATTTAATTGCAGAAAAATGTGAAAAACAGAATGTTTTTACTTTCCTTCTTTTTCACTGTACCTAGAAATCTGTATTTTATCCTCAGATCATGAGACCACAAGCCCTCACGTTGCTGGAGAAGACCAATGACGTGAACTCCAAGAACACCTGGAAGGTATGTCTTCCCTTCCAATGAGTACTGCCTCAGCTTATCATCAAACTTTTTCTCCAGAAATGCTACAAGAGAGGAGCAATGATACACTGGTGGAATATGTAGTTACTTTAGCTAGAAAAAGGAATACCACACTGGGAAAAACACAAATATGTCCTGTTTCACCCAGTCTAACTGAGGAATCCCACATACTCCCTGTGTAGTAAACAAAAAGAGAGCTGGATGTTCAGACTCTCCCTGAACATATATACAGCCTATACAGACTATATTTCTCATTTTATATATTATATATAATATATATATAAATATATGTTTTATATATTTATATATTTCAGACTATATTCAGACTATATTAAAGTTTCGTGAAGTGAATCCAGCCAAAGTTGTTTCTAAATGGGAACCAATTCTAAGAGATTGATCTTTTAATTGACTAACAGCTAACATGAAGATTTACTTCTACATTAACTCAGAACAAGGTTGTGGCTTTGCAATAGAAGAGCTGGTGCAGCTAGTTCTCAGGGGATAAGAATTTAAATCAGATCAGCACCATTTCTAGATGCAGTCACTGGCACTCCATGTAAAAGTTAAGGTGAATATTTTACCAAAGGGTGATCTTCCTAAATCCATTCCTTAAAAGATAGTTTTATTTGAAAATATTGGGTAAAACTTTGCAATGTCTTTGCCACATGGAGACTACAGTAAGAAATATTAAAGATAAAATGAGAGCCTTAGTCCTACAATACTGGTTTATTTCACTGTATTTAGTTACATTTTAATGAATTGATGTCATATAAATAGTTAAGTCCTCTTTCTTGTATTATCTCTTACATTTTCCTCTCACTGTATGTTTGAGAAAAAAATAATTTTACGATTTTTAGATTTAAGATTTTTTAAATAGAGAGTATCAGGAGCTGAGCTACATATTTGCATCTCTGCACTGCTTTGTACACAAGTGAACAATAGAAAATATCGTGAGAACCATTTTTGATGTTTTGTTTTTGATGTTTTAAGTGCTTCCTTACAACTTGTTTTCTCTTCCCTCTTCAACAGTAATTATAAACAGATATTTATTTTACAATTTATTCTACAATTCCTATTATTCTGAAATACATACTAGCATTAATTTATAATGGAAAATCATTTTAAAAGGCAGTCTTACTGATTTGAAAGGGACTTTAGAAATGCATGTCCAAGCCCAGGCAATTTTAATATATAAGGGCTCCAGAATTTATATTTATATGGCAAATACTTATTGTCCTCTGACCTGATAGAAATGCAGCATCCTTCAACAGATTATTCAGGGATACTGAAAAAGCTATCTTCTTGACAAGTTGTTTTGTGATGTTTCCTGACAGAATGACAGGACTGCTTTGCTTTACCAGCTTTAACTCCACTTGGGTCATATATCTCTGCTCTCCATTCAGTATTTGCGAATCTGTCATACCCTAAAACAAATAAACAAATGAAAAACAAAATCCCCAGGCACTCAACACTAGAAACTGATTGAGATTTGAGAAGACTTGGGCATTAGAGAAATGATATGAGAGAAAAAGAAAAGAATTTTTCTTATACATCCCAGGGGAAAAACCCCACCAAATAAACAAAACAAACAAACAAACAAAAACAGCATAAAAATTTGTCATTAGCAAGCAATGGTGAAGGAGGATGGATTTATTTTTATTTATTTTTCCATTATACGAGATGGACATTCCCTCTGCCTTGCAGAGGGATCTGGATAGGTTGGAGAGCTGGGCCATCACCAACCGCATGAAGTTCAATAAGAGCAAGTGCCGGGTCCTGCACCTGGGACGGGGAAACCCTGGCTGCACGTACAGACTGGGCGATGAGACGCTGGAGAGCAGCCTAGAAGAGAGGGATCTGGGGGTCGTGGTAGACAACAAGTTGAATATGAGCCGGCAGTGTGCCCTGGCAGCCAGGAGGGCCAACCGTGTCCTGGGGTGCATCAAGCACGGCATCGCTAGTAGGTCAAGGGAGGTGATTGTCCCACTCTACTCTGCGCTGGTGCGGCCTCACCTCAAGTACTGTGTGCAGTTCTGGGCACCACAGTATAAAAAGGACATGAAACTGTTGGAGAGTGTCCAGAGGAGGGCTACAAAGATGGTGAAAGGCCTGGAGGGGAAGACGTACGAGGAACGGCTGAGGGCATTGGGCCTGTTCAGCCTGGAGAAGAGGAGGCTGAGGGGAGACCTCATCGCAGTCTACAACTTCCTCGTAAGGGGGTGTCGAGAGGCAGGAGACCTTTTCTCCATTAACACCAGTGACAGGACCCGTGGGAACGGGGTTAAGCTGAGGCAGGGGAAATTTAGGCTTGACATCAGGGGGGGGTTCTTCACAGAGAGGGTGGTTGCACACTGGAACAGGCTCCCCAGGGAAGTGGTCACTGCACCGAGCCTGTCTGAATTTAAGAAGAGATTGGACTGTGCACTTATTCACATGGTCTGAACTTTTGGGTAGACCTGTGCGGTGTCAAGAGTTGGACTTGATGATCCTTATGGGTCCCTTCCAACTCAGGATATTCTATGATTATACGAGGTGTGAGATGCTGATTTCCTTCACCTCCTGCTGGTTTCAGTAGTGACTGAAATCACAAAGAATGTTCTAACACTGGGCCAAAAAATAATATGGTATTATTGAAAATATTGGCGGCCTCACAGTAGGGAACTAGATTTAGGTTGGATTTGATGCAAATACAAAAATCTACAATATTAATTAGTGTTTGGATTTGTTATTCTGCTGAAGACCAGGAGAAACATCAACATTTTTCTAGAAAAAAAAAAAATAAATCTAAGTAATGTGCTCACCATAGGAAAACACAGTGTCTGAAATTAACTGACTTTGGAGGCCCACATAAGACATGCATGGCATGCTGCTGTGGCTGTCAATTGTATAATTAAAAAAATTGTTCAAGTCCTGGAATAGAAACAAAAAATGCTAGTAGAACTTCAGTTATTAACTCCCACATGCATTTTTGCTTGCTTTTTCATTTGTGAGTTTGAACACTGGCATGCTCTTGGTTATTTCCCAATGCTTAAAAAAAATAAAAAAATTATATGATATAAAGAACAATATCTTACAGATTCTTCTATATATTCTTCTATATATACACTCCACATACATGAAGAAATTAGCCCAGGTTTACTCAAAGCTTCTATGCGCAGACAGAATACAGGTCTGAAAAACTGTGTGACTGCATATGCACGTAATGGGCCAAAGTCCACACATGTCAATGTGATCTTCTCTACACTTAACATTGGAAGCAACCCAAAGGTTTTGACTACATCTGAATGTAACAAAATTATTTTAGGTTACTTGAGGAAGCCAAGCTTAAAAAATAAATAAAAATAAAAGAGCAATTTAGGCAATTTAGCAGAGTCTATCTCAAAAATATGTCATAAAGTGTATTGTTAATTTCTCTGATGGATTGCTCACAAAACTATTTTTCAACACGTGTTTAATTTACTCTCTTTTCCATGCTTTTATTTGAGTATTCATCCTAGTACCAGAGCTCATGATCTGAAAACATACCTTAATGTAATATACATCTTGGTCATCTATTATCAACACCAGGTGTCCAATTCGTGAATTCTTAGAAGAATCAATTTTCCCTTAGAGAGAAATAAAACTTCACTTTTACTGGGCATACACCATATAGCAATGCTTCATAAAAACATATTCAAAAATGTTGGTTGCTGTTTCTGTGAGCAACATATTTACATTGTAAAAATGTAATAAATATCAGAGCAAGGGAAAAATGTTAGGAACAGAGTTTGCAAAGGCATCGAAGCATTCTCAGAATACACACCTCCTTTTAAAATGACATTCTGAGAATTCTCATTGAGAAGAGGCAACCAAGCTGTCTCCAATAAACCAGTTTAGTTCTGGAAGTGGTTTACACACTTCCTTTAGGCCTGTCCTAAAACTAATAAACTGTGTTGTGCTGTGGAGATATTCCCACCCAAAGCTTTGCAGAGTGTAGGTTAATCTTCTGTGCAAACCATTTGAAAATAACTGAGATTACACATATAAAATAAAATCAAATCCGGAGGGGCAAACAAATTCTAAACATGTGATTTGGTAAAATACATAAGAAAATTAGAAAAAAAAAATCTGACTTTGGCAGACAGCACATTTTTGTATAAATCTAGATGTCTTGACCAGCATGTCAAAGATGAAATATATTGCCTATATTATTGCCATATAATTATCACTTCATATTTCATCCATACACTTGTTGATTTTACTTTTTTTATGTTACACTATGATTGAAATTTTACTTTTAATTATAATGCACAGCAATATTATAATCAGTACTTAGTTCGTTTGGCAACAAGTAATTTCGTATCATAACTAACAGAATACTGCAAACTAAAATTCAGGAATAGGTAAGGCCAGTTCAGCATATATAGAAGATTATAAAACTATCAATTTTGTTCCTCAGCCTTAATTTAATTAACTGTGAAGGCTGTGTTCCTCAGCCTTAATTTAATAACTGTGACCAGCAGGGCTAGGGAGGTGATCGTCCCCCTGTACTCGGCTCTGGTGAGGCCGCACCTCGAGTACTGTGTTCAGTTTTGGGCCCCTCGCTACAAGAAGGACATCGAGGTGCTTGAGCGGGTCCAAAGAAGGGCGACGAAGCTGGTGAGGGGCCTGGAGAGCAAGTCCTATGAGGAGCGGCTGAAGGAGCTGGGCTTGTTCAGCCTAGAGAAGAGGAGGCTCAGGGGTGACCTTATTGCTCTGTATAAGTACATTAAAGGAGGCTGTAGCGAGGTGGGGGTTGGCCTGTTCTCCCATGTGCCTGGTGACAGGACGAGGGGGAATGGGCTAAAGTTACGCCAGGGGAGTTTTAGGTTAGATGTTAGGAAGAATTTCTTTACTGAAAGGGTTGTAAGGCACTGGAACGGGCTGCCCAGGGAGGTGGTGGAGTCACCATCCCTGGAAGTCTTCAAAAGATGTTTAGATGTAGAGCTCAGGGATATGGTTTAGTGGGGACTGTTAGTGTTAGGTTAGAGGTTGGACTCGATGATCTTGAGGTCTCTTCCAACCTAGAAATTCTGTGATTCTGTGATAATTTCATATAATGGCTTTCCTCTTCAATGTGAGTTTGTGAACACTGTACTGAAAGCTGACTCTCAAAAATAGAAAGTCTGAAATGCAAAAATCACTAGGAATGAGTGTTATCTAAAGCAGTAAACTGAAAGACTATCACACAATAATTTAATTTTAGCATTAGATTATTGACTGAAATATATTGGCATTTCTCTATTAATTCTAATGAAGCTCTCCTAGTTGACATTAATAGATGATCTGATTTGTAGGTGAAAAAACCTACCATCAATCTCAATTTTTTTCTTTAGTTGTATGAATTTCCTTCTAAATAAGGTGGTTAATGATTTGGGAGGGTTTGTTGTTGTTATTTTGTCTTTTGTCACAAACAGAAAAAAAGTCATCAAAATGATGCCGGATGCTTTAGTCCTGTAACTCTCATCTAATAAAACAAAACAAATCCTGTGCACTGTTTTATATATGAAAATAATATTCACCCACTGTCAGCATTAGTTGTTTTCTACGTCTTTTTCCAATATAATGGGAATTAAAATAGTAACACCACAGACTGAAAATTAGTCAATTTGAATATAAAGTGCCATTCATATACCATTCATTCATCACTGTAAGTAAACTAATAAATTTACAAAAGCCAAGGAAAGCACAGCATAATGGTACCTGAGGAACATAGTTATATGCAGCTTCCACAAGGTACTGCTGTAGGCCTCTGTCTTGTTTAGTTAATGTGACAGCCACTCTTGAAGGTCCAGCAAGAGGATAAAGCAAAGCACTAGCTGGGTCAGGATATGACATTTCAGAACACAGCCGCTAACCAATAAACTCAGACACTAGTGGAAAAAAACAGTTGAACACTCAGCTAGAACACCAAGCAAAGAAAACATACAAATAAATATTGCACATTGAGCACTGAAGAACCCCCTAGAAGTAATATGGTAAAGAAGAAATTCTAATGAATAAAACATCTGTTGTGGATATTTCAGAATGATCAAGATTTCTCAGACAAACTTGATAGCTAGACCTACCTTCCTTCCCAGTACAAGATCTGCTTTCCATGTGGTCTTGGAAAATATCAAAACGTTCAGTCTCATCCACCATTGTGAAGAAGAGTTTAGAGCTACAACCAAGAATTTCAAACAGTCACTTAAAACCAATTATGCTAAAGCTACAACAATATATAAACAGAATTCTTACATTTCATCTTGTACCACATGAGAAACACAAGAAAAATCAAATTCTACTAAGCTCAGTCTACATTTCCACTAATTAGCACTGATTTTTATCCACAATTTCCATGTTTAATTTCTTACTATCATGAGATCCTTCTGTAGGATTCTTTGTCTTTTTACAGTCACAATTAGAGCTCTCTGTTCTGAGCAATTTGGTATGGTCAGCTTATTGCAAATCCATTTACCTTCTGGCTTCTAGATTATTTTTTTTTTAATTATTATTTTTTTTTCCCCTTAGGGTACGAATGGACATGGGATTTTGTTCCAGTCTTGAAGTTCTTTCAGAACTTTACTGAACTGCTAGTACAAGAACCACGGCATCTGTCCTTGTTGGGAGAAAGAGGGTTAGTGAAATATCCAGTAGGCTCTACACACAGGCTTTTGTTCAAATAATGGACAAAACAGGTTTGTAGTTACTTTGACTTTTACTCTTGTGGACTGTCATTCATCCTAGCTGACAGAAACAGAATTATATCAGTAAGTTTCCAGCAGTCCTAAAGAAATCAATGGTTTACATTTAAACTAAACTCCACAGTTTTTCCTGAACTGCGTATCCTGTAGTACTGCAATGTCCAAAATTAAAATAAGCACAAAGGAATAACAATCCACATACTGAAAATACTTCATGATTCCATAGTCATGCCTAAGAGCCATGCAGTTTACGTGTGGTTTTCAATGTCATCACACTGATGACCTCAGTGCCTTCTAGCTGAACTTCTAACAAAGGTATAAGTCCAAAGAAAAACCAAGAGCCTAAAAGCGCGGCTTGCATTAGCACAAATCATTGATTTGCTTAACATCTGTCAGTTGTGGTAGTATGTATTTGACAACGTAACCTTTACTTAACATTAAAGAACCTAAGTAAAAACTCGTCAGAAGTGCATGAGCACATCTTATTAGTACAATATTTCAAATTACTCAAGTGTTTTGCTAAATATTATTTTACACCTGTGTTTGGTAAATCTGTAGAAGAAGTATTGCTAAGGTTTCTCTCCACCACTTCAATGCCCTGAACTAGACTGCTTTAAGACTAAGGTTCCAAAAAGAGCACTGATGTTCAGTAGGAAAAAACTGAGCAGTATGGAAAAAAATAATTTACATCTTTTTATCACAAGATTTTGATTTGAACATTTTACTTCAGTGGAAGGATCAATGTTTTTTTGTCAAAACAATGTAAAACACATAATTATTTCCCCTTCCTTTTCTTCTGAATAGTGGATTTGGACTAAGAGTCAGACCAAAACAGTTTGCTGACAGAATATATTTCTGCTCTCTTAATAAGCCTGCCAGTAAAGCTCTGATTCAAGAAAGTTACCATGGTTACTACTTTAGAAAGATGACCTTGCTTACCTGAAATTAATTATCTCCATAGATTCTTCTGGGGTGTTCAAAACAATTTTGAGCTCTTGCCCCTTTTTAACCTGGATTCCCCCATCAAGACTAGTAGATGTCCTTATTCCTGTTAACCAGCTTAGGCCAGCTTGTCCAACAGTCCCCACAGTTCCCATTTGAACAGAAATCTGGATAAAGGCACTGTTGAAAAATTCAGGTATACATCCTTCTATGAAGAGCACTTTATTTTTAAAGCACTTAATCTAAACCATAGTCTTCTTATCCTCTTCAGTATATACATAGTGTTTGGTGGTATAGACTGTATATTCTAGCATTAAAATAATAATGAGTATTTTGTTTCAGGAAATAACTTAAGATATTGTGTGTACACAGACACACACTTTCTAAGAAGAACAACAGTAAAATTAAGTGTTGTAAGAGATATGTCCTAAAGGATTTGAACCCAGACTTCAGCATGAAATATCAAGTAAGAGGAGTGATTTGGACTAAGTGGTTTGGTGTAAGTTTATCTTTTGTATATATATATATTTTATATTTACCTATCTATATTTATACATATTATGCTGCCCATAGTGAAATTTAGTAAACATATTCAGTATGCACAAAAAACTACAATAGTCAGATAAGGAAATGTAGGGTTAAATCATCCAATTGGTTCTTGATCCATAAGCTGTAACTGTATATTTGGTCCTGAGAAAAATTCTAGATGCTATCCCTGTAGCAGGTAAAGCATACAGGTCATCTGCATGCAAACATTTAGGAATTTGATTTAGAGGTAGGAAGAATGGTCAGCTTGAAACAGATCTGGAAAAGCACAGCAATAAAGTTCAAAATCAGATTGTCAGGATAGAAAATCACAACTGCCCTTATTGCATTGAAACCACCCAGCAATATAAGATTGACTGTTCAAGATCTTCAAGAATTTCCTAATTGATTACAATGACATTCATACAGAACTTTCAGGTCAGGAACTAGTACTTAAAACCAGTAATATGTGGAAGTGACATGCATCTGCAGCAACTATTACCTTGGCTTGATATTGATATGGCTTGATGTCATTTACAAAGAAATTTGACCGTTCTTTGAAGTCTGCTTTGCCTTTCATTTTAACATTGATAGCAGCAGAGGCATTGATTGCCAGTTGAACAGGAAAGCCTGAAATTACTGGAAACTGCAATTCTTCCGTGGCTAAACTAACCCTTTTATTAAGCTGGATCTCTTGTCCCTGTAGTGGAAAGACAAACAAACAAAAAACATACATGCATGCAAAATCCCAGAATTCTATTTTGCATAATAAAGCCAAGATGCACATTTTTTTCCAGACATAACTACCCAATGCATTTCTCTGCTGTGAAATTGTTTTAAACTGAACTGATACTGGAAACTAGGTAGAAAGCAGCCCAAGGCCAGCATCTGGTCAGGGCATGGGTTCACTACTAATTCTATCCTGTTTAAAGAAATAATTTTCTATTTAAACGCAGATGGTTTTGAACAGCAGAAACAAGAGGTAAGAACCATTAGACAGCAGAACAAATCCTTGCCTAATTAATCATATACAGTTTAAACCCAATATATACTAGTGCCTTTTAGAGCTCAATTTAGAGAAACAATGTGTAATATGTTGTATCTTTCATGTATACATCAGAAAGTAGTTTCTAAAAGCATTTACTTTCAAATTAAAAAAGGTTCCTTTTACCTTCAGAAGTTTGACAGCAAGTTCAGCCAGATTTAAAGAATAATGTTTCATTTGCTTTTTTAAATCTTCACAATACAAAAAGCTACCTTCATTTCCAAAGATTTTCATGCTTAGCTTGCATTTCATCTCCTCCTTTCTCACCTTTCTCTCAGTGAACTGACATGATAAATAAATCAGGAAGAGAAGGATGTTTATATTAAATTTCTTTCAAGCCTATAATAAACAATTCTTCAGTACAGGCTAGGCTAGTAGTAAGCAGACATTGGCTGCCTTTTATAAATATTTCAAGCCCATTTGAGACCCTTGATTCATACCTGCTCTTTCCAGCTAAATCTCGGCTCTATACAACACAAGCTGACTTCCATTATGAACACAGGTAGCACTAGTCCTAAGATGACTGAACATAATAATAAGTATTGCAGTACTTGAACACTTGAAACTTTGAAAAAATACCAGGGAATACAATCTCAGTTAATACACCATTATGAGCAACATGATTGCTAAATAAACTAAGAGAATAAAAAAAATAAAATCATTTTCCCTCCATAGGAATTAATACAACAGGAACACAACATGAACATGAGATTGCACTGTAAGAAGAAACTCTAAGAAGATGAATCCTAAAAGGACAGATGGTCTAAGACAAACTAAAGAAATCACAGCCCCCAAGTTTTCCAAAAAATACATCAACAATTGAAGTAAATTTCCAAATCTTCCCTGTAATAAACATAGCTCTCTCCAAATATTAGTTGTTCATGAGTTATTGCACAAAGGGTCAATGTAACATCTGACACAAACTGGGAATTCAAATCACAAACAACATGACTCAGGAATCAAGCAACTGTATAAAGTGCGACAGAAGTCAATAGCCCAAAGGACATCAGTAAAAAGACAATCAGTACTCAAATAGTAAGATGAAGCCCAAAACACAGACAATACATTCCTCTGGCTGAGAGTCACTGTTTTGAGACAATAATACAATCTGAAAAAATGAAGATATGGCCCTTTGTGCTTTGTATATTATACATTTGTTAAATGTTGTATGAATGGAAAAGGGTATGTATGCTTTTTGCAAGGGAGGCATGTTAATACAAAACAAACGTTCAGTTCTAGATGGGGACCTATGGTTAACTGGGTAATGTTATGAATTTTTCCAAGTCATGACACTGTCAATTACCTTCTTCACTAACTCACTCATCTTGCTATACTTTTGATGTGGCCAATTCTGGTTAGCTTTTCTCAACTTTGGCTTGCCAGCCATAGTTACAAGATGATCAGCAGGACTATATTGCTTAAAAGTCAGCTTCCTCTGCTTGACTTTTCCTGTTGTTTGCACAGGGTGTCCTGACTTGTGGTTTCTTTCGTTGGTGTTTGCAAAAAAATTGTCACCAAAAGTATCAAACTTCTGCCCAAAAATCTGCATGAGAGCTTCAGCATTCTCTAACCATACACCAACCTACAGGGAAGCATACAGCATTCAAAGACTGAAAATGAGATGCATAAGCGATGTACAGGCAGAAACATGACTAAAAATATATCAAGATTAAATATTTAGGTTTTTGTACAAACAAGAATTTTCCATACAAAGTCACTGGGGTCTATAAAGTGTCTTACCTCTTTTAGCATCCAATACTGGATATTTCAGTACTAAATCTTACTAGCAAAAACACTTCAGTTTGTTGACTATGTGAAGCTCAGTACATAATAAAAATCATTTTGTATTCAGATACTTGTTCATTTACACCATGACAGGACAGTTAGCTACTCCTATTTTATCACTTTGCAAACAGTAATTTGGTTGTTATGACAAAAAAAATACCAATTTTCTGCTCCTGAAACAAAATTCTGCTTGCAAGTTTGACTAAAATAGTATTACTAACACATACAAATCCAGGGAATATGCAAGTTTCACTTCAAATCTGAAGGTTAAATTAAATTCTCTCTTGTGTACACATTTTTAATTGCAATAGAAGAGTCCACATGCCAAACATTCCTTTCTCTTAGAGACACAGTTAAAGATGACAAGGTTGCAGGCAGGCCATTTAAATATCCCAGCCATAGTATGGCCAGTGGGACCAGAACAGTTATTTCACTTTGAAATATAAAACTCTTTATCTCTTGTATTAATGGAGTGGCATATCCAAGCTAATGCATTTTTCATTGTAAATCAACTAGATGATTCTTACCATCCTAAACAGGAGCTAAGACAAGTGTTTCAGAAAGCGACAGTACTGGCTTTCATCTTTTATTTGAATCAACAACAACTGAATATAACTCAATTAGCATACATACTGGTATACAGTACTATCAGAGCGAGTGGGTTTATTGTAACCAAGTCCATTATGCAAAGGAGTCATGAGTCTGAAGGCAACTTTGCTGCAGCAATGAAAACCATAGCTTGCTAAAGGAACTGTAATGGGAAAACAGAAAATATTTTGTACTTCAATACACCAAGTGTCCCTTGAGTAGAGGGATAAAAAAAATTCCCAGAACTTGCCTCCAGTAGATTTATAGCCTGCCCCATAAGGTGAACAGTCAAATTTGTCATGACTGATCGTGGTACAAAAAATTCAGGAGAAAAGACCACTGATGCTTCCATATTTGCACCTGCACCAGCTGCAATATAAAATATCAGATGTCAGTCAGAGATGAGCTATTCTCATATACTTTTCAAATCTTATCATGCTTTGGGAAATTGCAACTCTGTCCTTTAAAATGGTGGTGAGTAAAACATTTGAACAGCAGGAGAAATTATTTAACTCTAGTATAACAAAGATTTTAATTGACATGTCTGAAAGCCTATCATCTAACCTTAAAAAAAAAAAAAAAACAATTAGAACACATATCTCACACAACTATGTTGGAAGAGATAGATGAATCATATTGTTAGTCTGAAAAATATTCTCTAGATTTTTCCCTGAAAACAAAGAATGAATAGATAATAAAACAGGAAGGAATCTGAGTTTTATAAAAAGAATAAGACACGTATCAGAAGAAAAAACACATCCCAATGCTCTGTTGCTGCAGAGGAAGCTCACTAAGGAATCAAAAGTTGGTGTTTATAAAAATTGTTTTAAAATAAATAAATAAAGAACACCACATTGGTTCTTATTCTCCTCTCTCACTAACCATGTGCACAAAATTGCATGGTATCTGGCTTACTGGAATTACAATTGATAGTAGTAATAGTCCAATTAAGGTCAGAGCAGAATCAAGCCTCCATTTGCGTACTGGATTCCATTATGTCTTAGAAATTAAAAATCTCCACACCAAGGTGTAAAGAAAGGTGTAAAGACATGTGGGATTTCAATAGTTCATATGCTTCAAAGCATCAAGTTCTAAAACGCCACATACCTGATTGGAATGTGACATCTGAATATGAGGAGTATTTCCATGTCTCCCAGTCAAAATCTCTGTTTAGGATATCATTGGGAATAGAATCTCGAAGGTGTTTCTTCAGTGGATCATCTGTCTCCAGGAGCTGAGAGAGATGACTCCAAACAAAGGAACCCACTTAAATTAGAAAAATAAAAGCATTTGGGAACCAGAGAAAAAATAAAACTGTTCTTAAGACTGATACAGTCTTTTTTTTATTATTTGTACTACAATTAATCCTAAATAATTCCCCTGATCACAAGAGCATTCACTCATTTTCAGCACCTATCTTTGCCATAGTCAGCTTATTTAGATACTGTCTTACTGTTTTCCAGTATGGAATGTAATTGGCCTTTCACTCCTTAATTTCACTTATGCCTCTCAGTTAACTAAGCAAGCAAGCAAGAAATGTTAAGATACTTATTTGCTGTTTGCAAAGGGTCTTCTATACTAAATTCAAATGAGTGCTGAAAAAAAAAGATGCAATACATACAAAAATTAGAGGCAGGCTGTGCTGCTCAAATAATTTAGGACTGTTTCTGTCCCTTTTTCAAAGAACAAATGCAACAGAATTATTTGAAATATGGTTTTACACTCTCACTTTGGCAGTAATGCTCATTTTGTTCTAGCAAATCACTGACCCAGTGTGCAGAAACAAGAAAACTAAATCTGGGATAGACAGCAAGCACATGAAAATCTTAAACTAACAGATAAAAACTACAGGCAGCAGTAAACAAAGCCTTTTAATGCCAAGCATTAAGCAACTTTAAATATAGGGAAATCTAGTTATCAGATTCCCTACATAAACTTTGGCAAGTGATAACCAAGTACCCTGAGGTTTATAATGGAATTGCAGGTGAATTTGTAAGAGAAAATTGGCAAGAAAGTTTCTTTGTATAGAGCAAACAAATTAAAATACGAAGACTCCTTCTACAATGTGCAATGCAGGATATTTCCGAAAAACACTTAGGGGAAAAAAAAAAAAAAAAAGCACATACATTTACACAATTGTGATTTAGATTATAGTCCATATCTTCAGGTGAGCACAATACTGAGCCTAAACTAATAATCCCTGCAGGATTTACTGGTCTGGACACAACATCCAGATAAAATGGATACACAGCTTCATGTTCAGAGCTGGCTAGGGTCCAGGCAGCAAACAGAGCCTGCTTTCATCTGCTTGAAAACTGCCTTAAAAACCCTTTGATGTTTTTGACAGATTTAAAAGCCAAAGACTAGTCTAAAGTTATTCTTCATTGTATGTGTTGAAACTATTGAGAAAAAAATCCCTTCTTCATACAAAATATGGGACTATTTTAAATAATCCCTGTGCATTGGTAATAAAGTGCTGGTAGGATTCTTTACTTTTATAGAACCTAAAGTTTGATTTCATACTAGACCAAACAGCTTCTCCTTCAGATAAGCTATTTACATAAAAATACTATTTTTAAATATAGCATAGAAGATTTTGTACTTGGCATCAGTTCTCTATTCAGTCTCTCATGTCAGTAATCTGTCTCAGATTAGGCAATAATCAGTCACACAACCAGACAAGCAGGCAGCATTAATGAGAATGAACTATGAATGATTAAGAGGTTATTAACTGTGTTCATTATTTCCCCAAACAGCTGTTGCACTGTTGCCCAGCTATTATATATTTGGATATATGATTAATGCCACTCAAAAAAATCATTTTCAGAACATTTCTAACCAAATATGTCCCAGTTGCCACATTTTCATTTTTCTTGTGTTATAAACAGTTTCTTGACACCATTTTTTTTATTTTTTTTTTTTTTATTTTTTTGCCATTAGATCCACAGTTCTCAAACTGTGATCCTTAGAATACTATTGGTTGACCTGAAGAACTACTGCTGGCACAGTGATGGAGCATCTATTATTAACTGCAGGGAAGCCTGAAAGTTTCTAGGCATTTTAAGATGAAAATCAGCAGGACTTTCTTTGCTGTCTTGGGATCTGCTAAAGATAGCATTGTCTAATGCTATCTTTAAACTGCTGTCAATATTAAAACCATACCAAAACACACAAAATAACTGCAAATGAGGACAAGACCAAACAAAGACAATGGCAATAAATATTATATATGGTAAATTAATAGGAAATATGAGACTTAGAGGCATTAAAAATATAATTCAGAAATAGTTTAATTAATACCTGCAGCTTGCAATTTTTTTTTCTGCCATTTGCTTCTTTCACAACTTAATAAAATGTAATTTGTAGTTCTTCATTTGTATCTGGGATGCACTAAACATCAGAGAAGTTCCATGCATCTCTTTATCAGCATTAAGTTAATGAAATGGTGCCAATAGTTACTATTGCTAAAATAAATTCACAAAGCTCAAATAACAGCATCATAATGTTAATACAAAATGGGACAGCCATAAAAACAATCTTTTAAAAACAACCTACCCAGTAGTGAAATTAAATAAACATTGAAATAGATTGGTACACATTAGACCTGTAAAGTTAACGTTATCACTGAAGAATTCCTAATATTCCAGTTGGTGCTTTGCTAACCTTGACTGGAAGTTTCTTTTAGCAAACTCTTTTGTACTTGTTTAAGCAACTCTTCATTTGGACATTTCATTGCTATATAGTAAGAAGCAATCCTTATTTCCACATTTTCACTGGCTGCTTGATACAGCTCAAGTAATACAGCATTCTAAGAGAAAAAGAAAGACAAAAAGATTACAAAAAAAAAAAAAAAAAAAAAAAAAAGGAGAGAATGAACGATACAGCTATTACATAAAGTTATTATATAATGAGTTATTATATATAAAGTTATTAAGTTTTTAACCATTAACCCACATAGACATAAGCCACACAACATTATCTCTGTCACTAGATATGATACCTCAGCTATTGCAAAACCTACCATAGGTCCAATTTTAAGGTGGCCATACCAACCTTTCCAACAGCAAAGAAGCTCTGCTGAAAGAAGCATTTAGATTTGTTTCTTGTCTGCTTGCATGTTTCTTACCTATTAGAGAAAGTCCAAACTCTGCAACTGTACCATGATGCCACCTGGCAATAAATTACTTACCCTAACAGAACAGGGAATGTGTCTGAATGCCTGGATAGCAGGTAGACAAATTTCAGTTGGATTGCTTTGGAGGGAAGCACACAGGCTCAAAACAGGAGCAAGTGAAGCTGCTGCCATTCCTGCATTTCCAATAGCTTTTAGAACCAGCTGCATCTGTAAATACAAAGTAGAACATAAATAAATCTCCATATCTTGTCAGCTGTACATGAAAACTTATTGCATTAACATTTACTTTGCAAAAATCTCTGTTTAAAATAACTGCTGCTCATATGGGAGGTTTCCTTGCAGACCCTACTGTAACAGCTAAACTCTGGCTTTAAAGTGTGAACAAGACCTTTTATGAATATGGACTGGGACTGGTGTCCTAAAGTCATGTAACACAAGTAAAATCTGGCTTAGACCTGGTGAAATAGCACATTCAAACCTACCAACCAACCAACCTGCATTGCAGTGGGAAAGCAGAAGTCATGGACTTGATATACACTAAAAGTTTTTCAAGTTCAAATATCTTTTAGTGATCTAACATGGAGTTCAGGAAACTGTACTGGGTAATAACTGATTTAAAAGAATAACTCATTACCGGATGCCATATGTTACCATATATTTTGGCTAAACATACAGGAAACCTGTGCCATTTCAGAATCCAGAAAGTATATTAATTGCTGGCAATCTGATTTTTTAGCTAAAAGGTCTGTACTGAAGTCTAGAGCTTTAAAGCCTAGGGAGTTCTACATGTACATGTATGTAATATGGGGCCTATCTTTTCACCAACAGTCCCCTGGAAATCACATTGAAGCCAACACAGTGAAAATGTTCAAAAATCTTCCATAACAGTACGGGTCAAAGACTCCTTTCACTGTTGGTTTGAAAGCTCAGGTGGCAGGTCTCTCCTGTAGTGCTCAGCATTTTCAGAAAAGTTGTCCTCATCAGAGATACCTATGCATGTCACTGCAACATGCTGCTGAGTTTTAAGAGGCTCCACTTCAACTCCCAGTTCTGATTCTCTAATCTCTTAGCTAATTTTAATGAGATTTGTTGGAAGACAAATGAGTAAAAATCACAGACTTTCCCATTACACCCTCCCAAAACCACAATTTGCTTACAGACAGTGACATTGTGACTTGATAAAAATTATTAGCCAATGACATCATAGCCAACAACTGTACATGATTCGATGTCCAAAGGAAGTCACCAAAGAATAGGAAACTCTCATCATCATGCCACTTTACAGGGGAGTGATGGGTGTTCTTCCATATCTCAAGTGATGAAGTTTGCTTCATGACTTCAAGAAAAGACCCAAGACTTTTCCTTCTTTAAATACACATGAATGTCTGTGTTGATCGGTCAGAAATAATTGTTGGATTACAGGATTATATCTGCTCATACTATTCAAGGATATTCATCAAAAAAACTTGTATTCATGACTTTCTGGGAACCCACTGAATACTATTTCCATCAAATATATTCTAGATCATAACAGCAATGTGGTAAAGCATTATACCACATGCTGGTATCTATATGATCGATACCTGGCTCAAACCTTCTGAATCTTGCACGGTACAGTTTCCTCCCAAAAATTCTCCAAGTGTCCTCATCATACTCTGCACAGCAGGCACACCATCACAAGAGCTGTGAGCTGAACAAAACCGATGTAAGAGAGCAGTCACTCCTAAGAAGCAGCTCTGGCTTGCTCCGGATGACTTCAGCAAAGGCTGTAAACAAGCATGAATAAAAACAGGCTGCATCAGAAAAGTCTTCCTTATAATTACTATAACACACAAGAGAAACTGGATGTATCCAGAGTTTTACATACTAAAACTCAATCTCAACAATGCATGTTTTCAAACAGCCCTTTAAGGAATAAAAGGGAAAAAGGGGGGTAAGGGGGAACAGACTACCCTGCAGAGAAATAATGGAAAATTCTTCCACCTTCACATGTAAACAGAAGGGCTAAGGTAATGTCAGTATGACACAGACCTCAGTTCTTTCCACAAGAAATCATGCCCTGTGTGCTCAGGAAAGAGTAAGAAAACAAATCTAAACTAGTTTCCAGGATGCTCAAAATGATGAATTGAGTATCCCCGATGTGACACACAAGTAATTTAGAAGAGGATGTAAAAACTAGCATTAAAATGTTTAAGGAAGAACAACTACGCAATATGCTGTGCCTTGATGAAGACTTCCATAAATAATTATTTTTAATACTCTTGTACTATTTGTAAATAATTAGAAGATAATTATTTGTGATTGCTAGTTACCAAGTCCAACAGAAGAGTATTTGAAACCATCTATGAAATCTAACGATGTGTTTATAGTTGTAGCACATGCTTTTGAAACTGGTAACCTGCATACAGCATCCATGAATGGTAGATTAGCCTGACTGGATATTTATGGATCTCATAGTTACGTATCTTTTCCAAGGTCCAAGTCTTGTAACTGTAATCAATGCTCTAACATTTGCATTCAACGGGGATGATCAGTTACTATGCTTTACTGCAGAGCATTTGTGACATTCATGCCTGTCATACACGTATTTTGGGCTTTCTTATCCTTAGAGCTGGCCAAAAACTCAGTTCCAGTTTATCAATATCAAAATATTGATATTTTAAATATCATTTACATTCCAAATCGGAGCCACATCCATGGACAGTCTCCTGTTTTCCTAAAATTTACATGAAAAGGAGGGTGGAGGACAAAGGAAAACCTATGTTTATTGCAGAACCTGCCAAATTTCATACAATTTTAGTGATTTTATATTTTACATTAGCTCACAACATGCCATCTGTCGTTGTACAAAAGGTACATGGTTAATATATACATCTTACCTAGCAGCCAGACTCTTTTCAAACAAATAATAATAACAAATAAGTTCTATCTGGTGAAAGAGGCTTGTTTCTTTTGCTCACCACAACCAAAGCTGTTCCCGTCTGCACGTTATGCAGTAACAGCCTATCAGCTTTTCAAATTTCTGTCCAATTTCTTGTCTTAATAGAAGGCTACAAGCTGCCGTGACAGCATGTCTAGGCAGCAAATTGAGGGCAGCTGCTATAATCCCAAGTGGAAAAGAAGAGCTAACAGCAGGAAACAGAGAAGAGGAGATGAAGAAATGAAAAGTGAAGAGCTGCACAACAGAGAAATAAGTACCACAATCACAGAAAAATGAAAGTCACCGGAATGAAGGAGAAAACAGAAATTTTACAGAGGGAAAGGTGGGCCATGTACATGTAAAACTATTAAAAGTTCATGCTTGCTTTGGTGGTGCCTGAGGATATGATGTAACAAAGGTAAATGCACAGAGTGAGCAGATCTGTGATTTTAGGCACTGTTCATTATTGTAACACACAGCAAAATCACACTAAGTTAAGTATTTGAGGATAGTTGCACCATTTATTACTGCAGTATGGCAGTTGCTAGTGCGGTGTATTCTTCAAGGCTACTACTGAATTTTTCCACTGGTATAGTGTGTATATATATATATATAAGGATGAACTTTAGAGTGTATGTGTACACATAATATAAAAAATATTTCAATGGCAAAGGCAGCAGGCTAGCATTTAACTAACACATTTGGATAAGTAAACTTCTGCTGCTGTATGCAATCAACCACATAAGTCATAAAGGGAACTGAAGGATCAATGCCCTTGAGGCAACCTATGCTGGGTTTATTCCTTGCTTAATACTAAAACCATCATCAGTATATATTTTCTCTAAATCCCACCTAAAAACTTAGCAAAAAGCACTGACAACTTAGTAAATTCACCCATTTTAAAGTGAAAATAATTATATTTATCCCATAAACCTGCAAATGCCAAATTTCTATATCCTATCCTCACACAGACCTTACATTGAACTTTAAAACTAATTAGCCCAGACTCTAGAGTCCACAGGGTAGTTCATACACTTTTGTTTTGCTTTGTTTTTGCTTCTTAAGTCTCTAGACTACAAATGTACATCAAGCTCCAGTGACCAAACAGGACTTGATCATCTTTTGAAAATTCAATTAAAATAACCAGTACTTTCACCACATTGCTCAAACAATGCCTGCAGATGGAGATTTGTGTAAATCTGTGAAAAAGACTGTTACTGTGAAATACAAAAATTGTGAAACAACTAGATTGATGATAAATGTTAAAAAAAAAAATAAAAATAGAAAAAACTGGTCTGCTCACAGCAAGAGATTCAATCATGCCTGAGGTGGGCTTAGGAATGAATGAAAATGACCATAAGAAATATTCCATTTTGTCTTCTTCAACTTCTCTGGAAGCTATAATTTCTTTCATTAGGATAACGCATGCTTCCGTAGCACAAGATGGGAGAGCATCTATTAAAGGCTGCCTGTAACACAAGAAAAAAGTACAGCAAATCTAAGATGACCAGAATACTCAAGAATAAAAGAACGAACACATTGAGGTTGGTTCTTTCAAAGTAAATAAAAGTCCACTCCACTGGCAAGTTCCATAGAAATCTCCATTTTCATTTGGATTTGTGACCGTAAGGAAATAAGCTTCAGCCAAGATATGATTAAATGTTTTGGTGTTTCAGTAAGTCTTTGTAACCAGGATTCTAAGCAAAATATTTGGTTGCTTTCTCTGAAAACTAATTTAAAAGACGTCCAAAGACATCCAAAATTCTGGAGACTAAAATATCTTAAAGTAATAATTTTATATTATTTTTTTTCTTTTTCTTTTGTTTCACCAATACCAAATGAAAATATTTGAATTAACTTTTACTGAATTAACTTTATTTTTACCTTCCTGTACCGTCTTATACCTTATCTAAGTGGAAAGATTACACCAGCATGACAGACAATCAGACAATACACATTTCAGCTCTTAGGAGTCCTTCTGTAAAACTTCTGCACCTACCTCCTGTACTGGTGGATGAACACACATTTACATTAACTAGGAAGCAGTTAAACTGAACTGTGTAAAAGCACTTGTATTGGAAAAAGAGAGTAGTCTATATGGAATTCTTCTTAGTTCCTAAAACTAGTGACTTTGTCCTGAGTAAGTTAGTCTAAAGTTAATACAGAAAGAGGCAGAGTAGTTCAGATTGCTCTCTAATATATATTAACATGACTGTTTCTCAGAAGATGAGAACAAACCTAAGCCAAACCAAAATCTATCCCTTTTGTGTTAAGTAAATATTAAAATATTGTTACAAACAAAATATTGTTAAAAAAGCCTGGCATCAGGTGAGATGATCTTGAGGTCTCTTCCAACCTAGAAATTCTGTGATTCTGTGATTTCATACTGAAACCAGTAAAAAAACTTATCTCTTTGTATTCACTTTTCAGGACATTGATTTCAGAAGAAGAAAGAAATTGTATTGATTTTAATAATACTAGATTAGTATTCCTGAAAGTGTCAAACCACTGGATCACAATTACTCCTGACCACAAAGGAGTGGGGACCGTGAACTTCAATTTGGCAGTTCAATATCAGTATAAAGCATCCTGAGACCAGGCTGCTACTGAAAGACATGGTTTCACCAGGTCTGTAACTCCTAGCCAAGCCTTTGTCTCCTCTCCTCAGCCAGTACTAAGGGCACTAAAGGTACTAATCCAGGTAAGCTTTTTTTTGTGACAAATGGCAGTAGTTTTTCACAACCATCAGCACTAATTTACAGCTAAGCCATGACTCAAGTTTCCTGTTCACATTTTTCCTGAAACAGGAAATCTGTCTTTTGAAATATGCACGGGACAGGAAAGTCTATTTTGTATACAATGTTAATTTGGTAAGGAAGAATATCATGTCTGTCACATAAACAAGATCTGCAATACACATTTAAAGTACTCCAAATTTAAATCCAACAGTTGGACATGGGTTTAGATCATTAATCCATTTAAAATATTTACAAAACATTTCTCTGATAAATGTGTATATTTAATTAAGTTATTAAAGGGGTCTTACCAGTTGTCTCTGCACTTAAACGAAGATCTTTGCTTTGTTTTTAAGGCTTCAAGAGAAAGATGTCGAAGGTCAAACACGAGAGTCATGAAAAGGTCCTCAGTCTGCAAGACAGCACAAGAATAAAGGTAGTATTACTGCTGTGCAGAAACCAGCTTTAGATAACGGAACACAAGAAGAGACTTTGGGTTGTGGCAGCATTGCTGCTAATTTTCGACATAATCTAAGAGCCAAGACCCCTCTTTTCTGCTTGCCCCTGTCTTCCTTCCCTCCCAACTTTTCTCTGGGGGCTGCAAACATCTAAGGAGAAGGGCTTTCACTTAGGATACCACTCAGTCCCTCAAGCAACAGTGATCAGTGACCACTAAGCACACCACTTCCAAACAAATGAATAACAATCTGGAAGAGAAGACTGTAATCTTCTCTGACTTTGTGAGATCCTGGTGCATGACCAGAACAGTTGACGTAACTATGACAAAATGAAACAAACAGTCAAGCTAACTTTATTTTAATCTGAAATTTATGAGAAAGATCATTTAACTGAAGGGGGACCAACACTTAAAAGTTTTGCTTAAGTGTCTCTGGCTAATATTTGTGTGACAATATCCCATCTTAATGGGGAAAAGCAAAGACATAACTGCTCTCTTCTCTGCTGAATTGCTACTACATACACCTGCTATTTTACCTGCAGGACATTATTCTCATGCACTTGTCAGTGTACATAAATCCTTTTCTTTTGCATATACACTATTCATCACATTGTTATTTTGGTCTCAGTAGAAGCTTTTGGTACAGCAAGAAAAGCATTTAAAGGCTAAATAACATGTAGATATGTTCCTCTGAGACCTGATCTAAAGTTCAAGATGGGAGATAAGTCTCATTACTTGAAAAATTAGGAGAATGTTAAATACAGTAACTTATATGTTCACTTTAATCTAACTTCACAGTGTGCAAGCTTTAATCATGCTCCACATCATGAGGATTCACTTCAACTGTTTATTCACTTCAGATGTGAAAGGTTTAGATACAGCTCTACTGCACAGGTTCCAATGAAAAAATTTTTCTTTGTGTAAATATCATACAAACAGTGTGAATTCCACTAAGTCACAGTTCCAAAGGTCTGGGGGGAGACCTATTTGGGCCTCTTGACCTTCCTCTCAGGAGCTGCTTCCAAAAGTAATAAAAAATTGGAATAACTCAATGCCAACATTTAATTTTCATTTAAGACTGCCAAAACATTTTCAGTAAAAAGAATTTATCTTTCAGTAAGAAGACAGAGTAATCTCTTACTGTGTTGTTTGATAGGCTAAGGAAATCATTTTTCAGATCCAATATAAATATTGTTTATGCTTCTGTTCTTTTGGGACTTCTTTTCTTTTCAGCAGTAATGTATTGATTTCATCAAAATGACATTTATTGTTGTACATGAAACACTTCGTAGGATTTAATTTGGATGACATTTATAATTCCTAGCTAAAATCCAGCTAGATAAACATATATTCCAGCATTAGCTCTAAGGTCCACTTTAAAAACAAATTACTGAGCCCTGAGAACCATGGAGCTGGGGAAACAGATTACATTTCACAGTCTGTAAAATTCAGAAAACTTTGTTTAATGAAGTTCTTCAAAAGTATGTGTTAAATTCAGGCCTTATGTCCATTTTTATACACGTAAGCACACCATGGCAGTCTGAAGGGGGGAGCTAAGGAGGTGCATGGCCTCGCGGACTCCATCACAAGGAGCTGCGCGTGCAGCTGCTGCCGGGAATAGGCCATGTTGGGCCTGGCTCAGGTGGCCGATCAGCACAGTCCCTGTACCGTTTCCAGACTAATATATTTTGAGGCAACATGATTTTAGACTGTAGACAAACTTCATTCAGTTTCATACCTGCTGACAAGACCAACTCTAATCTAATTAGACATCTAGACTAATAGACCCAGGACAAAATTTAGCAGGGAAACAACTATTTTTATTTCCTAACAAAATAAAGCTTTGGAATGAACTGCCTGCTGAAGTAGGCTGTTTGTACTTTTTAAGGTAAGTTTTACTGAAATTGGGATGTCAGAGAAACAATAATCTCATTGTAAATTCCTCTATTTGCATTTTCAGAACCAGAAATTACATGCTAATTTGGCTACCACTCACAAGCCTAAATGAAGTATAAAGAAGCCCGGCTTTTATTGTACTCAGGAGTTTGTTTTTCCTTTTATCTGCAGACTTATCTGTATCTCCATCTTTTTTTTTTTTTTTTTTTTTTTTTCTCTGAAAGCATAGATATGTTATAGTTTAAATCAGAAGGTATAGTAGTAAGATGTTGCTCAATAAAATACTTCTATTTATGATGTACAGGAGCACTTACTCTTTGGAAGCCTGACACGTTATTTGCTTCCAAGTATAAACCCCATGTAATCACAAGGGAAGTTACTCTGATGTGTTCAATGAACATATTTGTTTTCACCTACCAATATGTGTTCTCAGTAAAAGTTTGAGCCATTCTCTCCAACAAATTTAATATACATCTTTGGAATTACTTAGTCTTTTCTCTGTACTTCTGTTTTTCAGCTGATTGTTTTTTTTTCAACTGTACATATGCTAAAGAACCAGTTATTCCTTTAATTGAATGACAGGTCTGATATCACATGGAGGTGGCACAATCTTCTCTTTGAAGTCTACTGACAGAACTAATTAGTCCACCAGGACTAATTATGGAAAGCAAGGGAAGAATATTAGGGGTTTGTACAAAACTTCTTGTGGAATATTTATGGGAAGAACTAGTTACTGTATGGGTCCATAGTGCATGTATATATCATACAAAAAACACTGAGACTATGCCCTATATGTCAACATTTTTGGCTCAGATTGGGATACAGAAGTTGGGTGAGTGAGCCTGACATACTCTTGCCCACGCTGCTGAATGCACACATATAGCTACATTCACCAGAGCTACCAGTTCAGCATCAAAATTCAGACGGCCATATGTAAATGCAGCCCCCAGCAGAAGCTGTGTGCCAGCCTTCCTTCAAATCTTCAAATCTCTCTCAAGTGAGGATCCCTTCTCCCCATATCCCTTTGACCATTCTTTGTCAGTATGCAGCTTGTCCACTTAATGGTCCATTAGCTAATCTACATCCACATTGAAATTCAATCTTGTTTCATAATAGCTTAAAAAATTAAACAACAGCTTTTATTTCTTGGAAATGACACAGTCTCCTCCTCCATTTTCTCCACTGTTTACTGTTTTCACTGGAGTTTGAGATTTTTCCTTCTACTTATTCTTGGTTTGGGGTCCTGAAAGAGATGCATAATCTTGCCTCATTCACAGTCAGACAATAAGGGAACAAACAAGCCATACATGCATAATAACAGAGCTGTTTCCCAAGCAACACTATCACCATTCCCATAACTTCTTTCCTAGCCAAAAGGACATTTTATTGGTTAAAATGAGGGATAATACAGATCCCTTTTGAAATGTCTTGTCACAAAGAAGGAACACCCTGGAACAGTGAAAACAGCCGATGACCAGTCAAACCCTGTGTTGGGACAGCCTTATGATAAATAATTCACCTCTCTTTTAGGCAGTGACACAAACAGCAGCCACTTGTGCTAATTCTAGTAATTTACAAAACAAATTTCCCACACAAGAAGCTATCGGGGCCCCTTTGGAGACAGAAGTGACATCCCTCTGTTTCTGGGAAAAATCATCTACCATTTCTTCAAAGACATTGAAATATGGGTGTTCAAAAGAAGGCAGGATTTAGAGAAACTTTCTCAGGTTCACTACAATGATTTCTTTTTTCAGCATTTTCCAAACGCTATTTAGCACTCTAGTCTGTTCCTAAACGCCATTATATATTGCGTTTACAATGACAGTCACATGGAATTCAGCGCTATCATAAGTAGAGAGGCTGATTTTATTCTACATACCAAGAACCCTTATTTTCACAGCTCTGCTCTCTTTAGCACCAGTCTCCCTAACACATGCTAAAAAGATGGCAGACTTGCTTACAGCTCAGTGACAGAAACGTGTCCCACAGAACAGCACTTCGAAAGGCCACCTGCCGCTTGCTCCCCAGCCTAGTGCTATAGGTCTTTGTCAGGCTGTGATACAAGGTCAGGCTATGATCACTATTTAATACATTAGTAGTAACTCCTAGGGCTGTCTTTTTTTATTATTATATTATGTCTTTACCATAAGTCTCATGCCACATTACACAAACACCTACTTGTGCTTGTTAATCACAGCTAATACTAAGAGAAAAGTGAATATATGCAGTATATTCATATCTAAACAGGCACCACTACCCTGCAGAGCTGTAATCCACCATGGTTTTCTTCTCCAGTCCCCGTAAAGCATGTACCCCATCTGTACCCATACTGGAGCATCTGTGTCACTTCTTCCCAAGGAAGATGCAGACAGCCTTTGTTGCTTGACACCGGACTTACATTACACGAATGAAGGTGGAGTGCCTTCTCCTAGGCTAGGACTGAAGATTTTTGAAGGCACTAAGGCTCAATTCAGTGTTTTCCCCATTAGGACATATCTGTTTTCTAGTAACATGCTGACCATGAATGATTTAAACAAGAACTGTGTTCTTCTATTTATTTTTTTTCTTCAAGGTAGCTCAATATGGAAGCTCCATTACCAGCAAGAACCATTCAATTTGAAGGATAATGGGATATTGGAGTGCTCTCTCTCTTAGGTTTTGGCATCAGTTTTCTCCCATCAGCAATGATTAAGCACCATCATCTGCTGATCATTCTCTATTGTGTGTAACAGGTGTTCTTGATAACCTCAGAATTTCACAGAAGATAGGGATCTTCGTTTCAAAGACAGCGACAAATACTAACTGATATGTTGCTTCCAGTGTATCAATAAAAATGTCAAGACCTGAACAATCTAAGGATACAAGCAGACCCTCATCTAGAATGATGGCCGTCACAGAAAAAAATGAAGGTACTGCATGTTCCATGTGACCACAATATTCTACCCTACGTTAGCAGCAATCACCAGTAAAATGGCGAGAACGTTGCCTCTGGCCCCAAGCAGCACTCCCAAAAAAATATGATAGTTATTGCTAGAATTCATCAGAAACACATGGAACAAACCATTTAAGACTCAGCAGCAGGGGATTCATGTGCAAACTGTTTTAAGGGAATGAGGCAACGAGAAAGAACTTTGGAACTCAAACATGGAAACAATAGCACTACCAAGGACAGTATCTCACAGTAAAGTTGTAGGAAAGAAGTTTTTGATGCTGAATTGTACAAACTGCAGCGTCAATACAAACCAGACTTTTTTTATACAGTTCAAAATTGCTTTTTCCCAATATTCAGTGGTCTTACAACCTTACAAGTCATCTTTTCAGTCTGATTTATTGTTTATATGTAATAGTGACACTTCAAAGCATTTTATCTTTTTATAATCCAGCACTTATACATTCCCAAAACAATGCAAGGCTTCAGCGTTTTTAAAACTGCTGCCCTTTAAAATCAAAACTACAATTTCTACTGAATTAAATTTTCTGCTACAAAAACTGTTCTTTATTTAGCATAATGTAGCCAGAACAAACTTCTGCTGACTCTTAGAATCAGGCCCATGCTACATATAACTACCAGAAGAAGAACCTGGAGCCAGTATTCTTCTGACATGTCTAACAATAAATCCTTATCCAAGAACAGTAAAAGGTCACAAGACGTAGGAGAGATGTATGATGTTTAAAAACATATTTTTGGAAATTCACATTAGTTTCATATGTTAGGTAGTAATTTTGAATATTAAACAAACCACATAACTAGCAATTTATGGCAATGCTAAATGCTAATGTAAATATTCATCTTTTGGCTTTACTTGCATACTCCAGAAATGGGACATATCTTTCTGCTTCCCCACCTCTATTACAACTAACTTGGAATAAAGATTGAAAATCTGTTCATAATAACAGAGCTTAGAAACTTTTCAACCCATTATGCATAAATTCCATTCTACACAATGTTTCATCTTTCAAAATTTTTAGCCAATTTGCAGCAAAAATAGATTTTTTTAAACTCCTATATATAAAGTTGTCTGAGCTACAGTAGAGTTTATATATGTTTGATACCTAATGATACAAAGATAGTTGTAAAGTTGTAAAGATACAAAGTTGTAAAGATACAACTAAAACATGCAGTTAAATCATAATAGGGAAGGGAGAACAAAGGCAGTAAGTACAGCATGCAGGTAATAGAAAAAGATAAGTAGAAAGAAGCCAGTCAGTTTAGTGAGCAAAAGAACATTTTTGGGTTTTTGTTTTATTTATTTTTTTAATTGCTTTCAAACACTTGGATTCACCCAGTTAAAAAATAAGTGACCTCCATAACCTCGAGGCTACTAGATTTACTATCCCATCTCCCTCTTTCTGTTACACTCTCTTGCTGCATCATAAATTGTACAATTCCCATAGGAACAGGTTTGATGCTATGGATTACGTAAGGATAATGAAGGGTCACAGTAATGGTGCCAGAGTGATTCTAAACTTGTCCAATGGAAGTCATACATCTGTCTGTGTAGAACTCTCAGACCATAGAATCATAGAATCATAGAATATCCCAAGTTGGAAGGGACCCATAAGGATCATCAAGTCCGATTCATGGCACCACACAGGTCTGCCCAAAAGTTTAGACCATGTGACTAAGTGCACAGTCCAATTGCTTCTTAAACCCAGACAGGCTTGGTGCAGTGACTACGTTCCTGGGGAGCCTGTTCCAGTGCGCAACAACCCACTCGGTGAAGAACCTCTTCCTGATGTACAGCCTAAACATCCCCTGCCTCAGCTTAACACCGTTCCCGCAAGTCCTATTGATATTGTATAGACTCACTTTAGGATAGAATAAATCTTGTGGTTACAAATTAATGAGAACAAAATAGATGACATCTTGTTATCTGTCAACCTTTTGTTATGTTGAAGCATCTTGTTAATTGAAACATCCCATTATCTGTCAACCCTCAGTCAGGCTGAGACTTGAGATAACTTGAGTCAACCTTCTATTATGTCTTGTTAACTGAGACATCCCGTTATCTGCCAACCCTCATCTAGGCCGAAATCCAACTCAGCTTGGAAAAAAACTGATTCATCCTATCTGGCATTTTCTAAGCAAAAGGTGAAAAGTGCCCAGAGACCACTGCCCATGTCCCAAAGACCCCGGCCCACAATTCTTGGAAGGCTTTGCGCAAGCGCAAGGACTGATAAGCTAATTAGCATACGAAGCAAGAGTAGGCGGGTTTGGGTAATGAATGTGTATAGGCATTAATAGAATATTCATCATTTTGCTGTATAAATATGAGATGGTTTGTTGCTTCAGATATGCACAGAATCACAGAATCACAGAATTTCTAGGTTGGAAGAGACCTCAAGATCATCAAGTCCAACCTCTAACCTAACACAAACAGTCCCCACTAAACCATATCCCTAAGCTAGGTGGAAAGATCCCCCATGCATCCAGCGCTGCAATAAAGAATACACCACTTAAGGAAATTTTGGCTTCAATCTTTGAATCACTATCACTAGTGTTTTCAGAGAATAGGTCACCTGCCTCTCCACTCCCCCTCACAAGGAAGTTGTAGACTGTGAAGAGGTCCCCCCTCAGCCTCCTCTTCTCCAGGCTGAAAAGGCCCAGTGCCCTCAGCCGTTCCTCATATGTCTTCCCCTCTAGGCCCTTCACCATCTTTGTCACCCTCCTCTGGACACTCTCCAACAGTTTCATGTCCTTGTACTGTGGTGCCCAGAACTGCACACAGTACTCGAGGTGAAGCTGCACCAGCGCAGAGCAGAGCGGGACAATCACCTCCCTCGACCGACTAGCGATGCTGTGCTTGATGCACCCCAGGATACGGTTGGCCCTCCTGGCTGCCAGGGCACACTGCTGGCTCATATTCAACTTGCTGTCAACCACAGCCCCCAGATCCCTTCTCTGCGGGGCTGCTCTCCAGCGTCTCGTCACCCAGTCTGTACATATAGCCAGGGTTGCCCCTTACCAGGTGCAGGACCTGGCACTTGCCTTTGTTAAACTTCATGTGGTTGGTGATCGCCCAGCTCTCCAGTCCGTCCAGATCTCTCTGCAAGGCCTTTCCACCCTCATCAGAGTTCACAACTCCTCCAAGTTTGGTGTCGTCAGCAAATTTGTTCAAAACACCTTCTAGTCCTACATCCAAATCATTTGTAAGGACATTTATAAGGGCCCTAAAATGGAGCCTTGAGGGACCCCACTAGTGACCATCCGCCAGCTGGATATGGCCCACTACACTTTTTTTTTTTTTGACCACAAAGTGTATTACTAGAAACTGAAGTTACATGTAAAAGCTCACCTCAAAACTCGTACTATGTGCTAGGCAAAGCTTCCACAATAGGTTGGTCACTTCCTTCCCAGTGACCTCCTTCTTGGTTTGTTCCCTTTCACAGAGCATGCTGGTCATATATAGATCCTTGGAGCCCACTGGAAAGACATAAGAAAAAATAAGACATCTGGTTTCTGGCCATTTGCTTTGGTTAACACCAAATTTTAGGGAAATGTTACTCTCAGCATTCCTTTCTACATGTAAGAATCTCTCTAGTTTCCGTAAAGTCAAGGGATGAATATGTATGCCTGTACTCTGGTTGAATATCATAGAATGAAGGCCTAAACACAAATGTGGTGTGAAAGAAATTCAGAGAAACAAAACAAAGCAGATACATCTGAAAAAAAAAATCCCATTTGCTATAAATATGCCTTTTACCATTACCCTGCTACTTTACAATCATTGTCCTTTCTAGTTTTATATAATCATTTACTCTGTCCCATACCCCAACCTCACAAAATTCAATAGGAGATCTGTGTGCCAAGAATAATACATGGCTGGACTCTAAGGTTCTTCCCCAGGAGGAAGATCACGTCATCTTACATCAGTACAAATACAAATAAAAAGTATTCTGGAAATTCATATATAAATATTTTTAAAGCAGAAAAAAAAAAAAAAAAAAAAAAAAAAGGTTCCTCACATTTAGAGCTCAATCTACCACTTTTAGATAGCCACTCAAAGTACAGTTACAGCAGTCTCTCCAGCTTTCAAAAAAATGGCAGCTGTCAGTAGCCCAGACTGTACAAACATCACCTTTCACATAGTTTAATACTAGAGTTCTCACAGGCAAGATGCAGTCCCAAGATTCTTCTAGGAAATCATTTGGTTTTGCAAGAAATAATTTTATTCTTGATAAAGCAGAAACATCCTATTACCTTTTTTGTACAGTGTCTCTGCTTCCACTTGAAAGAGTTTCAACGAAGACTGAGTCTCTGTCTTTACCCTGCCACCTTTTCTGAGAAAATGCAACGAGGTTGGATTCAGTACACTTGGCTTCTGCCAGGACTCCATCCTTAACGCTCTGAACACATTCCAGTTTAGAAGACAGGATCTGCTGCTCCAACTGAGAAGAAAAGATACTTCAGGGAAAGTCTTGATGACCTATGTCAGGCTGCCCAATTCTTTCACTCCTGACTTCATGGAGGTTTCCAGTTCTGTGATGTAGTTAAGTCTTCTGTATAGACCTCTGATTGCCCCCAGCCTGTGTAGGTTAATGTGCTCTTTTTTTCAGTCTACACTTTTCCTTCACTGAAATGCAACTGCTACTAACTTTCAGTGTCAAATGGTCTCAATTCATTTCAGTTTGCAAAGCATTAGTGTTAAGCAGATCTTTCTGGTCAAGTAAGTCGAGAAAAAGGCTGGTAAATGATGACTAGCTAGTACAATACAAGGAACAGTTATTTTTCACATAATTAAAGTGATACAAAATACAAACATTAACAGTATTTGCTATGAGCAGTGAAAAGTTGTAAATTTTGCTTTTAAAAAAGCTTTCTTTTCCTTCTTTCTATTCCCCTCTTTCATGCTCTTCTGTCAGTTTCCACTATAAGGTTTTAATGACAGAGGTTAATACAAGCACCATAGTAATCTCTTGCATTTATTCTATAATACTCAACAACTACAGTACAAATCTGCATTAAAACCAGATTATGTTAATAGCCATTAAAAGGACAACAACAACAGTAATTGTTTCTTTGCTAAGGATTCAAATTTGGGTAGACACACACAAACGTAATTGAGCATAAACAACTACTCAAAATGTTTTCATTTACATTACTAAAAATGTTCCTTCCCATAGAAGTACCTGACACGAATTGTAGACCTGGTCCTTAGACTTTCCAAAGAAATTAAAAGGACCTGTGGAAGAACCAATGCCATTTCCCAGCACTTACTGACATATGAGGAAGAGCAACAGACTGCACAGAAGTAAAACCAGAATATCGATGAGAGCAGAGGTTTAAGTCCCTTGTTTTGACAAGAACAGAACCCTTTCGCTGATACCTGGTTGGGCATATTCCCAGCACATCCATCTGGTAACAAATGTAAAGTGTGAAATCACACATGCATGCTACAATACTAGGAAGTATTATGGCCTATTACAATAATTTTAAGTCATTGCTTTGTTGTAATGAAAGAGGAGAGACATAAATTCTACCTTGCAGGACACTTGGTTTGATACAAAAGCCACAGAAAGCCCAATCATTTTAAAGATCTTAGACAGGTTTTATTAAAGCCAGGGTTTGTTGGTGTGTTTAACTTCAGTGCATTATTTTTAATCAGATCATTTACAGACATATGCTTTTTCATTCCAGATTCTCTGTATTTGCAGAGAAGCGTTAACTAAGAAGAGTATTTTTACTCTACTCAAAGAAATCGAATTGAATATGACCCACTCCTTATAAAGGAACATTTATTTAAACAATGCTATGTAGCAATAGCATGAGAACAAGTGCACATTGTGCTCAGGTAACAATGTGTTGGCTTCCTAACCCCAACAAGAATGCAAATTGCAGATAATTTCATAACTCTAACTTCTAAAACAAATCAGACAAGCACCATGGGCTGCTAGCCTGTCATCAAGCCGTAAAAATTTGTAGTCTTTAACAAGGAGATAGATATAATAGGCACAAAGGCTAACAGTCAACCTAGAGCATGACTCTACCAGGTCTCACCTCTTCAACGACTGCATGAATGCATGTACTCTTAAAAATTTGTCTTCTGCTGTGATACGCACAAAACCATGATTAAGTGCTTTCCAGTCAGCCCCTTGTTTTTATCTTCCTGCTCTGCTAGGTGTACATACTTGGGCTTTATCATGGTGTTATCCCCCAGTCCTTGTTGTCTGACTCAGTAACTTTGCTATCCCAGGCTGAGAGTACAGAAGTTTCCACTTTTGGAAGTGACTGTGTTTGAACACTGATTTTCAGTCCTAACACAATGTAATCTAATAATCTATTTTCCCTCTCAATAGGGAAAGATAAGCCATCTAAAGGAAGAATTCTGCAGTATTCCAATGGTCAGCTCCCAAACAGGGAGATACACGGTTCTTCTGCACATTAACATTGGAACTAACCATTCATTTCAAGCCAACTCATAAAGACAGTGCAAGAGGAAAACAATGTCCAGGTGTTAGTGCATTGAAAAAGTCTTTCCAGAAGAAAAGACTGTACATGGGATAAGGGTTTCTATACTCCTAGGCAAATGAGGTTGCTTTTGTTACTATTTGTGGAAATTACACGCGTGTTCAGAGGACAAGCTATACCACTGTTATTCACAATAGGCTGAGGGAAATGCTAATAAGGTTCCCTGGTCTGAATAATTATTTTCAATAGCCAGACTTCACTAAATGCTTTCTTTGCTACCTCTTTTTTCACTTCTCTGCAAAGAATAAAACAAATATCTTTATGGAAGAATGTGTGCCTGTATAAATGATTGGAACTCCAATACCACTACTCTTATTTTGGAACACAGAGCTCTTCTTGATGAACATAAAAAGCAATACATTTACTCCAAACTTGCTCTTTTTGACACTCTGAATTGAGTCAATTATCTCACTTGTCAGTGTTGTTTAAAGGCTGAGAATCCAAGCAGCAGGACAAAGAGAAGATTAGGAGGCTCAGACCAGACAACAGAAATTCCTTTTTTTTTTTGGTAATACAAGAAGCTCTCTGGAAAAATACTGACCTTCTAACTGTGACCTCCACAGTTAGAAGAGGCTTCTTTTTATATAGGATTCTTCACAAGTGTCCATACCTTTGCCTGTCAGAGAGCTACACACTGACAGTATATTAAAAGTAAGCTAGTATAAGTGGAAGAAGATGGCATTAGAAGACTCGTGACATTAGAAGAATAAATGGAATTTAAATCACCTGGAAGAAGAAAAAAAAAAAGTTTTACATCACAAGAAATACAGTCCCCTACAAACCCAGAACTTCTAAAATGGAGTTCAAAACTCAAGAGTCTCTGCAAGTAACAACTGCAACTCAGAAAACTAATGAATGTTCCATACTTGCTGCTAGGCAGCAAGAGGCTTGACAGTTTGTACCCAGAATCACTTAAACTGTCTACTCATCAAATAATTTTACATAAAAAAGGATGAAAAATAAGTTCAAAAAATCTTTTTGGACCATATGATCCTCATTTTACTGATGGTCTTCAGATTTATCTGCTGCTAAACCATACAGTATCAAAACAAAAACAAAAACAAAACAAACAAACAAACAAAACTAAGCTAAATTAGAAGTTTTTCCACCTTAGAGTGTCCATTTCCTTCAGAGACTCTTCTCTGGATGCAAGACTTTTCTTGATCTGTACATCTTGCACCTAGGAGTAAAGATTATAGAGCAATTAATATCAATGCCATTAGGAACATGTGGACTTCGTCACATAAGGACATGTAAGTAGAAGACTATGAAGAAAAGCCTCAGTGCTGCAAACAAGACAACTGCAATAGCCACATCTTCAGGGTAAATATCTGAGACAGTTTCCAGAAATTTCTTCTACAAATAAGTTTCACTGATTATTAAGTGTATTTTGTACAGCACAGTTATACCCTTTTATTTTCAAGCCAGAAACAATCACCAATTCTAAGTTAAAGTAGGAACCTGGATAAATATAAATCCTTTCTACTTCTGTGGAGAAGCAAAATGACTACTTATGTTGGTTGATTCTTGCAACTAAACACAGTAAAGTGCTCCATATTCATTAGCCATTTCATAGTTTAATTTTACTGAATTCAGAGGAGAAAATGCATGCCTAAGTGATTTCCAATTTGGCTGGTAGTACTAAGGAAGAACTGTTCTCGAATGATGTAACAAGAATGGTGTTCCACTGTCCCCTTTTTAAATACAGCATAGATTACAACCACTAGTGATTTTTTCCCTAATATTTTCTATTTTATAAAGACAAGCATTTAACTACAGATTCTTTTGCATGTCCTACGAGACCTCAACTAAGACAAAAAGCTAGAAGTAACAGAGTTCAGCTACTGACATAACAAGGCAGAACTCAATGATTCAACCTGAAGACAGTAACCGAATTCTTATTTTTTTATGCAAAAACAGGGGACCACTGACCAGGTAATTTTATCCACATAGCCATATTAGGACAGAGATAACTATCCTATTCTTTGTTGGCTTCATCTATATTTTTGTATATTGCACACATATGTCAACTCCCCCACAGAATGGATGAATTAGCTCATTTGTTAACCCAAAGAAAACCAAGGCAGATGAGAGTTTATTTTCCATGCTCACCTTTTTAAGAACTGTAATTCTTCAGCTTGCCTACCACAGGGCTCACCTAAAGAAGAGGTCTGTAAACTGAAAATGGTCTGTTGGTCTGTCACTGAGACAGAGATCTTCTACTGAGATCAATGGAGTGTTACAAAACTGAATTTTACAGTGTACTAGGAACGGCACCTATCCAGCACATCATACAGGTTTCTCAAGTTCTCTTTAAAAAGTTTGCTATTTTTAAATTACAGCTACAGATATGAAAGTAATTAAAAATAAAACAAATTCTTTTCAAAGGGATTAGCTTCATATCTAGTTCTGTATTTCATATCTAGTTCTGCACTTAATGTAACAAAACAATGAAATTTATGAAAACAAAACAGGCCACTTCAGAAAGAAAATGTTTTGTTTAATCTGCCTTCTAAGCTATTTAATTTGAAGTTGTGTTGCATTCAGGCAAATCTGCATCTCTAATTATGAAAAAAATATTTATTAAATGTAGCAGTAATCCCACAGAAAGACACAGTTCCATGTTAGCTCATCCCAATCACTCAGACTATGACAATACTCACTTTCAAAACCATCTGGCAGTTCCCCAATACTTCAATGATCACTGTGCTCTCCAAAGAGATGCCACTGCTTTTATAAATACTCTCCTGCAGGAACGTGTTGGTGACTGCTGAATACCTGTAGCTGTATCTAGCTCTTTGGGGGAAGTATGATACACTGTGTCCTAGGAAACACAAACAAACAAAAAACCTTTTGTCTTTTGCAGGTTTTTTTCCTCCTTTTTGAAATATATTTTTTAATCTTTTCACCACTAAAATCAGATAAGTAAGGGGCTAAATTTTCAAAATGTTCCTTTCCCACTTGGGCTTACAACTGAAAGAACCGGGTTTCTGAAAGCACCCTGCATGCAAGAAATAGCTCCTATATGGAAGGTGGAGAGAATTTCCCTCTCTCTTATGCTCACAGCCTCACAATTCCCATCAAGTCAAGAATCTAATTCCAAGAGCAGAAAGGGAATGTGATGCAGTTCTGGCACAATGCTCTCTTGACACCTTTCAGAGAGCAGCAAAGCTGGACCTTCACAAACTAAAGTTTGTTTGGTTCTGACAACCTACCCTAGAAGATCCAGGCTGAGGAAAAGAAAGCATGGGAAGAGAGGGATTGTTCATGTTTGTATATGAAGACATTGTTGTGACCTTGCAACATCCATTAGCAGCACTGTCCTCTAGAGAACACGATGTCAGACACCCTGATGCGTGTTGCATAGTGTCTGTATTCCTCTAATCAGAGATTCTCTTCTAGGCCAGGTGATAACTTACCCTCACAGGAGGAGAGGATTGGAGTCATAATACCTTCAGTGCCAAAAGTTTTGGTGTCTGTGATGTGTGAGATTGGATGTGTGAGATTGTAACAAATATGATATCCCTAGAAGATATCACGGTATGGCCTTATCTAGGACCACTGAAGTGCAGAAGAGGAAAGATTCATAGAAAATACACATTCTTCCCTCAGGTGAAGAAGACAAGATCCCAGAAAACTGACCACTGTGACTCCCATAAAATACAACTTCCTTTTCTTTGCCTCACAGTGGCACTGACACACTCAAGCACTTTCAATTACAATGCCACACAGGGATGAAATAATGCTGAACGAACCAAGGGTCTCTAAGCTGCACTGTCTGGGTAGGAAGCTAAGAGGCCAGGGTGAGATCTTGTGAGCAGAACATCCACATGCTTTCCCTCCTGCTACAATAAAAACATTATATATATATATATATATATATATGCACATTCAAGCACCTGCTGGCAATGTAAATCAGATGCAAAAGTTATAAACTGTACTTCTGTACTTCAGGCCATCCAACCAAACCTTTCCAGGTCAGCTCAATATCCTGTCTTCCTGTCTGTCCGTCCTTTAAAGAATAGAAGTTTTGTTCATGGTCACTGAAGGAGAAGTCTTTCTTCATGCCCATTTCAGTATGAAAGGAGCTGACACTGGGTTCTGGAAAAAAGACATTCATACATGGCTGGGTTTTGTCCTGCACTGGCTTAGTAGTTTGTTTAGCCCTAATGTTTATGAGTTTTCTCAGTTCACAGAATGTGAACTTGAGGCTGTCTGTGCATGGTAAAGTTCAGTAGGACTTCTCAGATACTTCTATGAATGCATATCACTTGGACATAAATATCATTCTTCTAATAAATCAACGTCCCTGTTGAAGAGAAGGAAGTTTTCAAATCCCTCTTTCCTCATCACATACAAGGCCTGAATACAGTCTTGTGTTACTCACCAACACAATCAGCAGAACAGGAAGCTCCAGAACTTACATTTTCTGAGGATCCTGTAATGACAGGTAAGATTACTGAAAAGCATTGAATTTGTGTGCAGCTCAGGACAGATCTGCTGCTCTTCAATTACCACAAACCCAACATGAAATAATAAGAAGCAACATATGAACACCCTAGGGGGGCAAGCACACATCCTTACCCTGAGAGTCATAATGTTAGAGCAACTCAGAAGGATCATATCCAACAGTTTGGTGCTGAGATCCACTTTATATTTCATACAAAGGATTCTTACCCATTCCGTACCACCACCATCTGTGTAAAAGTGAAGTGTACATTTGATTTCAGCACCAAGAGCCAGGGGTCTCCTGTTCCAGACAGGAACCCTCTGTGGTGTTGTGAGCTGAACCCTTTGGAGCTCACTTGGGGGGGAAAGGAGAGGAGAGATAAGAGCAGTGGTTGTTTCAGGTAGTATATACTAGTGTTCAATCTTACACTTTTTTGTATAGATATGTATCTATTCTCTTTTGCCTTCTTTTTAGTGAAAAGATCAAAGAAAAGAGAAAAGCAATAACTAGCATATTCTGTCTTTTTTAAAAGTTCAGTTTTCCAGAAGAAAATCTTAGAAACAACCACTGAGTAGAAAAATATCATTTACTTTCAGAGTTAAAGTATGTGACCACATGAAACATCAGCATGGCTCTACCCTCTGTCCTTTTGTTGCTACCAGGCCTCAATCATTCATTGAGTTGTTCCAAACAGAAACCAAAGCCCAACACCCCCCACCCCTAAAAAAAAAAAAAGAAAAAAAAAAAAGACAGTTTTGCTACTAAGTATGCAAGGATTAGACTTTGCTTTCACCCTTTTCCATGTGTCTAAACCACACAAGCTCATAGATAAAGGGATGACATGCCTTAGTGTATTTATTGAGGTACGTATGGAAATGCTACAATACCATGGATAACCAAATAAAGAACAAAAAGGAAATTATGGCTCTTCTTTCAATGGAATTATGCCTGCATTAACTAGGGGTTCTTAATCCAAGAAATACATTTCCTATATGCCAAACTTCTGCACAGCCACAGGCCTTTAACTTAGGAAAATGTCTACTTAACTAAAATCTTTATTGCACACAGACAATCAAGAATTCATAAATACCATTTAAAACAGGAACAAGAGCAAGCTTTACTGCTGAAGAAAGATTTTTTTCAGCACCAGCCCACTAAGGAACAAACACTTAAACATCACAACTCAAGGCTAGCATCCTTCAGCACCGGAGAGCCTGCTCTCCAGCATGACTTTCCTTCAGACTTGGGCTGGAAGGGCAGTGAGTCTGAGGGAGACCAGAACACATCTACACCACACAGGGAATTGCTTCGTGTTCTCATTGACATGAAGGTAGGAATTTCAAGCACTGCTAGACAACATAAAAAACACATGACCGACTGGAGGAGAATTTCTGTTTGCACATGGAAAGTTAAGACCAGTCAAAGTTTTAGGGTATCTATTTCCTGTGCATCACTGCAACTGCCTCTATGACATCCCTAAGTATCTTGTGGTTCAGGCAAAAAAAAAAAAGGGACACTCCCTTCCCCCCTCACTCCCCCCTTCTTTTCTTTTAAACTGTGGAAAAAGTTTGTTTCAAGTTGTTAGCTTTTAATGAAGAAATCAGTATCGCATTCAATAAACTTGAAGTAAATATAGTAAGGCAAACTTGGAAAATTTATCTCTTATGCAGCATCAGATTTTTAAAATGTTCAGCATGCCTCCCCAGGATGAGATTTAAGAGCTCTCTCAGCTCCCACGTGGATACCTGAACGCTGTAGTCAGAATTGTTCAACGTGCTTATCACAGACAGATGCTGTGGTTGGCTGGACACCTCAGACAGTCCAGTCAGGCACTTGGATAATTTTGTTAATGTGCCTAAACTTAGAGCTTCTGTGGGAACAGAAATGTTGTTTTTGCAGAGTTACATTGTTTAAAAGGAGGGAATGTGGTACTGAGATATGCTTACAGTGATAAGAAAGTTTAACAGGCGATCTTGTAAAATGCAGACAACCAGACTCCTTAGGACAATTAGGTGAAAATCACAGTGTCAAGTCAAGTCAGATAAGTGAAGAAACATTACCACTTCCAGCAGTAAAAAAGTCAAAAGGAAATTGAAATTTAACAGGCCAGCATCTGAAGGCCATGCATTGTTTGTGAAGCATCAGATAGATTGTGAACCTGGATTACCCACTCTGTGGGGAAACAGGGAAGGGTCCTGTCATCAAAAAGTATATAAACTGTGTTTTGGAACTAGTAGATGCGCTCTCCTGATTGTGGGGTGCCCGCCATTGCAATCTCGAATAAATTACTACTTCACTGAGATCCTCGCCTGAGCCTAAGTTATTGGCTACAGAGTGTTTCTCACACAGACCTGGGTGCTCGTCACACACCTTCCCTGGAAACCTACTGTTCACTCTTGATGTGTAACAGGATTGATGATCACCTGTGCCAGAGGCATTAACAGAACTCAGTTACACAAGCACACCAAGACCTTCTGAAGGAAGCTGCTCTGAACATGCCAATATTTATTTTCTGCCACTTACTAACCTCCTGTGAGTCCCTGTGGTTTATCATGAGCTATTGTTTACTTCAAACAAGATTCACAAGCAGAAACCGCAGTTCCAGTCCCTGCTACCATACTCCACCACGAAGCTAGTGTTACCACGTCCTGTTGCCTGAGCTCACTTTCTCCATTGGTTAACTTTTGCCCAGTTTAAAATGCTTAAAAATTTTAATTAAAAGGAAAGCAGCTTCTCATATGTGCTTTGCATAGATCAATGACTGACGTAAATGAGAGACAGCAGGTCAAGTAAAAAGAGTTAATAAAATACTTCACAATTAAATAGATATTGTTGTACAAAAAAAAACAGATCCCCTAAATCACAGAATCACAGAATTGAAGGGGACCTTGAAAGATCATCGGGTCCAACCCCCCTGCCAAAGCAGGTTCCTTAGAGCAGGCTGCCCAGGTAGGCATCCAGACAGGCCTTAAATATCTCCAGAGAAGGAGACTCCACAACCTCCCTGGGCAGTCTGTCCCAGTGCTCTGTCACCCTCACCCTGAAGAAGTTCTTTCACATGTTGATACGGAACTTCCTGTGCTCTACCTTGTGGCCATTACTCCTTGTCCTGTCCCCACAAACCACTGAAAAGAGGTTGGCCAAATCCCTCTGTCTCCCTCACCTCAGGTATTTAAACATATTGATGAGATCCCCTCTCAGTGTTCTTTTGTCCAGGCTGAACAGACTCAGATCTCTCAGCCTTTCCTCATAAGGAGGATGCTCCAGGCCCCCGTATCATCTTTGTGGCCCTCCGCTGGACTCTTTCCAGGAGATCTTCTTTTTTTTTTTTTTTTTGTTTTTTGTTTTGTTTTTTGTACCGGGGTATCCCAGAACTGGACACAGTACTCCAGGTGAGGCCTGACCAGGGCAGAGTAGAGGGAGTGGGGGGACCAGGGCAGAGTAGAGGTGGGGAGTAAATGTTAAACTCAGGGACAGCTCAGGCCTGAAACTGGATCCAACAATCTTAGAGACTTCACACATCAGCAGGGATTTCCTGTGATCAACCCAAGTAATAACTGAGAAAACCTCCTACCATCTCCAACTATATTTTTTCAGAACATTAAATTCTAATTTTGAAACTGCTAGAGAGAGTTCATTGTAGAAATCTTGCAACTTGTGCGGTTTGCTGTTTGCTTTTCCTCTGCTGAGGTACTCCATTTTTTATTTGTTCTGATTTTTCATTTTAAGATTTCAGCTCATTTGGACACAATACATGTACCTGCTCAGTAAGGTAACTTGCAGTCATTCAGCTCTTGATCTACAATCAGCAATTATAGATAGAAAAGCAGGCAAGATAATATGTGGTCAAGAATTTAAAACCTAATGATTCAGAGTAAAATTCTTATGTTGTGATGATTATGTTCTTGAATCACTACTATTGCCTGTTCTCCACAGGAATCTGACTTTTAACTGTTTGTAGAGTAAGATTTTTTGTAACTTGTAGCTATTGCAGAACAACTTAAAAGAACAAAGTTTATACTGAGGTCAGTGGGGTAATCAAAGCTGGAATTAGGAGAAATTTGTACTTTATCATAGCTCTGTTAAGAACCACATAGCCCAACATCAACAACTTACAAGCAGCATTTGTGCACTGAGGTCCCCTTGTGTAGCCTTTCCTTCATATTTAGGACAACATTGTGATCTGATTGAGATACCAACATAAACTCATTTTCAAATGAATTAGGTGCTTTACAGTAAGTTTTCCAGTTAGTGTATATTAACCTCATGCATGACATCCATGTCTGGAGTCAGGGTACATAAGTGCTTAATTTTATGCATAAGCATACCACAAAGAATTAGGCATGTGCTCAAATCTAAATGATATCTTGGAATATAGTCATTTTATTAGTCATTAAATTCCAGAAGCTCTTTCAGAAACATTTTTTCTCTCTAAAAAACTAGACTTTCCTTATAGCATTGTGGTTTTTGTTTGTTTCTGTTTGTTTTTGTTTGTTTGTTTGTTTTGTGTGTGTTTTGTGTTTGTTTGTGTGTTTTTTTCTTTTCTTTTTACAAATCTAATTTTCTCTTGAAGTTATATTTTTAAATTTTCATACAAAATAATTCATGCAGGTCACAGGCTGCTCCTTTCCTTCAAGAAAATAGCTGGAGGAAAGAGGGAGACCAGGAAAGGTTGTACAAACTATGCTGAGAGACAGCCTGTGCCTGAGGTCACTGAAACACAGCAGGGACTAACCAGATGGCAGTGTCAGACCTGTTGTTTACAAGACTGTACTACATTTTGGGAATCCACACACAAATTTTGGGATGCTTCAGAATGCTCCGCACAACAAATCAACAACATTGCATATATGTCCTATCACATACAAGAGACAAGAAATATGTATCTTCCTCAAATGTTACATATGCATCACACTAAACAAATTGGACTGTCCTGATGACCTTTCTGAAAAGATGCTATAGTCTTTCCTAAAAGAAGCTACATTTCAAAGCTTTAAAACAAATACTTAGCTATGGACGTTAGCATTTCAACTGCTATTTTTAGAGTAATGACACCTCTATGGAAAAATAAAGCATTTATGATAGCTGTTGTGTCATAGCAGAAGAGTTCTCTTTAAGGATTAACAAGCAAACTTTTTCAAAAGATCCATTCTTTTTTTTCTTTTTTTTTTTTTCTCAACACTGGAGAAAAAGTTTTAATTTGTAGACACTGGACATTAGTATTTGAGCAGAATTTAGAGAAACTCAAATGTTTTTAAGAAAAGAGCAGCAGCTATTCAGAAGTTTCCATCAGAAGTCACCATTGATCTGGGTGTCTGAGAACCAGACAGGTCCCCTTCTGATACCACACTGAGGACTGACATTCAGTAATAACAATGAGAGCTACAGACTGAATATGGACAAGAAGATCCATGAAAAATAACCATATGGTGACTTTTTCATATAAAAGCATTAATTACAGACTGGGTTACATTTCAATATTCTACAACTCAGACTTAAGAGACTCACAATTTAGACTCGGGTCATTGTACTGCACATTGTACGCAGACTGCCGGAGTGCATCATGATCAGCACAGCTTAGCAGCGGAGAGGCTTGTGGACTTGGGCTTTGGCTTAGAGGTGACTATTTTTCTGAAAACAGAATCAATGTTACCTGGTTTTCATTCTCTATAACATTCAAACTATCTTGCTCTGCTTTTTCAGTTGCAGCTGTAAAACACACTTTCCAAAATAAACAAACCTGCATTTTAATGTAAACGTCTGGCTTTGGGGCTTTCAATTTTTTAGGGAAGATACTGTATTGAAACAAAGAAATAAAAATGTCTTGTACGTAAATGAGTGCACACAAGGATTTATAGACCTGGGGTTGACAATTTCATAAACCTACCAATCAATTTTTATTAAGAGCAAATAAATTCACAAACAAAACTCCAGGGCTTTTTTTTTTGTTTGTTTGTTTTTGTTTTTGTTTTCAGATATTTAAGAGCCTATTGTAAGCCAGACATTTAATTCCTAGCTTTGGAGTTTTAACATGAAGGGCACAAGCTCTGAGAAACACTGACAAAATACTGTTTGAAATGTTTTTAATTAAAAAAAAAAAAAAAAAAAAACACTAAGTCAAATCATTACAATAAAATACATTATATCTTCAGTGCCCTATGTACTTGACCTACTTCATTAATTCAAGTGGGCTGTTAAGCAGAACATGCACTCCAAGGCTGAAAAACAAGCTCAATGTATTTAAGCATTTTTTCTACCTCCCCCAAAACAGAGATTTTTCTTTAAAATAAATAAACAAGCAAACAACACCCCAAAGAAAAACAGACAAATAAATCTCCCAGAGGAATTTCCAATATGTTTCTGTCACAGATAACTTACTCATACTTTGAAAATCCTGAGGAAAACTAGACATGAACGCTACAAACACTAGTTTAATGACACTCAGGAGACTTACCTGGCACTAAGTCTATGAGAATTGTTCATCTATTTAATGAACTCAAGTTTGTGAAATAAATTTAATCAGAAACACCTTGTAGCATACAACAGAGTAAAGATGTCCATGAATTCCTGAACACTCTATGCTAGCATTGCGAACAAAATCTGAGGTTTAACAAATCGGCAAAGTCTGTTTTGCAAAGGCCCGTGAGGCTTTTAAAATTAATATTACAATGCTCACATTAGCTCCTAATGGCCAGAAGCAGGAGGAAATCACCCTTGGCCCTGGCCCCCAACCTACAAAGCCCACCTGGGGCAAGCACCTGCAGACACTTCCTCCTGCCATGGCAGCCACAGCTCCCTCAGAGCAGGGTGCTGATGCAGCCTAGCTGGGCTGCCCACAGCCTGTGCCCCAGGTCCCACCTGCATGTTTTCACAACCTTTTGATGTCTTAATAGACTTTACTGCTTCCGTGTCTTATCAAGAAGTTGTGAACAGATGCCTGTTGCAGCCGGAACAGCTGGAAAAGGCAGAAGGCAGTGGATACTGTCCTGGGATGGTAATGGTTGGGTTTGTCACCAATTATTTATTCAGAATAACTAATTTCCCAGTGGGAAAGGGTGCCTCAAAACCAAGGAGTGTTTTCAGACAGATAAATTTTTAGACCACTAACCAAAGTATGCAATTAATGGGCCAACTACAACAGTGATCGCTGTGCCCATTTCTCATTCCCCACAACCAACATAGACTCCTAGAATTGTTAAGGTTGGAAAAGACCTCCAAGATCATCTGGTCCAACCATTCCCCTACTACCAATGTCACCCACTAAACCACATCCCTAAGCACCACGTCCAACCTTTCCTTGAACACCCTCAGGGACTGTGATGCCAACATTTCCCTAGGTAACCCATTCCAATGCCTGACTGCTCTTTCTGGGAAGAAATTTCTCCTCATTTCCAACCTAAACCTCCCTTGGCACAACTTGAGGCCACTCCCTCTAGTCCTATCACTACTGAGAAGAGGACAACTCCCAGCTCCCCACACCTTCCTTTCAGGCAGTTGCAGAGAGCAATGAGTTCTCCCCTGAGCCTCCTCTTCTCCAGCCCAAACACCCCCAGTTCCCTCAGCCACTCCTCACAGGACTTGTGTTCCAGGCCCTTCACCAGCTTTGTAGCCCTTCTCTGGACACACTCCAGGACATTAATGTCCTCCTTCTACTGTGGGGCCCAAACCCCATAGTGCCGTGAGGGCAGGAGGCTGTGCCTGGCTGGGCCCAGGTCCTGCAGCACCCCAAGACTCCGCTGCCCCCCTAGGGAGTGCCCCTGCCTCTCCCTGGGCAGCAGAGTCAGAGCCAAGTGCCAGGAGGGCCCCCAAAAGAGAAAATCTGTCTTTGCAAAAATAGACCATGATCTTGCCCACCTGCTTGGGGCCTGGTGAGCGTCAAGTGTTGAGATTTTTCACCTTTTTTTTTTTCTTTCCTATGCAAAAATGAACTCAAAATAGTGTTTTTATATATATATATATTTATCTCAGAGTGCAGAATATTTGAGCACCATTATGTACAGAAGTATCTTACAAAGTACAGGCCTAATATCACTTTTGTACAATTGAGCGATGTCCACCAGCCAACAAGTTACTCCCTCAGCAATGTTCCCTCTGCCCCTCCTCCAGGTGAAAAAGGTAACAAGCTATGACCGCCTGGATCGAAGACCCAGCATGGTGGGGTTTTGTCTTTCTCCCTCCCAAGTGTGACAAGAGAAAACACTTCCCAGTGGTGATGGAGCATGCAGCTCCAACTGTTCCAGAGGCTGTGCATGAAGCAGGGAGGGTAGCTGCTGCACAGCAGGGGCATTCACCCTTTCCTACTGATGTTAGTTATTCCATCATAGAGGAAATTACCCAAGATTTACAGATAACGCTTCAGTCTTTGGATTGCGATACTGTCTGGAAAAACAAGAGATAGAAACTACTTCAGTTTTTGTGTGTTATTTTTTCCAATGCTTTTGTGAAATCCCTGTTGTCATGTTCAGATTCATATCTTATATTATGGTTTTAAATCCTAAAGCATTGTCTGTCACACACCCTGCTAATACAATAACCATCTGGAGCTCATTAAAGCTTTTTTTTTTGTTTCTTTTTGAAACATGAATACGAAGGAGTTGCAAAAAACAAATGAACCAACCACAAAGGGACTTTGAAAAAGCTTCCTACTCATTTTACTTTTATTCTAGACTTGTGCATGACTATTTTTAGTATCTCCAAACCACACAGCCACCTGTTCAAACAGACAGTAGATTTTCAGATTCTTAAACCAAAAAAAGAAAAAAAAAATCATAAGGAGAAAACAAAAACACACACAAAAAAAAAAAAAAAAAAAGATTTAGAATGGTATAAGAAGCATTTCCTCTGAAATCAGCAGGTCTCACCATGTATGGTTTGGTGACTTAACTTGAGAAAACAAATCACTTGTGAATCAGGTATAGAAATACATTCGGCAATATCTGGCACATCATATAGGAGGGTACACTTCACAAAAGAAAAAAAACACGTTAAAAGTCATCCTGAAGCTAATCAATTTGCATCCCATTGCAGGATTTTTATTTATTTATTTATTTTAATAAAAAGTAGGGACACAAAGGTGAATTTGTTATAAAATACCAGAACTATACACTTTGATTGTTGACATCTCTGTCAAGGTACTTGCACTTCCGAAGTTGTTTATTCCTAGGATGTTGGCATGTGTTCTATTACTTACCTTGAGTTACTCAGTTGTGAAGAATAATTGACTGTTTTTTAGCACACAAATCAACTAGCTTCATCAAAAATTTGTTTTGGTTAGATGGTCAGAAATGCTTTCCAAAACACTGCAATAAATAGCAGCTTTTTGAAACCACTGCTTTTGCAATAACACCCTCTTATAAGGCTGTCAGCTAGTGTTTACTTAACAGGGTTTTTTTTTCCCTTTTTTTTTTTAATGTCATTTGCATGGTGAGATGTTTCTTTCTGGCTCACGCATCATTAGAAATAACTAAGTTTGAGCACTGTGCAAGACTGGTTGATTAAAGACAGAAGTCTAATGGAAATAACGCTGTCCAAGTGGAACAGACAGCAATGTTGTCCTTGAAAGCTAAGGAAGGTAGCAGTTGGGGAAGGCTTCATCTGAATTTGTTAAGTGAGGTTGGAGGGTTTCAGGTGACCCCACTCTTTCCTTAGGCATTTGTGGAAATGGGATCAGCATGCCACTTCTGGATCTATCAGCAGAGGAAAACTCTTCACAATTCAAATTACTCATTAACCTATATTTTGGTTAATTTGTTCATAAAAAATGCATTAGAATAGATGTGCAAGTTATCAGCTTCACCTTCCTGTATCTTCTGCATCTCAGAAAATAAATATACATACATACATAAAAGAGTGCATTGCTTCAGACATACAAAAGGAAAAACAACTACAAAAAAAAAAAAAAAAACAGGATAACCTTGCATAATTAATAGGATTGCTTCCCACTGAATATAAGGATATTTAGTACTTATTTTCTCCCTTGAGGTCACTGGTATACCACATGTATATGGGATTAGTTGTAGTGCAATTGGAGTTTTACAGAAAAGAATTTCAACTAAAAAAAATAACTATCACTCTGACAATCATTAGAAAACTCTGAGGCATAAACAGGTCAGTAATTTTTATATAATTTGCACCATTCTTTTAGCTGTCAATAACTGTTTATCAAGACTAAAAATTATTATGCATGTCCTTTGGGAGCTACAGCTGGGACCTCTTCCAAAGAGGTCCCAAGGACCAGAACCTTCCCATTAGCCCCTCTTTCTCCAGGTTGCCTATTCACCCTCTGCACACACCACTTCAAGCACTCACCCCAGACAGAAGGCACACCGCTGGCCAGGGCCTAGAGTCTTAGAGGTTGGAAAACACCTTCAAGATCACCAAAATCAACCACCATGCATGCACCCTGCCTACCCTCTTGGCTCACCACACCTCAGCTAGAGAGGCCAAGCAGTCCCATCCCAATACAAGGGATCCAGATGCAAAGAGAGCAGGCAGCACATGGTGAAGCACAGATAGATCCCAGAGAGCAAGAGGGGGCCACAAGACCAAGAGTATTTCAGGAAGATTTATTATTAAAAGAGAAAACACCTACTTCAGTAGGCACAAGGATATTGTAACATTTTCAAATGTGCTGTGTGTAAGCAGTTTATCTGCACACCATGGAAAGCCATTTATAAGAGATTTGGCCCAAGAGAGACACTGAAAAATTGCATCCTATACTTACATTTCTTGACAACTATTTTAACATTCACGTTTGGAAACATTCCAAATTCTATAATTTTCCCATTACAATCACTAGATATAAAGAAAAGTTTTTATTTTAAATACAACCAGTTTTAAAAACAAACAGTAACTTAACAAAATCAAACTAAACATTTTCCACACACAGCAAGTTATATCCTGCATTTGTCTGTCTAAAATAAGCGTAACAAAGCAAGTCACTTTGGCACATTCTGTAGATAAATCCATACACAAGAGAACATGTACAGGCTTTGTATTTATGGAAATTTAAGCATAGAGGGGGCAGCAAAAAGTTTTGCATAATGCTTAATTACATGGAGTAGCTGCCAACATTACCTGTCTCGGTCCATAACAGCAATTTAACAGATGCAACTGACTATGCTCAAAAAAAAAAAAAAAAAAAAAGGAAAAAAAAAAGAAAACCCACGTAATTTATAATTTTTTGGGGGGATGGAGTAAGAGGTGGTCAGTGTTCTTCTGTATCGTGGTGCTACCACCTTAGATTTTCCAACCAGCACTTCGTAGAGAAATGGAGAGCTAAGGGAACATATGCTTCGTTGCTTCTTCTTGTCTTACTCTGATGATAAACTGACAAAAAAATACATTTTTTGTGAAATTGAGGGAAAAAAAAGGCTGCTTTACAGTAATGCCTGTGACTTGCATAAGGGAGGACCAGTGACTGTGTCATCAGAACAGAAAATTCAATGGAGCATCACCCAGGTCCTTAAATAACATCAAAGGCATTACTGTGGTGGTACAGCAGATAGAAAATATGAGCTTGCACTGCAGACCCAAAGCAGAAAGCTACAAACCGACCACCTTTTCTTTCCATTCCATTATTCTCTTGCTAGTTAGTAGCTACCAATGTAAATACAAAGACATATACAATCCGAAGCCTTTTCCAAATGCACAAGGAAGCTCTTAAATCACTTACAAACTGAACCACAAACAGCAGCAATTTATAAAGACTAATTAACAAGGCCTAGACATTGTATTTGTAATCCACAAAACTCAGATTTCAAATACAAAACATTTGAAGATTTTTGAGAAGTTAACTTACACCAAACATTTATAGAAGGCACATGTGGCAAGAACAATAAATGCAGTACTTATTTTAGCTTTTTACAGAGATTAA